AGAAAGCATAAAGACATTTTTAGAAAAAAGTATTGGTTTGAAAAAGAGTGTTACGATAAAGTACCACAGAGCGAAAAACTCACACCCTTTAAAGTACGCCATGAAAATAATTTGAGCATTTTGTTTTTGATGGGGGGAATACATTCTCAGAATCTGGGTGTTATTTGGGAGAAAAAAAATGTTCTAGAATATACATAATAATACTATGAGGAAATTACAGGCGTTTGCCACACGATTCTCTAGCCACTAATGATATAGGTACCTGTGTATCAAATTACTGGGTAAGTGTATACGGATTTGAATTATACAATTACAATAATCGAAATTCAAAACCGCGCTACGTGAACGAAGAAAACCGTTGACAATAGTCGAAAAACCAAATAGTTATTGACGTTTGTAAAATAATGGCATGTTGTAAAATTAATGGCTAACGTGGGCGTATTACGCTCCTCGATTCGATCATAGTGATTATTTTATTATATTAACACTCGATGATGTATGTAAACATGTATGTCGATATTTCATCAAAAAAAAATAACCACACTGTCACGTGTAAAGAACATTTCTCTTTTCTTTTTTGTTTCGGATATTACTATTATTATTTTTTTTTATTAGCAATAAGACAAACGAGTTGTTTGTATCATCACGTAAATTAATAATTATTATTGCATTTATCAACATGCCTGTTAACATACTTGACAGTAACTGGTGCGTGGATTTCAATGCGAAATATCGTTTTTATTAGCAACATTTTTAATAATAATTCCGCGCTCTATTTGACAAAAAATGTATTTCACGGCTAACGAAATGTTTTAATAAATTTTAGGTCATATTTTCATGATTAATAATCATCAGACCGTTTTCGAAAGGTCACGAGATATTTCGATTTCCATTGTAATCTCGAGAAAACTCAATAATTTTTCAAGCAAAGATCAATGAAATTCGTTTGTGTTAAACAAATTATTTTCAATTATTTCTTTTCATATAGCTTTTTTTTTTGTGTTGTTTATTTATTCCGAGGGTTGTTGGGGTTAAGCTCGCGGCTTGTTACGTGAGAATAAAATTTCGAACAAATAACAACGCAGATCTAGAAAGAACTTTGTGTTCTAAAATTTTGACAACGTTATTTTTTTTTTAGTTTGTTTGTTAACAACTTCATTTTTTCTATTAAAAATTTAGCTTAAAAAATTACCAATGAACTTTTATTGTAGCATTTAGAATCTAGTAGATGTATCGAAGAGTTAATTTTTTAATTTTATTAGTAGTCTTCATAATAATTTGGAATTTCCGTGTAGGAAAAACGAATATAATTACGGTAATAAAAGTTTCATAATAATAGAACTTTTCTGGTTTAAAAACAAAATAAAAAATATTCATATTAAATATAATTAAAATATTATATATTATCGTATATAGTTGGTTCATTTGAAGCTCGCGTTTTGATTAATTTCCTTGTAGTTTTTTTAGTATCTCAAAAAAAAGGAATGGAGAAAGTTTATGGTAATAAGGCGATGTCATTATTTTCGATTTGGATTTCTCGTTGTCATTCAGTAAAAAACCATCATAAATACCTGAAATTTATATAAAATATTTAGATTTGACGTAGTGAAATTTTCAAAACATTCTAGCTTTTTGTGAGCAATTTAGGTATAGGCATGTGAAATTTTCAAGTTTTACTCATTATTTGGACCGAGACTGGAAAGTTTATCATCAAAGTTCATTATAAGTTATATATTGTGATCAAAAAAAAGTTGATCGTAATTAAATCGTTATTTAAAAGCCTTTTTTTTTTTTTTTAATTTTTTACGAAAACCGTAAAAATCGCAATATTTCGAATTAGGTTTAACCGAACTTCACTCAGAATCGTATTTCTTTAGCAATAATTTATCGTTATTTACTATGTATCTTAACTGCCCACATTCCCAACCACAATAGTAGCACATTCATCAGCATTATCAGCACTATTTTTTTTTTTTTATTATTATTGTGGTTATTAAGTGGTGTGTAAGCTCGCGGCTTGTTTCTCGAAATTTCAATTTTGAACAAACAAGCTGCGATAAAACTTTGAGGTTTTTTTTTACAATGCGTGTACTCGACAGCAATATAATATTTATTAATAATAACAATATTTTTCATCGAGTTTAAATTTCACAAACTTTTAACCAAACTGAGAGCACGAGGAGCCGTCACGCGAACCGACATTGCATTTCGTGCTATTGAAATATATATTATTATCATCATCATCATCGAAACATTATTAATATTGTTTTGACCGTCGTTATGCCAAAGTTTGTGATGCTGTTGGATGTTTGATACAAGCAGGTATGTAGGTACCGACAGTTCTCCGCCAGTGGCAGGAACAACGTTCAAAATGTATGTAAAATAGGATAATACTATACACTTGTTTTATATTTATCTCGTATTTTCGTGATGTTCGCATTCTCGGAGGCCGGCGAATGGCTCAAATGTTCAATAGGTGTTGGCGACAATATCCATTGTTCTCGTCATCGCCGGAGCGGTATAATATATTGTTATGTTTTGTACAAAACATTGGCAATCATGTACACGTGGTTTGTCGGTACGTGTGACCCAAGTCAAAGGTACGACCGGAATATTTTTCGTCAATTAACATTTATACTTTCATCACGAATGGTTTATTATATACTTGACAAATTTTCATCAGGTACCACAAAAGATTCGTTTCCATAATATAATTATGCTTGATTAGTTTGTATTTTGAGTGGCGTAACGCACAGTGCCTACCTTGACTAATTTTTCGATAGGAATACACTTTTTCCCAATCTGTTTTTGCCCCAAAAGTTCTTTGTCTCAATGTAATTTTTCACAATAGTTTGTTTTCCCAATGCCGTTATATTTCTCCACAGTTTATTTGTCAATCAAATATTATTATAATACGAGTATAGTCTATTGTGACTGATTTCGGAAATAGGCAATCGCGCCATGATATTATTATCACCAGCATGCACTGTACTGAAACTCCGATCGTCCGCTACTACATTGAGTCATTGAAGAGTTGAAAATATGTATTTTTTAAGAATTCTTTTAAGGGGAAATTATTGAATTTGGAGAAAACAGGTTTGGTTTATTATTTTTTTTTAATATTTAGTTTGGGAAAAGTAAAGTTGGGAAAAATTGATAACGAATTGAGCACAAATTGAACTACAATCTAATTATTCATCAATAATCGTAACCCTATACTTTTTTTTTTTAAGTTAAATGCATATTTGTAATGTATTATTTTAACCGATTGGCTGACGATAACCCATTCTTTGAAATAAAATAATTTAATACAAATATAATATATGTTTTTAAGTGAATTATTAATAATTAAATTGGAGAAGTCTACAATAATAGTAAACCTATAATAGTTACAACTAGTGGCGCAGAACTTGAGGTACAAACCGTTTTTGATGGTATGTGGGCCAGGTGTTGCTAGTGATAGGAAATATACATAGTATGAGTATTATTTATGGAAAATATAAGTATGACAAATAGTACTAGGAGTAATGTAATATATTACATCCAAAAAAGACCAATATAATACTGTATTATTTGTTTGCCTGATTATTTTTAAACTACTTCGGCGCAACTGGTTACAAAATTGCGTTGAAGAATTTTGTTTTAGATTCTGAGCGGAGCAAACAAGCTTATGATTTTACAATGAGGTTTTTTTTTCTGTGAAAAACTTTTCTACCAGAAGACTCTCCGATTTTTACGTGTAGCAACTTTCCTGAAAGGAATTCGGTGTTGAGAGGTACCTTAAAAAGGAAATTTTTCGATTTTCTCATCAAATGCGAAAAAAAGAGGTAAATGTACGAAGTATAATAAATATATTCTTACGATTTTTTTTCTGTGGACAACTTTTCTACCAGCAATTTTTCTCCAACTTTTAATAATAGCAATTTTTCTAAAAGAAATTTCACTAGAAAAGTAGTTTAGGAAAGTCGATTTTTGATTTTCTCCGGAGTTTTCTCAATAAATGTGAAAAACTAAGAAAAAACATAGGAAAACCGGGAAAAACGTAAGAAAACCGGGTAAATCGATACAAAATAAAACAAATAATACTAAAGAAAATATATAGAAACTATTTAATTATTTTATTATAATATGGCATATTATGTTGTCAAGCATCACTATCAACAGAACTCCTCTCAGAATCGTTTTTTTCGTAAGCAATGGTTTATCGTTGCTTACAGATTAACATTGAATTCCCATCTGTATCCTACATTCCCAACTTCCCGCCTACACCAGTGGCTGCACCCGTCCCCATTATCTTACCTTTCTTTTTTTTTGAGGTTAATGATAAGTACCACCGTTTTTCTGTGAAACGAAAAGGGTTTTGTATCTTACTAGAGTGCTTCTATAGTCTATACCAACTACTTTGAATATACTGTAAACTATGCGTATAGTCTTACATTGATTTCGTACCATGCGGTAGCCCCTAATTAAAATACATTGTTGTATAATGGCAGTTGCGTAGCCAGGGGCGTGTCTCTCCCCATTACCCGTATTTGTATCCTAATTGTTTTATATCTATACGTTACATTATGATGTGTAAATGTGGTTTATTTTCATATGTTTATATATTATCCATATATAAATATATTCATATTTTAGTGTGTGTGTGTGTGTGTGTTTTTTTTTCGTCGTTATATCGAGAAATCCTTGCTACTTCACTGTATAGCGGTCACCTCGTTTCACTGATATCAATTAATTTTAAATGAATAACTACGCTGTAATTGAACATGTGTTTAGGTAATTCTCGTATCGCCTATATAGAAATATTATCCTGAGAGAGGAAAATTCAAAGAGAGAAAGAATACTATCTATTCCACCACCCCTCCTTGCTACTCACTCTCCGTAAATCGCCACCAGTAGAAATATAGTGTATATTTACCCATATTGTTATTTAGTAGTTGTAGCAGCAGAATTAATACCTATAGATCCGATCGGATCGATATTGAGAAATCAGTCCGTTCCGCACAGTCAATCCGTCCGGTCAGACTGCTCAAACGCGAACGCCGTCGCACAAACGGATTTATCGCGCCAAACATGTAACCCGGTCACACGAACATGGTGTCGATTATCATAGTAAGTAATAATTGATATTATATTAATTTAAAAAATATTACACGTGAAGCTGAACAAGTTGATCATTTTTTTTAATCTACCTGTAGTTTATGTTAAGTTACATTAAAACAAAAGTACTAAGCTAAAATAAATTCAATTTTAAAATATAAATGAATGTGAGTTATTAAGTTGGGTTACACATTTTCAAGAAACTAACATGTAAAGTTAAGTTAAATTTTACTTTTTTTTTAAAATTACTTACTTTAAATGCATTTATAAAAGTACTTTGTGCATTTTAACTTTCAAATGTAACTTTTTATCTATTCAGTGTCTAGCTTTAATTATACGTGAGTGCAACAGCCGCAGCTGTAATATACTTTCGTTTATGAGATTTGTTTTTTAGTTAGACTTCTTACAACTACTTTTTTTAATAATTAATTAACAATTTTCCGAGGAGATTTTTCCCCCATTTCAAAGCTATCTAATCACGTGGAGTAGTATGCAAAAGAAAAAGACATTAACGGGGTACAAAACGATTTCATATGATAATTTAACATAAAAATGTTTCGAAAAAATATTTTCCTTCGGCACATAAAATCAAAATACATGACAGATTGCCGTTCAAAAAATATAGTGTATACCTAAAGTAACAATCTTCATGATAAAAAATAGAAAATATTTTTCAAAAATGTATTCTCATCTATGTCTATTATATTTTAAGCGATTTTATTCGACATTTCGTCTTTTCTATTTTAGACAATTTAGTGTGAACTGAAATAGAAATTCGTGTATGTACGCAAACGCAATTATATGGAGTCTGAACCTTTAAGAGATATATAAGGATTAAGTAACTCCTGAGGCTCAAATATTTAATCAAAATCGTTCAAATACATAACATAGATTATATACTATAGGTCCTTATTTTCCGATTGTTGAATTTCCTTATTTAATAAGGCAAACATTGTAATTCGCATAGTTCGAGTACCGATATTATTTTTCGATTAGCCGTTTATATGATTACGAATTAAACATAATAATACAAATCAATTAGTCCCGTTGATGCGTATTGATAATAACGTATAATACAAGTTTACAATCATAAAACATCATTATTTAGTAAATCGCACCTTGGTTATAAATATTTTTTATGTTCTTTTTAAGAAGACACCATACCCGCATAATATTTTTACTGTCTGCTATAATGTAGAAAAGTATAGAGCATAAATTCTAATATTTACGTTGATTTTAGAATTTGCACTTTGATGATGAAATTTAAAGAGGGATATATTTTCGAGGGCAATACCGTGTAACAAAAAAGTTACAGCCGTGTTAATTTTTCTTTTTTTTTTTAAAAAAAAAATAGCTGTAACTTTTTTATTTGAAAATATTTTAAAACCTATCCACTGCCTTTGAAAATATCCGCTTTATAATAATCTGCTTAATATTTGGCTTTGAATTCGCTTTCCGATGTTGTATTTAACCATTAACAATAATTTATGTTTTACTTAATGTAGTTAGGTTATCCGTTGTTTAGACCGAGACAGTAAATGTAAGTAGCCGCACTCACATGTACGCTTGCTGTTGATGTACCCATTATAAAATATAAGGCATTGGAGATTAAAGATGCTATTGACTTTGTATAGTCATAATCGAATTTAAAATTTAAATATTACAAAATTACTTTTTCAACATGATATATTTATCTCGACCTACAACCATACATTACATATGTGTCATGTTATGAAATAAACATTTTGCGTGCAAATGTCATATTTTATAGTACAAATTAAAAGGGCGCTACATAGTATGCAATACACGTTTATCGTCTCCGTCGTACAAACGCACGACATAACTAATTTGCCTTCAGCTAAACCAATTTTGTACTGTCTAATTGTCAAACTTAATGGGAAGCATATTGTCTGCGTCTGTGCGTTAGTTTTTCCGATATTTTAATTTATAAGCGAGATCTAAGCATTTTTAAACTGTGATATTATTATTCACACATTCATATCTTGCTTAAAAATTTAAATAACCAAAAAACCAATGTTCAAACACAGATAGGTAATTTTTCTACACTTTAAGTTTGATTCTGATATAAAAACTACGGTACGAAATAGGTACTAACGTATTGCTGAACGTAAATTTACGCTTGTAAGTGGCTTTGTTCGAAAGAAACAACAAATGCACGTGTAGCGGTCTCTTAACCCAAAGAGAAAAACATTAAAGTCAATGAAATGTCATCATAGGTTTCACGAGTGATAGTAGTAATTAGATTATTTCATATATATATAGTCAAGTTAGACGATTTGTTTTAAACCCATCGGGGTTGGGTTGTATATATGATATTATTATAGCCGGGCACGAATTGAAACTGTTTCGAATCTTTTGAAATTCGGACAGTGACAATGATCCGTTTTCGAAAGAGTCCGGATTCCGGAAGTCTAGGGGGACATCATCGGGGGGGGGGGTGATAATATGGGGAATATCCGTTCGACGACGGCGGCGGCGGCGATTGCGGCAGCAGAAGATTGCTGGCCGATCTGCACCCGTGCAGAAACAACACACGAATATAAAATACTTTTTTTTTTTTTTACACACATATATATATATAAAACGGAAATAATACGTTTCGTCGTCGACGTTGGATTATAGCGTCCGCCGCGGATAATGTTATTATTATCGTTGCTATAGACGGGCCGAAATAATATACGTTTCTCTTTTTCGGTCAGTACATTTTATACTTTTATACGCCGTCACTTTGATCAATAATATATTTCGGGAGCCAATCTCATGATAATAATATCGTACGTTTTATTTTGAACGACGCGTTCAACGCGGGACACCAATATCTGATACGTTTTGTCGAAACAAACGCGAACGGTATATTATAATGTATCAATAGTAATAGAAATATACGCAAAACGTGTCGGTTGACAAACAAGCCGATATTACTATTGGCCCGACTTCGCGTAGGGAATATTACAATATTATAATGGCCGGATAATCGAGAACTTGTATTGGTTTTTTAAAAAAAAAAATTGTGCCTAAAACGTATCTCTGATAAAGTTTTGATGAACACAATATTTATATACTTATACCATGCAAGGACTATTATCTCGTAACTGGGCTATAAGAGCGAGAATTTTCACGAGACCAAAAGTGTTGAAAATTCTCGTTCCGGTTCTGTGTAAAACCTTTAGGATTGTATAGTTTTAATTTAAAAACGTTTTTCAAGACATTTCGGACATCCAAAACTATAATGCTATTACTGTCGTCTCGCATTTTATATCATAATATTGATTAATTTCGTGTACATGTATACAATATTTGTGCGGATGAGACCAGTGATCTGCAATGATCAATAAAAATAAATCGTTTGTCGGATCGATCGTCATCGTGCGACACGACTTTGACAATGCACCCGTTGAGTATGATGAACCCTGCGGAAGGTCGTCGCCGGTTTACTGTGCTGGTGCAGATGAATATTGTATTCCACTAGCTCACAATATCTCCCGTGACGGATTCGGTTTGTTGATTTGTTTTTATTATTATTATTATTATTCCCCGGAACTTTTCGCCAACGGTCCGATAGCGTTGCCGGAAACAAATTTACCAATACTAATATTTACAAATACCTACATGCACATTCAATGATACGAATATTTTCGAGTGCATTGAACAATATTGTTGTCGAATGCCTAAAAAAAAAAAAACAAAAACCACTCGGAAACGTGCATCCTTATTTTTACGGTTTGCTTAATAAACTTTACGCCGTTTACCCAATGACTGCGGAAAAAATACAAAACAATCATTCAAATATTTAATCATACACTGTATAATTAAGTCATGACATCAATTATTAGACACGGAAGTATTAATACGACCGGAATTCTCCCGTTTTTCAAAAATCAAAAATATACCAATACGATTCGTGCGGTTGTATTCTGTTGCATTTCGTAGAAATATATTGTTGCATCCGATGTATTTATCAAGACCCTAACAGTTCAAATATAGTTTACAACGGTGCCGCCCGTGGTCCGTCTCACTGCGGCCGATAGAGCCGAACACCGAAATTTTAGTTAAATTTTTTTTCATTCTCTAATCATTCTACAACGCTAAACCATTGAAATCGAAAACTAATTCTCAGCGAAGTTGGTTTATACATGATTTTAAAATCCGTAATAAATAAATACATTTACGGTTTTTATCAAAATTTGATCTTAAGACCATTATAAAAAAAATATTCTTCCTTTTTTTTTACCACTAAGTACAACTTATATATTACTTATATAACTTATATAGACAATTTTATTCGCATTATAGAACCTACCAAATAAAAACTACGTAAACAATTAGAAAACTAAAAGTCTTATAAATACTCGTATCTCAAACATGTCAGAATAAGTTGAAAATGTTACCACATCTAGAAAAGGCCAATATGGGTTTTCCGCCAAAATGAGAAAATTACACTGAAAATCTAAAAACTACTTACTTTCTAACTAACTAGATTTAAATTCAAACAAAAGTTATCACACGTATTTTTTCGATTGGAGCATATTTCTGATAAAATCATAATTCATACAAGTTCAAAATGACGAAATTTTAACTCCATATTATAACAGTCAGTTTTAATTTTACGACTTTTGGTTTTTTCAAATGAGTATAAAAACTACTTGGTAAATCAAATAATCACCTACTTGCTCACCAACTAGATTAAAAATTCAACAAAAAAGGTCTTTATTTATATTTCGATTAGAGTGAGTTTTTTATTCAAAAGTTTGCTTACAAACAGAAAAAAAAACACACATCATAGTAAAACCAATTGGTCCTTTATTCCACTATGAATCTAGAAACTATAGTTAATTATATAGTATAAGACTGGGCGGTTTAATGAATAATATTAACACAATTAAGGGTTTAAATTAAATTGAAAAAAGTTAAAACGGTAATAGTTAATTTGGAAATTTAATTAACTCTTTAACATCAGTTGAGATAATTCTTTTAGATTTTAGATTTTATTAGTTTTACTATGGTTTGATGATTATCTATAAACAACTTTAAGTGATTCTGCTGAGGGAAACGTCACTGTTGTAGGTGGGAAGTTGGGAAGATAGGATAAATTAAGTTATTTAATTTATATCTATAAGCAACGTAACATGCCATAGATATTTGCCGTTTTATCTATAATTTTCTTTCCGATTTTTCCCTGTTTTATTTAAAATCCCTTGAAAAATCAAAAAATGATATTTTTTATGCACCAACTAACAAATAAAATTTCCTTTCAGAATAGGTGCTACATTTGATATACCAGATAAAAATTTCTCTTCAAGAAGTTGTTTACAGAATAAAAAAAAACATACTTCAAAGTAAAACCAATAAAAGTATAGTGTAACTCGAGGCTTTTTTTTTTAAATATTCACAAAAGTGCGTTTTTATCGATGGAGTCGCTGTTTTCGGTATCGTGTGATATTAATGCGTCTTGAAACAGCCGAGGTCAAAAGCGTCTGTTTTCGGTTCTAATCACTCCTGAAATACCGGGCTCTTTTGGATATGTATTATTTAATTGGTTTTTAATCTAATCTTGTACTAGAGGGATTCCTGCGTCACGGTTTACCGGCTTATCGCACTTAAATTTCCACGGGGGCTGCATACAAGTTGTAGACAAATTTGTCTTGCCATTATTATAGCATAACGATATTACGGACATGGGTTAGGTTATCAGCATACTAATTGTAGACAAAAAGTTAATAGAAACTATGTGAGTTTAACCTAACCTAAAAAGGTGATATACGAATGATAGACACAATTATTTCCCTTCACCACTGCATTATCAGGACTTAGAACTAGCTACCAAAAACAAAATTACTAAATTTTAAAAATGCATTATAAGTTGTTTTGGTGCATACCCACCAAAAAACTTAATTAAAACTTAAAAACTTAAACTTCATTGCGCATTATGCGGTGAAAACGAAATCTAAAACCATCGCATAACTCTCTATAGTTTTTTATTATATATTTTACTAATATTTAATAAAGACGAGAGATATATAAACAGGCCCAAGTAAGGGCGTCGTCGAATTGATTTAAAATATTGTTTTACTGCCGTCTCAAAAATACCAGCACAATATAAATTCTAATAAATAATCATTATTTATTTCGTATAACAATTTAGAGCAACACAATATATAATAATTGTTGTTATAAATACATTTTAGAATAAAAATTAAATTAAAATATAATAAAATTTAACATGACATACTATTAATAAGTAAATAAACACAGTAAATGTTATGAAAATTAAGTAAACAATGTTAATAAAATTAAGAGCTGGCAGGATTCATGCATAGAAACTATAAAAGTTCAGAGAAGTTTTATATATGACTGTAAATTAGTGTCCAAATTTTGTATCCATTCAACTACGTCCTTACATAGTGTATCCCCATTCGGTACTATGCGAATTAAAATTACCGATATTCTTATGCCCCAGAGTGTTGACATCATAAGAGCCTGTAGAGCTTCTCCAATTACTCGAGGAGGATTATTGGCGTTAAATACCTATCGAGATATCACTAAACGTATTCTTATGATCGTTTCCCTTTACCTTTTTCACAAGCTATTGATTTATAATTCGGTCAACGTATATAGCGATGCCATGTTTATTATGGCATATATTATAATAATTATAATATTATAAATATGTATAATCTATCATGTAAAAACCTGGTATCTTTATAGTCGATTAGTTTCTCCCTCCGGGATATAGTTTTACTGCAATGTTAGTACACCAGCATCTTAGAACATTTTCCCTAATATTTCCATTCTTGTACAAGTTAAGCCTTCAACATTTATCTACACACTAACCTAGAGTTTCTCTGGGAGTTTTTATCAACCATACATTTATTATTGTCATATTTCTCTTTTGGCTTGTCATTATTCATGACATTTTTATTTTTATTTTAGATCCAGAGCATAGCGAGATATGTATTGGAATGATGTTATTTTTTTTTTCTACCAGATATCTTGCTCCGATGTAACAAGAGTAACACCTTTTCTAAATGAAAATTTTATCTACTTTTTACTAAAAATTGTAGGAAAACGGAAAAATTCATGGTAAATGTATTATTTTTAATATTGTTTTTTGTTGTAAACTTAATTCAGTTACTAATAAAAATATTTATAGACTTGAAATATAGAAAAAAAAATTGTATTTGCCTTTTCTCGACATGGTAAATTTTCAAAACATTTGAGCCATTTTGAGCTGTGTATGGACATTTTAATTTCGCGAGTTTTTTACGTCATTTTTATTTCGTTGGTACTCTATGGATAAAATTGTTAGACTTAACAAAAATGCTTGAAAATTTAATAGAAGGTTCATTATGCGTCGTAATTTGTGGTCAAAAAAAAAAATTAAGTGTAACGTATTTTAATTTTTTATACGAGTTTTAAAATCAAATTTTAACGAAAATCGTAAATATTACGGCCTTTCAAAACATGTATAACCGAAATTCGCCACGAATCGTTTTTCATTGACAATGGTTTATCGTTTACCGTACAGGTATAAATTAAATTCTCATCTATATCCTACATTCCCAATTTATCACCTATAACAGTGGTCCACTCATCGTGCAAAGTATGTCAGTCTGTTTTTTTTTTTTTTGTAGTAGATTTTATAACTTTTTTGTGATTTTTTTTTATATAAATTTAATACGTATCTATATGAATTGTGCGTTTATCAGTATCGATGAGATAATAGGAGGAGGAAGCTGGGTGGTAGAAAAAAAACGTGGATAAAATCGGTATATATTTTATCCAGGTCTTAAATTTTGACGATAATATACGAAATGAATATGAATATATTTTAACATACATTGTCCCATGAAAACTATAACTTTATTCAATGTATTTTTTTAAATTTTCTTTTTTTATGACATTCTTGCACCAAGCCATAGATATATAATATTCATTTCGAAAATCGAAGCAAGATTTGTTTGTAGAAAAGTTGTTTACAGATAAAAAAAAAATAAATAAAAAAAATTCATGGTTTTCGATTCACTTAGAATCTAAAACTAAATAAATAAAAAAATAATTGTACTATATCAGCACTGAATGACTAAAAATTGTTGGTTAACAGTCAAATATGAAATAAACATGATATGTAAACAACTATTTTAGTTTCATGATTAAATCTTTTTATACATATTAATGATAAACAGTATAATAGTTTCATACCTAATAATAATAGTTTATAAATTATTGATGGACCGAAAAAAAAAACGCTAATACCATCGATTCTCTCGAGAGGGTGCTGGAGAAACGTTTTTCCAGCACTGCACTGTCTCAAGTTTTGAAAAACTAAAACTAAAAGTGCACAAGATTAGAAAATAATCATACAAATGAGTACGAATTGCATACTAAATATTAGCAAAAAAAGACGAGCATATTTCGCAGATGAGTGCAGCAAACACTGTTGTAGGTGGAAAGTTGAGAAAGTAGGATCCAGACGGAAATTCAATGTATATCTGTAAGCAACGAAATATGATTCTGAGCCGAGATCAGTTGAGAGTGTTGCTTTGTCAACAATATAAGTATGTCATATTATGGTAAAATGATTACAACAATAAGTGCTTCCATGACAACAACGATTGTTTAAAAAATATTAAAATAATAAAACCATAATAATAACAAAAAATAAACAAAAACAGTTGCCAATAACAACCTTATTTTTAATCTTTCAATCTTTTTTAACCTAAAGAATCAGGTTTTCCTCATTATCTCGAATATTAATAAGAATTTCAAAAAAAGACCTTTTAAGTACCACACAGAGTAGAAAAAATGTTCACATAAAAAAAATTAAATAAACATCATGGTTGAGCCAATACATTTCTTATTCCGCTTAAAATCTAAAACTGTAAAAATCGTATGGGAGGAATGGTGCTTAAATAATGTACGTTTTAGTTTTCGTTAAATACGGATGAAACTCTGGATTTTTGTTAATTTATCATGTATGTAGAAATTAATAATTAGATTTATTGTTAATACATAAACATAATCAACGTCATTGACATAAAATTTGTTATGCACTTTTCAAATATATTTTGACGAAATTGACGAACAATTAGTTTTTTGTAATCTAGAAATTGAAATAATTCTTTGCAAATAGTTTTAACCAAACAAAACAATTAATTTAGATATATTATTGTCTATTTTTTATAACTGATATTATAATAATTAGAGCTATGATTTGTGTGCTAATAAAAACCAGGAAATATGTGGCTTTTTCTTCAAATTGTTATGAGCATATTACTATAGTATATAGTATAGTAGTATAAGCCCTTTGTATTAGAACATAAGAGTATATTATTGTAGTCTATCGATAACGCTTAGTGTGTAGGCGGCTCCGAGAATGTTGTAGCCATACGGCACTCGTGAGAGACCCGCGCAGTCAGTCGAGCTACCACTTTTAAAACTGTACGCCGTCTCAACGACTATTATAATATATTACACTGTAACTATATAGTTCGACTAACATTAAAATTATATTAGTAACCAAAAATCTTTAGAACTGTTTTGTTGAACTTTCTCCTAAAAATTGGATCCTCACACTACCGAACAAATAAAACAACCCGTACGAGCACAACTATTCGTATAGGCACAACACAAATATTAAAAAAAAAATGCAATATAATATGCAAAAACATGCAAAATAAAAACTGTTTAGAATAATAGAAATCGTGGACATTATTCACTAAAACTTCATTTAGAGGCTGCAAAAAAAACATTGGATTCAAATCTTGATAACATTTTAGCGGTTGAACATGGTTACGGGTATAATCAACCAATTTTCTGGTACACTTGTGACTTAAAAAAAATTGAAAAGTTTACGGGCCACTATTGAAAAGGAATCTAGGATATAATATCCCTAGATAAAAACTATATTGGAAAAAATCTTGAAAACTAAAACGTACATTACATCAGCTATCACCCCCTCTCAATACGATTTTCACATTTTTTAAATTCTAAGCAGAGCAAGGAATGCGAATTAGTTTTACAATGATGTATATATATATATATATATATTTATTTATTTTTTTTTTATAACACTTTTTCTACTCTGGGTGGTACTTTAAAGAGATCATTATTTGAAATTCTCATTAGTCATTAATATTCGAGATAATGAAATGGTTCTTATGTTAAAAAAGAATGAAAGATTAAAAATAAGGTTGTTATTGGCAACTGTTTTTGTTTATTTTTTGTTATTATTATGGTTTTATTATTTTAATATTTTTTAAACAATCGTTATTGTCATGGAAGCACTTATTGTTGTAATTATTTTACCATAATATGACATATAAACATGTATATTGTTGAAAAAGCAACAATCTTAACTGAACTCTGCTCAGAATCGTTTTTCGTTATATATTATTTATTCAGATATACATTGAATTTCCGTATGTATACTACCTTCCCAATTTCCCACCTACAATAGTGGCTGCAACCACGTGCAAAGTATGTCCATGTTTTATTTTTTAATTTATTCTAATACCATACATTATTATTTACTTTAATAGCTATCAGTAATTATTTGTTTATCACAATGACGGGTACTTGAAGTATAATTTTTACTGTTATATTAGTAGTGCTATATCTGCATCCAAAATCTATGTAATTTGTCAGTGTAAACGGCCGTAATGTGGCAGTCCAATGTCTTCTACGATTTGATACCATTGAAGAGATTACTATTAGAGAAAGTATTGACTTAATATGATATTTCAGATAAAACTGCTATAGCAGTAATGTCCGTTAATGTGTTAAACTTATATTACCGATAAATTTTAAAACTTGAAAGTTCTGAATTTTTTGAAAACATTCATGTACATCTATCTTATCTATAATTTTTAGAATATTGATAATCGTATTTTTACAGTGTAATCAATATACAGGAAGATTATATCCTTTCACTTAGAATAGAGGGAAAAAGTTTGTTTAAGGAGATTTTTGTTTTGTGGAGATTTTGTTCTATAACTGAATAAGGTTCAAAAGTTGTTTTGTAATTAAAGTTTCGACAATTCTTGAAATTGAGAGGTCGTCATTCTTAAGACATTTCTATATGTTTCTGGATCCTTTTTTCTTTCAGCTTTTGAAAAAATTCTGAAGAGGCTCCCAAATCTTTTTTCCTATGGTTATGGTCTGACCCATCATCGTTACTTATTGAGCTCCCTCACGCTGTCCCTTAACAACCGCTTAATTAGTTGTGTTTTTTTTTTTTTTTTTACGGGAATCTACAGATGCCATGCTTGCTGAATATCGAATAGCAAACTGGCGATTAACAGCCGAAAATAATGTGACAACAATGTGACCGGGTTATCAGCCGCTGCTTGCTGGTGCTACTGCCAGCCACTGGTCAACAGCAGCTGGTAAGTAGCCTAGCTAGTGTGACCCGTGCTTAAACGAAAACAAATTTTCGTCCGTAAAATAACATAATATATTTTCTCTGTATATTATATTTACATTACTAGGGAACCTACTTGTTATTTTTAAATATTGTAATATTACAGTACATCAAATAATTAATTTCGGTGAAAAATAATGCATGACGTCATAAAATTTACCGGCCAATCAGCTTTTCTTCCCACGAGACCCGTATCATTTATTATTATCTACTTGAACAATAATACTGCTTGGATATTATTAAAGGAAATATTAATATTTCCTTAGAATTTGGTATCGCAGTCTTATAAAAAAAGAAAAATATACGTTCAATATAGAGTAGCGCACGCCTGTTTTTCTATAATTTAAAAATATGGACGGTTATTATCGGATTTACCAAAAATGATTTTCATGATAGTGTGTATAATAAATAAATATATGTAGATACTCAGTATTAAAATAATTATTAGAAGGAGATAAAAATCCGCGATGAACACTTTAACTGAAAAAAAAATCGTGGGTGGGGGTGCGAAAATTGTGTCCTCGTTCAATAATATTTGACACGATTAATGTGAGGTGGATCCTTAGAGACCTAACAAAAACTTAATAGAGACAATAGTAAGAAGAAAAGAACAAATCTGTACATAACCGATTGTTTTTTTTTTACGATATTGAATTTTTTTCTTTCAAATCTTTACCGCATAATAATGTTCATGTTATCTACCTTCGTTATTATATTATAAAATATGAATAGGTAAGCATAATTGTGTCGAAATCATTCGATTTCCACCCGAATGGCCATTGAAAATAATTTGTATGCATACATTATAATTTGAAATAATAGTCGACGATAATATAGTTTTATAATAAACCGTATAAAACAAAAATCTATGCTAATTCAACACGTCTTATTATATTAAAACATGTTTTCGGACCGTTTTTATCGCACGTTATGATAATATAATATTTATACAGTGTGTGTGTGTGTGTGTGTGTGTGTTTACACTCTTTGGGGAACTGTATTTCCTTGACACGTTATTCGTTTTTTTTTTAAACGTTTCGTATTTGATTGTCTAGCGTACCGTGTAACCTGTCGACGTGTACGATCAGTCGCGAGAATTTACGCGCGCACGAGTTAAAAACCCGTGAAATTATCGTTTTTGGATAAATTAGGTCGGGTGTTTTTTTTATTTCTATTCGTGTCTATGCTCTGCACACATTAGCCATTCGATGGGTTTATAATATAACGTACAAACTATTCCGGTTTACCCACAGAGTGATTCATTTATCATTTACCACCGAGCATTTTGAGTAAATTTAAATATTTTTGTTTGTTTTTTTTCAAACCATTTCAGTTTTATTAACTTTATTTTTATGCTTTACCTGATTACTTATCCCTTAAATATATATATATATATCCGTTCAATTTCAAAATATATACCCTCCCTTTTTTGAACGCGGGGTCAAGTAAAGAAAATGTTTCTAAAAATGATAATAATTATGCACGACACTATAATATCGGATTTTCCGTTAATGAGCTATAAGTTATAATAGTTTAAATTTATACCGAAGAAGTAAGAAAAAGTTATTATCTAAAACGGATATGAAGTTTATTTATACACTTCCAAACTTCATAAAGGAGGTTCTTATTTGAAAATCCAAAGCTTACACACATTTAAGATACGGGGACTGAAAGCATTGTTAAAACTAAAGGTTAAACAATTCAATAATAATTGAAAACAAAACTAGAGATTAGATTCACTTAAAATAAACAGGGAAAATCTTTAGTTCGTGATAATAAATAGATCACTCTGTATTGTATCAACTGCGATATTATTTCGACAGGATACGCTTGTCTAAAAGTGGTAAAATGGAAAAAACACAGTCACCTATACTAAGTATACGCGGTTTTTTCTTCATAAAACAGTGGAAGAACCGTTTGAATAATAATAATACTATCATTATAATATTATATAGATCGACTTTCTCGCTATACAGATATAATCGGCAAAGAAATGTATTAATTATAAAATTGCATCTTCCATATGAACGAAAATATAAAAATACATGTAGAAGGTATACCTTTAAAATAAATTTAAAAAAAAAAGATGAGAAGAAAACACAAAAAAGAATAGCCATGGTACGGGAAAAAAAACTTTTTCCTGTGTTTTTTTTTTTTTTTTTTTTTTACTTTGTCTTTCTTTTCCGGACTTCATCTTTTAAAATATTTATTAGTATACTAAAAGAAAAAAAGAAAAAACTATCACATTAAAAACTGTAATAATTTTCTTAGACTTCATGCATGAGTTATATAATCTCATTTACATTTTCTAGTGCTCTGAGCGTACAAATACTGCGACCATGACAAAATTGTTTCAATAAATATAATTAACATACAACTCAAATTCTAATAATATACAAAACAAATTTGCTTCAGTATTACGTGTGTTTCAAGGACAATGTTTATTTTATTTTATAAGTATAAAAATAGCTATTGATCCTACAGCTTATGTATGATAGTTGCTCAGTCGTTATAAAATCGATATTATTTAAACTTAAATGACCGTGTATGTATTTCATTTTTATTCGTGTGCTCTAGCTGCTATAGTTTAAAGCAAATCGTTTACATCGACGAATTACCATATCACTGAATTACCGTTAGATACCAAGAAAACGTATTAGAGATAAGTAGACAGGTACTGTAATATTATACGATGAACTTACTAACTATGATTGTCAAAATCAGCGAAAAGTTTTGACGTTGTTGGTTGTTTTTTAATACGTTTTTAGATATTTAAAAAAGCGTATGGCTTAGTTCTTAACATTAGACTTTTAACATCACTAGCAAAAAGTAAACAATTTAAAAAAAAAAAAAATAACCTTTTATAAAATCTACTTACTCATTCGTTTTAAAAACTATTTTCAACGTTTGCAGTGTATACAATAAGTAATTTCGTTATTTCGAGTAAATTGGATATTGATTTAATTCTTAAAAAAAAGATGTGACATATTTCGCACGATGGGTAGGCGACTGTTGAAGGTGAGAAGTTAAGAAGGTACAGAGACGAATTTAATTTATATTTGTCCACAACATTAAATCATTGCTAATGATTCGGAGCGAAGTTTCTTTTATACATGTATGTAAATTTTCCCGTTTTTCCTAAGTTTTTTCTCGGATTTTCCCAATTATAATGAAAACCACTTAGAAAGTCAAAAATAAACTTTTTAAAGTATCAATTAGCCAACATTTCCTTTCAGAAAAAGTGCTGTACTTGATACACCGGAGCATTTCTGGTAGAAAAGTTATGCACAGAAAAATAAAAGAACATCATTGTAAAACCAATAAATTCCTCACTATGCTCTGAATCTAAAATAAAAAAAAATCCTTAAACTACATATTATAGTCTGTTTTTTTCCCAACTCTCAAGTTTTAGTTGAATTGTGATTGCCAACCGAATTGTTTTCCTGATTGTTTACACTAAATTTCGAAAAATAGACATACTTAACGGTTGTTTTTTGTGGAAGGATTGACAGATTCAAAAAAAAAAAATTGTAACGCATGTACAGAAATGAAATCTAACGGAAAAAAACTGATTAGGACGTAAGAAAAAAATGACGTAACGCAAACGCGTATTATGAATTGTGATTGATTTGTTTAGACTTCGGACGACTTTTTTTTTTTTATACATCGATTGATAATATACAATAAGATGTTATGTACCTGTGCGGGAATGTCAATTACAATATTCTACATTTACATTCTCTTACAAAATCTCGAATCGTAGGGGTTGGGTGGGAGGGAAAAGGCAATAAAAAAAAAAAAATACGTGCAAAACATCGATTTATGTTTCATCCATGTCTCTAATTTTGACAGTAGTTTCCGAAATCGATATGAATATAATGTATAATATAATATACAGTGTCCCGCGGAGACTACAACTTATAACTTTTATTTCAATTTATTTTTTAAAATTTTCTTTTATTATGACATTTTTGCACCAAGCCATAGATGCATAATTTTCATTTACCAAATTAAAATAGCTCCCACCTGCCCACCCCCACTCGATAACGCTATTTAAACATCCCGAGGAATGCGCGTCACTAATGACTGCAACATTTGCGATCGTGCAGCACCGGTTCAATTGAAATACCTACTTTTTTCTTGTTCGACAAAACATATTGATAATAAAAAAACCTGAAAACCAATTATTGAAAAACCATATATACATACTCCCGTATATCGAATAGGATGCGACATCGCGCGGAAAGCGGTTTTTTTTTTTTTTTTGCCGAGTTTACAACCGATACCGACAAACCGAGAAAGGTCAACGGATGAGGAAACGGCGATAAATTTCCCGGAAAATCGCATCAGTCGATTGCCGTACGACCGAGCGCACGATTGGTGGATGTGCCGGGCGAAAAAAAGTTTTTCCCGGACGCGATTTTTCGCGTGCGCGTATACTCGGCGATTTGATTTATTGTGAAGAAATAAATCGGTTACCCAATATACGTTTATACATAATATCATATATATTATTTTATTACTCGGTGTAACAGTAACGCGGCAATACGTATTTATATGTGTATATAGGTAGGGGGAGGGGGGGAAATGTTTTAAATCAGTTCCGTGTGTGCACAAGTACTTGTCGCGGTTCTTTTTTTTTTGTTCTTTCGCTAACGTAAATCCCAAGACGAGAAAACCGTATTTACAAAAAAATAAAAAAACAACAGTATTTTAATGTCATTAATTTTTTTTTCTCCGCATTATATTACACGGGAAAATGAATAATATATACCTGTTATCTAATAACGACGACGACGGCGTGGACCATAGCCAAACGTCACGTCATGTTATATACCTACCAGCCATCTATACGGTAATAATTATTACACCCGTTTATTATAGCGGTGCGAGTTACATAAAAAAAAACAAATGATAAAAAAAAGAAGAGTTCCGGTCTGGAATTCCAGATTTACTATAGCCAGTTTATGCACGAATGACGCGCACGTGATTCCGCACCTGCAGCTATACCATCTGATTTATTTCCTATTTATATATAGGTATAAAAACTTTGTGTCCACAAAAAAAAAAAAAAACCGCTAAATTTCTTATCCGGATAATGTATATTGTATAATAATATATCAGATTATAAACACCGGAAAGAGGGCGGTAGGTTAAAGTTCAAACGGTTTATATCAGCGGCGTAACCAGGATTCAGGATTTCTGAGACCATAATTAATTATACCTATTTCGCGGGTCAACAATCACGGATTATGCACAAAAAAAACCTTTTAAATTTAGTACGCGTAATTTCGTAAAAATCATATAGTCACAACTTTTGGTTGCGAAGCTTACGGACAACGACCAAACCGACAGAGGGGAGATTGAGGGGCGCTTTCAAGAAAATATGCGGGCCTAAAATTGGCAAAACAGAAGGAGAACTGACGAATGAGGTTCATTCAGCTATAGAGCTGTATAATAAAAGGAATCTATAACGTAGAACTAGTGACAAGCTTCATTAAATGACCGATACAAACAGTTAAGTCACAAGAACACGAGACTATTTGGGAACTGAAAACTGGAGTTTTAGAAATTAAACTGTTCTAGGATAATGAGGACGGGCGCAGCCACAGTTTTTGTAACTTAATGTATTTATCTGTAAGTAAAGATTAATCATTGCTAACGAAAATGCGATTCTGAGTGGAGTTTGGTTGATAGTGTTGCTTTGTCAACAACATTTATGTCATATTACGGTAAAATAATTATAAATTTTCTTTAATAATATTTATTTAATATTGTACCTATTTTCCCGTTTTTCCTACGTTTTTTCCGGCTTTTCAGAAAAAGTGTCATTGAAAATTGGAGCAAAATTGCTGGTAAAAAAGTTGTCCGTGGAAAAAAAAATAAACATCATTGTCAAACCAATACATTCCTCACTCCGCTCAGAATCTAAAAGGTGTATATAGTTTCCGACACTCTTAGAGAGTAAGTATAAGTCAGTAGAAGGAGTAAAAACAAATAAAAAAGATAATATAATCACCAAATAGTCGGTCTTTAGTTCGATGGTTTTTTTTGTTCGCAAAATTATATTTTATTTTAATAAATCGCCTCTTTGCAAAACGTTTCGACGTGACAGACTAAAATCTTACGGGGTTTATATCCTTATATGACAAATATTACGACGTTCTGCAGTAAAATATAAGATGACACACCACTACGTTGTATATTCGTCAAAATGTTTCGTGAGCCCATTTCGTATAATGCAGTGTTATCTAGTCATGTCGTGAATATAGTCGTGAAGGAGATTACTTGTATTATTAATACGGTTTAAATAACTGCAACATCCCATCACTGTGTAATGTGGGACGTAGGTATAGTGAATTATTGTTTTTTAATTTCCGTCGCTCTGCGTGTGATGTTTTCCCTCCGCGAAAGTACCCGCACTCGTTTAGTGATTCTGAACGAATTGTGAACAAAGCGCTTATAGTAAAAGGACTTTTTCAGGACTTTTTGTTAAAAAATGTGTATAGAGACAGAAAAAGTTACATTATATAGTAAAACCTATTGAAATAGTATTTTCCTAGAAATAGTCGTTATGCATAAAACTATATAATAGATTCTTCGCTATAGTCAGAATTTAAAACAATTTAGGGAATATTTTTTATTGTATATATTGTATACACTATATTGTATACTTTATTTTATTACTAATCAATTTTTGAAAAAGTACAAAAATTATCACCGGGCAGCATATTATCATTCTGGGATTCTGATTTATAGATTCAAATTTATCGCGTACGAGTTTTATCTTGCACGTGTGAAAATGTCATATTATGTTGCTGTTATCAATCTGTTTCATCTTGGAGCTCTCAGCCAGCAATCTCCATTCACTTAGGAGCTCATGTAAAAATTTAATCGAAAATAACTCTTAATTTGTTAAGCAAAACCACGTCAGGTAGGTCACCGAAAAAATTTTTCGGTAAAAAAAAACAAAAATAAAAATTTCATCGCTATCGAAGCCAACAACAAAGGTTTATGTTAATATGACACTTCCGCATATGCGAAATTAAAATAGACCAATATCCAACAGAGTTTCTTGCTTTCTAAGTGCTGAAACTGATACCAAAATGCTTAACTATATGTATAACATGATTATAAAATATCAAAATGTTGTATGAACGAGACAAATTCAAATGTAGGAATAATCATAATGTTTGTTAGAAACATAGTATGACGAGACAATTTGTTTGTTTGATAAAAATAAAAATAATTGTTATTATTTTTTTTTTTTTTTTTTACTTTATCTAACTTACAATATGAATTATTATGTATGCATGTACACTTGTATATACATATTATTGTTCATATAATTGTTGACATGATAATCAGTTGTTTTTTTTTATTAATATTGAATGGATCTCATGAAGTTTAATTCGATTGTGTGATATCAATGAATGTCGGATGTGACCTTGCATATTACGTTTTTTTTTTTAAATTAATTTCCGCAGAAAAAAATCGTTTTTGTTTGCCATAACCAAGGCTATGACGTAATGTTTACGAAAGAGATCGACTGAAGGATTTTTTTTTATTCGGATTTTACGGTCCTATGAAATTATTCGACGCCAAAGCAACTATTTCTTCCCGTTTCTATCCCTTATCCCATATTCTTGAGTTACTTTCTTCGGTAACCCGACCACTATATACGTACTGTCTACACAATAATCGGCGATTTATTATCTTATCAAAAAAATTAAATAAGAATTCTCATATAGCCTATATAATATGTTTGTTTAGTGATGTTATTTAAAAAAAAATCCAATGAGCTCGTTTTCGAATACCCGGCCGATTTCCCCTCGAAAAACATCCCCTTGAAAATGAAACGAACGACTTTTGTGCGGTCGTCCGTAAGCAGAGTTCATTTAAAAATATATATACATATCGAGTGTTCGGCGGGCTCTGATAACTATTCCCATTTGTGCCTCTCACATCCGGTCGGATGATTGTTATTTAATACGTTTCTGATCGACCGACGGCGACCGGACGACGAGACTTTAGGCCCTCCATCCGAGTCTTTTACTACACTCCGGTCAGTATATGGCTACTGGCTATAGCCCACTCGAATCATATTTAAAGTTTACCATGGTGTGAATCAAATACTCTAAATATTCACGTTTATTGTGTAACTGTATGTAAGAAAATGTGTTACTAACTATTGATCAGATGTATTTATAGAACTACGTAGACGGGTTTATTAAAAATATTTGTACAGTGGAACCTCGATCACTCGAATCAGTCCGGGGCAAAAAAAAAACTCGACGATAGTTTACAAAAATAAACGCTAATAATAAAATTAACTTTAATATCATAGGTTATTTCGTACATAGTTATCGAATTTATACCGGTACCTTTTAAACATTAAGTAAAGATTGATGAAAATTAGTTTTCGATTACGATTATTGTTATTTACGATCATACACTTTATTATACGTAAATATGTTATCGTTTTAGATAACCGTTCGTACATTTATACAAAATCATTTATTATTTTAATAATTTTCGGTAATGTATGTTGAATGATTCGAGTTAAAGCGAAAATTCTACCCACATGACTACGACTTATCGAGAAATTTGAGTTAGTGAAATTCGAATTATTGAGAAAATTTATCCCACACATACATATCGTATATTGAAATGCAGACACCAAGGGATTCCTTCCAGTTATCGAAAATTCTACTTATAGAGTTTCGAGTTATCGAGGTTCCACTGTATATCTATTCCGTCTTCGCAGTGGCAAATAATTAGGGTAGTGACAACCAAATTGTCAATTATGAGATTAGATTGCAGTGTTATTCATTTTCATTTTTTTTTTTTTTTGTTTTTTATTACAAAGGTAAAAATCAGTATAAACAATAAATGTATTACAACAAATTTTTTATTACATATATTGTTTTACTAATATTTGTTCGAGGCATAGACCATTACATAGTACGAATAAAAAGTATGTAAATATATGAGAAATTGCACGTCAAATCATTGAGTTATCGGCTTGACCCCCAATGATTTTCAAGAATAGTGGATATTTTGATTTGTTTTAGACTGAAATAAGATCTCAAATTTTATGAATTTTTCAAAAAATTCTTGAGGGCAACACCATAATCGTTAATATTTTGAATTTAAATGAAGCATAAAGATTTAAAATTTTAAAATTATCGACATTTTGTTTATAGAATTTGAAATTAAAACAATTATTTTAATCATAATTCAAACATGTGCCTAGTAAAACTTCATTAGCACATTTTTAAAACTTGTTTTTGTTTTGCTCTATTTTGCTCAAAAAACGTAATTTTTATTTAAAAACAAAGCTTTCTCTTGGTAAAATTTGATTTTCCTTTTGGTTAAGGAGAAAAACTATATACTAATTTATAATTCCAGGAAAAAGTTAAAAATGCAATTAACCATTATTTACTAAAAGTAATTATTTATTTAAAGAAAATACATCACTGGGGTAGAAAAAAAATCTACAATGTTGGTTCAAACCATAGACAACACTTAATACTCATTGAATACTTAACTGCGGATGAATTCAATACATTCTATTAAATGAAAACGAATGATATTCTATACTACTGTGACATCTTGTTCCGAGATAAGACAGTGCACTTGCTTGCTGCACATTTTTGATTTTCACGGTTTTTTCTAATTTTTAGTGACTCGTTCATAAAAAATGTATCAGTTGAATATTTTACGACAGTATTTTACCAGTGAAGATTTGTTGATGACGTTTTTAACTTTTTATGCTTGGAATTGTATTTAATTACCTATAGTTTATCGTTTTTCTTCTTAACCAAAAGGATAATCAAAAGAAAGTATAGTTCTCTTATTTTTCTTTTTTTTTTTTTTGTTGGCGCCCTCAAAAACCGACGCAGAAATGTCGTAAAATTTAAGATCTCGTTTTAGTCTAAAACAAATCAAAAACCCCACTGTTCATTAAAATCACCGGCGGTCAGATCAATAACCCCGTGATTTGACGCGGAATGCCCCATATTTATAGTTAAAATCGTCATGGAATTATCGAGACCGCCGTTTATTACCGTTATACAATGAACTATAACGTCGTTTTCATCATTATAGTGTGCCCAGGTGTTGTTATTGTGCGCACGTGTGGCCGAACCGAAAAACGTTTACTTTCGGCCGGCGGCGTCGCAAAACGACACGGCGACGAGTAGTACAAACGGTACGGCCAGTACGACGACGGCGATGGCCACGACGGCAGCCGCGGTGACCTACGAGGAGTTTTCTGTGTCGGCGAACAAAAGTGACGGCGCCAACGATTCGAAGGCCGCCACGGCCACCGGCGCGTCGGCCGGGCCTAGCCGGTACGCGGACAACGACAAAAGCATGTCGACCAAGACGGACTATTACGGGATTCAGTTTTACGCTCCTCCCGTCATTCACGGTCCTGCGGCCGCCGTCGACATGTTCGGTCGCCACCTGCACCAGCAGCATCCCCCGGCGGCGGTTACCGCGTATCACCGCGCGCAGTCACAGCATCAGCACCATCAGATGCCGTGGGAGTCGACGGCCGCGGTACTCCAACAGGACCACGAGAGCTCGATACTGCAGATGAACCCGTTGTTGGGCACCGCGACCGCGGCCGATGACCCGTCCACAGCCCGGTATCCAGGACCGCGGCCACTGCAGCAGAGGCCAAAGTCGATGGCCAGAATGGTCAATTACGCGGAACCTCTGGCTTTCCTCGCGGCCGAGGCCGACGACAGAGCACTGCTGGACAGTTTGCCTGCCCTGCAGTTTGCCCTCCAACGCGCCACCGGCAAACAGCAATCGGGCGCCGCTCCGGGAATCTACCAGCAGCGAAGACACCTGCAAAGGCTACCTCCACCGCCACCGCCACCCCCTCCACCGCAACTTCACCGCCTGCACCACCATCACCGTTACGCCCCCGCACGGTACACGCAAGTACCGTTCCTATACAATTTGCCGCCCCCTCCACCCGCTCAACGGCAGCTGGCGCCCGCCGAGTACGACCTCGTCACCCAGTTCAACAGGCTTCTCAAGCAACGTGAACGTGAAGAAGACCGTCTTAACGACGAGGATGAGGAAGAGACAGCCACTCGGCCGGCGGCCAAGCCCAAAAAGACCAAGAAAAAAAAGAAAAAGAAAAAGAAGAGAGCGCGGACCACTCCGGTACCGCCGCCGCCAGCGTCCGTTGAGGAGGACGTAAACGAACAGGACGACAAGCAGCAGCAACAGGACGACGACCGGCTCGAAAACGAACAGCCTACGTCCGAGGAACAAGAATCACAGAACGTGCACACCAGCGAGAAGGTAACACGTTTTTTTTTTTTTTTTAATTTATTTGCTTAAGTAGCCGTTCACTTAACCTGACACGGCCCCCAAGCGCCACATCGTATCTTTAACAAGGCCACTGCACCCAAACACGGGACATTAAATAGTTCAATTCCGACAAAACCAATGTTAGAATACAGCTATCGGGTAGCTCAGTAGTAGAACAGTCGTCCGTCAATCGAGGGACTCGATTTCGATTCTCGATTTGGCCGCCTGATTTTTAGCACTATTTTTCGGACGAGAACGGGCGTTTGTAACCATATTAACCTGTTGCTTGGTATTAACTGCTAACCGTTTTTCTTTTCAGTTACCCGACGGAACGGTATTAAACGAAAATGAAGCCGAATCTCAAAACGTGCTCGACGAACCGGTAAGAACTTTTTTTTTACATACTTATCGTATTACTGTTAACTTATGCGATTGCTACTCAGTCAGCTGTCCAAACACGTCCCTACTGTAGGTCGAATCAGTAGCGAAGTAACCTGCAATTTCCTATCAAACTCGAGATATTACGATTAAATCCAATATATATTCTTATAAATCATCGTACGAAATGTTAAACTGGCGTACGGAAGAAAGTAAAAAAATGTGTATATTGGTGTAAGGTCACATCTATAGTTATAGTTTAATAGAGTGACGTGTTTTCTCGAAACATGTAGTTTCTCTCAAATTTTATTTGACATTTTACGATGACGTTGCAGGCCCTGATCAGTGAACAGTTTGGCGGTGATTTGACGTTCGAGGACGGTGAGGGTGAGAGAGTGGAGTTCCAGTTGCACGGACTGGGTGGCCCGGAATCGTACAAATTCGGATTTGACACCGGCAAAGGGTAAGTCGTAAGATTTATCGTCGCAAATCATTTTTAAACAATATTATGTTAAATACACGGTGCTACTACTCAGCATCACAAATCAGACGTAAATGCTAGTTTTTAGTCACCACGTGAATTTTCGAACATCAATCAACATGCGTTATTGATGTCATTAATAAGCGCAAATAAGGGGCTAAGCGTAATTCAAGCCCCCGAAAATTCAACATTTATTAAATATAGTATTCACTAGACGTTTTTTTTTCTTTCACCAAACTTTTGTTTAAATCCGAATTTCTCGACGACTCAAAGAAATTGTTTTATTTCTGTATTTTTATTAAGAAGGTGTTTAAGTTTTGATTGTACAATGACTCTACAATACTATATGATAATTCAACATTATAAAATATATGCAATCAAATAAATTTCACATGAATAAAATACCTACAGGTCGAACAGGCAATTCCGGTACGAGGAAAGGGACTCTGGTGGAAACGTCCGCGGCCATTACGGGTACTTGGACGGCGAAGGAAAAATGCAAGTGTACAACTACAGCTCACATCCGGAACTCGGGTTCCAAGCGCAAAAATCTGAAACTCTCGAAGTGTGAACGGCCACGAAATTCCGTACATCATACGTGTACATATTATTGTTATACACGATATACAAGTATATTGTATATTATATGTATATAAATAAAAATGCCGAAATAAGTGATTCCGGTACACATAGATTTACTGTATAATGTTATTAACCTGTAAATATTAAAATACATATTTATATACGAAAAATAAAGACGACAAACGATGATAATAAAAAAAAAAAATGTCTCTACACATTTACGAGTATGATGGCATCTAATTATTTGCTACTTATATGAAAAACCAACACGTTACAATAATTATATTCACGGAAAAAATAGTTTAATTGAATGTGAACATAATTATTATTTTAACAATAAAATAATATTATATTTACAACAGTTATTGAAAGTAATAATACTTACAATTTAAACAAATATATTTTATTAGTTGGTGACCAATTATAACTTTTATATTCTAACAAATTAATTTATAGTAAATCTTCACACATTTTTTTTGGTGTTTTTACAATTAATAATCAACAAGTATTTACAAAGCAAAACAATTAATAATTTTGTATTAATTAGTATTTATTTGTATATTAAGGAGACTGCACTTGACCGATTTTTTGCTCAAAATATGATTTACAGGAAAATCTATCATATAGTGTGGTCTGATTACAACGATTTTTCTCTGTCGGAATGAGAAAACATTCTACAGGGCGTGTTGGACTTCTATTTTTGATTTTGAACACAAAAAATGAATTTAAAAAAAATGGGCCATAAATCATATTCAAATTATTCAAACTGTTACTACAGCACTGAGAAATTTAATTTTTAAAATCCAAGTCCAATGCGCTCTGTAAAAAGGCATCCTTTTTCCCGACTGAAACCTGATTATTTTTTTGTTCGGCATTCCAAGTGATATCAATTTTCAAAAATATTAACAAAAAACAAAATGTGTAACTATTATATGTGAAACATAAAACAAACAAAAATAATATGTTTTATTATATACGACATTATTGTAGTGTATTCTGTTTTCTGGCCCGTTTTCCACTGATAAAACGAACCGTTTCACAACGATATTTCTACACCGACGGATTTCGGATTTTCGTACCGTGTCGAGCGACGATCCCTGCAGAAGCAGTCGTCTGTAATGCGGTTATTTTATTATTATTATCGCGGCCAATAACGCCGCCGCCGTGTCTGAAAACCGTCAAACACGGTGATCCACTCGAACGGTGTTTTCCCCGAGTAGTGTAAACGGACGAACGATGTGCCACGGGGAATGAAAAATCCGATAGAAATCGATTAAAAGGCGAGTAAACCACCTGTAAACGGTGAACCGGGTGGAGTGGTGAACGAGGAGGGGGGGGGAAGAAATATTAATTGTCACGGCTAGCTGAACGGCGAAACCGTGTGTAGTTAAACGGTCGATGGGCATCGAATACTTGCGGATCTACGTGGATTTCTTTTCTATTTCTTTTAAATTCTGAGCGCGACGAGAAATGCATTGGTTTTACTATGATATCGTTTTTTTTTTCCGTGTCTATCCGCAAATTGTCTACCAGAAATTTTGCTCAAAACAAAAACTTTATAGGTATTTTCTTGTACAGCGTTTTGGATCTGGTTAGCAGTACACATTGAGAAAATAATTTGTTTGATTTTCCTTGTATTCGTCTTCTTAATAATTGGGAAAAACAGTACATTTGTCGTCGATTTTACGAATTACCGCCCTGGCAACAAGAGAAAAACACGATTAATACGACACCACCCAGAATAATTCTTTCGTTTGCAACGATTTATCGTTTCAAACGGTCTACGAACTAAAACACCCTGTATATCCTACTTTGCAAACTACCCTCATACTAAAGTGACCTACCTATGAACGGTTTCATATTTTTGTTTTTTTCTTTTATGGCGGGAACGGACGGGTCAATATCGTGTACGAAATCGTTTCAAATAAAACCGATAATATTCCACGCATATTTTATTCGACGTTTTTACGACAACGACAATGTATTTTTTATATTATATTTAATGTTCGCACAGCGACGAAACAACTGCTAACATTAATAATATTATCATCATAATAATATGTGCATTTTGTTTACGATATTATGTGTTGTATTTCTGTTTCGTCAATAAAAATGCCGACACCATAGTGATATACTGATATGTGTTCAATAATAAAGTTCGAATAGTACTATGTCTGTTATTAAATTTCAATAGAGATAACGGAATCGGTTTTTATACACTTGTAAATATTCCTTTAATATAGTTCCTATAATACTTGGCATACAGAGTTATCAAAAAAAAAAAAAAAAAAAAATGGTCATCAACAGTCAGTTAGCTCGGTGAAAAACGAAAAAGGTTAAGAACCTAGATACAACAATAAACGTCTCTTATCGTTTTTCTTTTGTAACATTATTTCTAGTAGAAAACATAGTTTGCAACAATTAAAATCAATGAAAACGGTAACGCCGCGGCGCGCAGTCAATATTTGTCATTTTACTTATAATTTTCTTTCTGGTTTTTCCCAATTACATCGAAAACCCCTTGGAAGTTCAAAAAATGATCTCTCCTATGCACTTAAATAGATAAAATTTCCTATACAGAAAAAGTGCTACACTCTATATATGGGAGCAAGATTTCTGGTTAAAAAGTTATTAACAGACAAAAAAACAAACACACACATCATGGTAAAACCAACCTTTCTACGCTCCGAATCTAATATAAAAATTTGTTCAACATTATTTTTTAATTTCTCATAGGCTGAACCGTTTGAACTGTAAACCATATGTGATAAGAAAAAATTGGTGACAAAAAAAAAAAAAGATATCAAAACAGCATTTATGCGTAATATTACTGCCAAAATATAAATAAAAACATTTGAAAACTACATTCTTAATAGTTATGAAATTCAGAGCAAGATTTCTGGTAGAAAACATATATCGAACAAATTTAACATAATGAAATCGGTGACTCCGCGTCGTGCCGTAAAAATTTGTCTGTTTTTTCTATATATTTTTTTTCGGTTTTTTACAATTATTGTGAAAACCACTTTATCAAAAAATAACTTTCCCAAAGCGCCAACAAGATCCAAAATATAACAAAAATATCTTTTTTAATATTTTGATTGGAGCAAGAGTTCTTGTCGAAAAGTTGTTCACAGAGAGAGAAAAAAAAACATATATCGTAAAACTAATACATTCCACAGTACGCTCAAAGTTTAATAAATTAATGAACACACATCATGCTAAAACCAATTCTAAAATAAAACGTTATAAGCGGCAAGCCGGTAATTAAGATAAATAATACGCATGTATATTATTGTAACTGATAACACTGTTAACGACCCGAACTAGGCGTGTGTTCGGACAATTTTTATGAAGGGGGGGGGGGTAGTACAATAAATTTAAAACACTTAAGTTCTAAAATGTGTGATAAGTAAAAGTAAATTAAAGTAATCGCTCATTACCAAATTGAGTCCGGCGTTATAATAAAACGCGATTAAAATTAATATGATTATATTATACGTACTTAAGTAGAGCCGCTATTTACCCCATTAAAGAATTATTTTAATTAAATATTCGAAAATCAAAACATTATTAATTCAAAATGTAAACATTATAAATAATTAAATACAATGACCAGGCTATTTTGAGTTAAAATAGTTGTTTGCCTTGTTAAATTGTACAATACTAAATCAATTTTCCTTTTTGCCAGTTCATCCAACATTTCTTCTGGGTAAATTTCAATTTGTCCATGAGTTTTTATCTGAGCCATAATTTACCAGTCGAAATTCTAATATCCAATATAAAAATGTTTAAGAAAAAACTGTGTTTCATATGAAAATGTCCATCTACTTATCACGCCATCTGTTGTTGGTTCACAAAAACAAGTCCATGGTTGGGATTCTGAGACACCCACACGCCGTGAATATACCACTGACACCTGAACCATAGTTATAGATATTATTGTTTGGTTGTCTGGATTTGCTATTTGCTACAATACACTCACAGACTATCAAACGGTACATTTCTAATTTACTATATTTGTTACCATTTAATATTAAAAATGTATAATTATTCATCAGAAACCTGTGAAATGATTGATCTTACTAGTGAGTATACTTGACTAAGTGTGAATAAAATGTTTGTAAAATATCGTACTATGCAAATGAAAAATAAAATACGGTATTTTTCCATTAGCGCCTACGATGGAGTATTATATACGTTCATATACGTATACGGGACACGGCTACACACACACACGGCTATTGCGAGTACCGGGGACCTTTTTTTTTTCTTTTGGGTGACTTCGGGTCAAGGGCGTCCGCGATTCTGCAATCCGGCCCTGTCCTATACCTATACGGCGGACGGATGGACAACGGATTTGAGGAGGGGGGGAGGGGGAGGGAGAGAGAGAAGTTGCGTGCCTACGGTCGACTACGCCAGCCGGCATATCGTACACCACGACGCGCATCAACGTCGCGTATCCAAATTACCTATAATAATAATAATTACGACGTGATGCCAATGAGACGATTGTTCGGTAATGCAATTTATTGTACACCTGCGTGTCGAGCACTGCACTGTGATGTTATAATAGCCGACCGACAGCGCATTATACATTGTATTACGTATAGTAACCTACGTCGGCCACTAGTCCGCCCGTGCCGTCGGACTTCCGACCGGATGGAACGGCCGTGCGCGGATCTCACGAGACTGTGAAGGGTCGAGGCGTTTCGGGGAGCCGATCGGATATATTTTCCGTTTCGAGCTTTAATCGTCGACAATTATTTCGCGATGGCTACCGCCGGTGTATAAATACGAAAAAATCTCATCGGGCCCCCCCAGGGAATCCGTTCGCATCGCAAGCGCTCGCACACACATCACCTGTACATTACCTTGTGTCATGTGCGGACCGAACTCGGGACGCGATCGCTGGACGACGACGACGCTGTTGGTCGTGGCCGTCCTGTTGGCTGCCGGAGAAGTCCACGTAAGTATATTTTATAACGTTACATATCGATTATCTTGTTAGGGCTACAACACGGTTGGTCGAGGAATGTATTGTTTCTACAATGGTGTTTATTTTTTTCGCGGACAACTTTTCTACCGGTAAATGTTTCCGATTTACACGAACTGCAGTGTAAAATAACCGAAAATGAGGAGTTTAACGTATACCTACAATTTAGAAAATAATAATAAACTGGATTTTAAAAATGGGTACTATAACTCGCGCATGCGTATTTGATAATTGGCAGTACGTTATGTTATGTATAAACTTCTTTAAGTACCTATTAACTATTTAACGTAACTAGAATCCTTAGACACAAACACTCGATCAAAATGTTTCAATTTGTTTGTAGGTCCCGCCCTAATGTGTAACAAACTGGGCAGGTACCAAAAATTACCTGTAAATGGTTAAATATTTGTTACACTTTTATTTATTGGTATCGGTTTTATATTAGGTACCTACTATTTGTGGTTATTATTATCAAATTCGTCGTTATACCTAATAAAGAACATTCGTGATAATTTCGATTGAGAAAATAATGCAATTATGTTGTGTTTAGAAGATAACTAATGTGAACGTCGTATTCGGCTACGGCCTTGCCGGAGTCTTACAACGATTCTTGTAACACTTAACGGCCGTGGCGCGGGCGTGGTCATCGTCTATCCACGGAAGTTCTTCAAATAACGTTCGTGGAAAATTACTGTCGGCACCGCGTCACTTCGGTGTTCGTTAATTTGTTGTTCAGTTTTCGTCTTATCCCGTCAGAAACCGGGTCGCGAGTGTTTACACGTGCGCGTAATGTAATTATTATTTTAGTGAGTTTTTTCTCCCGTTTGTTCTATTATTTCACTTTACAACGAACTCAAATAAACAGTACGTGACTGCGTGAGTACCCACTGGGCAAGTCATCATTAAAATGGAAAACCTGGGTCTCGATTTCGCGGACGGATCGGTCGTCTGTTTTTTAATACTGTTGTTGCTCTTTTTTAGAAATCAGTATTAAAATTGTAAAAAAAATAAAAACTAACGAAACAGCTATGCTTGATAAATTTGATGTTCCCGAAATCGAAATGATACAGATTACAGATCTAAAAATATGGAGGAAACCTTTTTTTTTTTTATCGACGCGAACATAATATCACGAAAAACGCATGGAAAAATGAAAATCTTGATACACCCCAATAAAATATACTTATAAATAGATATAACATGCAACATTAACAATACAGTGCAATAGTCTCTGGTTTTGGAGAAAATCCGATCAAAACTATTATACATTACGGCAACTTTATTTTTCCACCAAGTACCTATCTACAGTTAATGGAAATATGTTGTATCAATTAAATTGTTGACATTTTGGCTGGCCCAAAAGAATTATGTTCATACGAATCTAAATACCTTAATACTTTAAAAAAAAAAAAAAAAATATTCGAAACGTCTAAACGCTTTTAAATAACCCAAAAACACTATAATTATATTTTGAAAATTGTCAAAACGCTAGTACACCGAATAACCGTGGTATTCCACGTTCGGCCGCGTGTTGCAGAATCTCAAGTGTCGCACGACGGACCAGTCGAGGCGCCAGGGAGAATTTATCGACATAGCGGAACAATGTAAAAATCAGACGGCGAGGGGAATGCCATCGTCATCACAGGAAAGCGATTACCCGTCTGCTGCGGGTTACAACAATGGCAGCAGTCGTGACAACAGGATAAACTCTGGCAGGCGACCGGGTAACCAGGACGGCCGGAGAAACAATAATCGAGAATACAACGTGCACCGACAGGATTTTGGTGATATCTACGGCCATGGTTACGGTAGCGGTGACCGTCATAACAGTAAAAGTGAACACGGTAATAGTAATAGTGACCGCGGTAACGGCGGTGACCGCAGTAATAGTGACCGCGGTAACGACGGTGACCGCAGTAATAGTGGCCGCGGTAACGGCGGTGACCGCAGTAATAGTGACCGCAGTAACGGCGGTGACCGCAGTAATAGTGACCGCGGTAACGGCGGTGACCGCAGTAATAGCGAAAACCGGGACTCGACGTCCTGCAACGTCCAGCAATCTTCGGTAAGTGGATTTCAAAGTATTTAAAAGTTTTTAAAACTATGTATTTAACTGATATTTACAATTTATCTTGTCGTGTGAAATTTAATTTTTTGAATTATAGCTTTTGAAATGATAGTATATATAATGATGTATCCAGCACAAAGGCTGGGCAAGTTAATGATGTTTTATGTATTTCACACGACAAGTGTGTCGAGAACTCTCCTAAATTTTTAATATTTTTTTAAACTCGGTGTAGGAGTATAACGGTGGCCAACGAGGGGACCATAAACGGCAAGGGAATTCGTACAATCCTAGTGTCGATTACGACGCGAAGCAATCGAATTTCAATATTAGACAACTGCAGCAAACGAGACGGTACCGCAGAGATGTTTACAATAAAAATAATAACCGTCGGGGTGCAGCAGCGACGACGACCGGCAGAGGCCGACTGTTGGGAGACAACCGTTTCAGAAATGTGACGAAAAACGGATCTAATCAAGCCAAAGGATCGATTCTCGAAAACATGGACGCCGTAAGAGTATATTACTTATATTACTTATATTACCAATTTTAAACCATGATTCGAGTAGATCTATTTTTTATATTAAAATGATTGCTCACCGCAGTTTAAAATTTATCAACAAGTATGAAAGTATTTTCTCTATTTCTGAAAAAAATAAAAATGCGTGACTTTTAAAGTAAAGAAGTTAGATTAATTTTTTATGAGGGAAAAATAATAATTAAAGATAATCTTAAAATAATAACCTACGATTTTAATAGTTTTAAAAAAGAAAAAAATTAAGTATATTTTTTAATAAACTTGAATCCTAGACAGTTTTTTGAGATATAGGATCATTCGAGTCTAGTTACCATTAGAGTTAAACAAACATAAGTATAATATATGTAGTTAGTAGGTACACTACGCCAAATGAATAATAATATATGAATATGCTTAAAATTAATTATGTGATGATTTTTTTACAGTGCACAATACATTGTGTATTCAATCAACTAGAAATGGTAAGTTTTTTTGCTAAATCGAATAAATGTATCAACAATAATATGAGAATAAGCTTTCCAGGAACATATTATAGCGTATTTAAAAATAAATATGAGAGAATGAGAAATCATTGATGAGTAATCACTAATCACTGTTTAAACACTTACACTTTGTTTAAAAAATATACACATTTTTATAGTAACATAGGTAATATTATATATTTTTATAAACATATAAATTATTTTTTTTTTTTTATTCTGTATGTGCTACAATAAAAATTATAATATCTAAATGTATTATCTTAGATAGTTATTGGCCAGTGGCAGTTATAATTGAAGTTCAAAATGGGTGACGAAATTAAGTAAAATTTTAAAATCCCCCTTCACCCCTAAAAAGTCTAGAAACTATTTTTTTTGGTACAAATAGTAAAAAATGATGCATTGGTATTATTACTTAGAAAACAACTTTAAAATGATGATAAATAGCCCAGAAATTACAAAAATATTTAGACACTGTTACCACGTTGATAAAAGACTAATACCTATATCTATAAGTATTCTGTGAAAATTCCGGATCTCTACAATTGTTTTAAATCAAATCATGACAAAAATAGAAAATTGAAATTAATAAAACCCTGCATTATCCCAGTTTACTACGAAAACCACAAGGATAATTTAAAAAAAAAACCTCCTTAATGTACTAACTAGATAGATCCAAAATGCTACAAAAAAAATTTCTTATCCTAAGGGATCGTGGTAGTGGTGTGTAGTGTCGCACCCATATAAATAAGCCCATGACTGACGGCTGGTTGGATGTTTGGCACAATTGATCAAAATTACCCAATCCGAAACTGTTACGACCAAATTATAATTACCCTACACGTAAAATAAACAGAAATATTCTACTAGTTATGCAATTTAAACGTTTAATTAATATTTTAGATTCTGAGCGTGGCGAGGGAGCTATTGGTTTTACTAAGATGTTTATTTCTTTATTTATTTTTTTTTCTTATAAAAACTTCATACTTTTCAATCCAGACCAATTTGAACCAAGCTCACAAATTTTTTCAAAGCCCGGATCAGCTCATTTCGGATTATATAGGTATTTTTTAAAAAAAAACCAACCCCCGCACTAGGATAAATATGGTGATTAAGAACCTAAACCAGATCGTGCACATAAAACAAATTAATTGGAAACCAAATAATATGATTTCATTTAATTGACTAATCATCAAATTAAGTATTAATCAATATTATATATTTTAATATTTATTTTATCTTTTTTTTCTTGGTTGAACCGTGACACCTGGCGGAGTTCCACATTACTTCCACCAGAGATATTTATTTTACCAGGATCATGTCTATTGTCTACTCAGTTAAAACATTACCACTTGAGTTTATAAATAACTAGATAAAAATATTTTAGACATTTACATTTCACAGTGTTACACGTATATCCTACGCTACATTCGACAGTAAACAACGTTTATTTTTTAATTTCCTGTTTCGACGTAAAATAATATTTAATAAGTCATGTCTTATCATAACGAACACATGCTATTTAAAAATAATTAGAAATAAATTGACAAATAATACTATTTTTCCAAGCATAAAACCCAGACCAAAAGACCGGATCAAACCACTCCAGTGATATTAAAAACATACATTAAAACTTCCATATAACGGTCACCGAAAGGACTCGAAATAATGACCGCTATTTAGAAAGGTGACTGTCCTTTAGAGGTTTCCTATAGAGGCATAACACGACGGGACCAAAAAAATGACCGTTATACAGATGTGACCGTCAACGAAAGTTTTACTGTATTATGATTTGAACCAAACCTGACCCATTATGACTATCTTAGACCCGAATACCTAAACCAAGAAATTAAAAAGCATGTTGATCGAACCGGATCTAATACGGATCCCGGTCCGGTCCGGGTTGACCCTACTAGGTAGGTACTACTTACCTACCATTTGCATAACTTATACCTAAATTTACTTAAACCACGATGGCAACATCTGACTACGGTGGAAAGTTAGGTTGACAAAGCATAATCATATTTTTAAAAAAGACTAGTTTATGTATTCAATACTCCGGTGGGGTCACTAGTCCTCATTATAATGTAATTAAAGTAATTAAACCAGGACAATACTTAATTTTAAACAATTTTAATTTTTGCCTGACAGCTGAATTCTGCAACCTCCCGTCCGGACAAACCGTCAATAGTGAACATTATGACCAATCATATAAAAGATGTTGAACTAAAAGAATTCATACAGGATTCTATCGAAGAATGCTTTGACACTCTTGAACTCGGTAAGTTAACTTGATCAAAATAATGTAAGAATCTTATTATTATTTTTCGTAATTAGTTTTTTTAAAAATGTTAAGAAACAATCAGCTTTAAAATATGCTATATTAGGTAGGTACCGTTATTTTTTTTCGTCTATATTTTTGAAGTAAAACTACCTAATTTTGACTTTCAAATATAGCAAACCAATATTTAAAAAAAAAACCGATACTAGGAACGAGTAATACCGTTGTAGGTAGATAGTTGGGAAGGTATAGGATACATAGTTATTTATTCGGAGCGAAGTTTAGTTAGATATGTTCTGAAAGGCCATAATATTTAAAATTTTCGTCAAAATTTGATGTTCAAAAACTTATAAAAAAAAATACTACATTACACTCAATTTTTTTTTTCGACTACTAAGTACAACTTATAAATTATAATGGACCACCTGTTAAATTTCTAAGCACTTTTGTTTATTCTAAAAATTTAGTCCACAGAGTAGGTACCAAATAAAAATTACGTAAAAATATCACAAAATTAAAATGTATATAAATAGTTCAAAAATGGCTCAAATATTTTGAATATTTTACCAAAATGTTAAAGAAAAGTCGATATAAGATTTGTCAAAATGTCAAGTCTCTACAAATAAGTTTAATTGAATTACCTACTACTAACAACAAAATTGAAAATAATGAAATTATTATTTTACAAACGATTATGTTGCTGTTGACATTTTGAATTTCCATTAATTCATGAAATTTGTAATAGATAACTACCTATTTTTCTTTTTTATAGACAATAATCGATTTTCTGTTTTAATGTGTTTTAAATTCTTAGTGAAACGAGGGATCAATTGGTTTTACTATTTTACCTTTCTTGTTGCATTTCGGTTCTAGTTTGTACTTTAGTAAGGTCACTTTTTGAAAGTCTCCTTAATAATTGAGATAATGAGGAAAACTAGTTCTTCAGGTTAAAAATAAGGTTGCCATTGTTAACTGTATATATTATTTTAATCTTTTTAAAACAATGGTTGTTGTCATGAAAATGCCCATTGTTGAAAAAACAAAAATATTATCCGAGCTCCAATCAGAATCGTTTTGCTTTAGTAATTATTAATTGTTGCGTACAGATATAAATTAAATTCCCCTATATATCCTATCTTCCCAACGTCCTAACTACTACAGTGGCCACACTCGTTCCCAGTATCAGTATTTTGTTTAATGCATTTTCAACCTGATATTGTAACTAAATTAGTGTATCTAAATTCCATACTTTTTTTTCTTTGTAAAAATGATAAACCATTAAATAATCAATTTTGTCTTAGTATGCTTTGACACACCCTCCCACATTATTTGTAGGTATAATAATAATATAGTATTTTATTCAATTTCGTTTAGACTCTCATAATACAAAATGCGAATTTTCTAAAAACTTTGCAATTTGCATGGAGAATAAAGCACAAAAGGTAAATTTTATTCGATTCTTCTCAACTTAAATGTTTAACACTATCGTCAATTAAAAATTTTGTTTCCCCTATTTTTTTGTTGCAGAACTGCGATGACTGGGACGAAATCGACATGCAGTCTGCAAACAAGATGAATTCCGCCCAAGAAGGGAACAATAACCAACCAGATAAAAGAAAAGGATATTAAAATTTATTAACTTTTCAGATTCCACTATAATACCAAAATTTGTACATGTGATTGATTACATTTTTTTAAATCGTTTATAGAGTAGTCAAGTTAATAGCTTTTTATTTTAATGTCATAAAACTAATTTTACATGTTAAAGAACATCAACTACCTATTTATATATACACTATTTATAGTACGAAAATTGTTTAAGTTTTTTGTAGCTTAAACCTCGATTCTAAGTGTTCCCTATCTTTATTGTTTTGTAGAATAATATAAAATATACAATAGTGAAATTTAGAGAATAGAAAATTAAATTTAGAGCACATGTTTTTAATCTGGGAGACGCAACTAACAAAGGGGTTGAGAGTAAAATAGATTTAGAGGGTTGCCAAAAACCATAAATATCATACCTACATACTGTTTAGTTTATAGTTATATTAAACAATTTTTAAAGAAGTCATCTTACATTTAAATAAAAATTAAGGGGGTCGTGATTCATAAAAGGTTGAAAACCACTGATCTAGAATGCCATTCTCGCAATGGCTATTAGTGCATCAACCAAGAAACATATTTTTAATAAAACAGGATTTTTAGTTTACAGTTAACAATATTAATTTTTTTTACAATAAATGAATAAATTGTAATATAATTGTTTCCTTAATTAAATTAATTTATTTTCAGTACTATCTTAATACCATTAATAACTTGAATAACATTGAAAAATAATTAGTCAATTAAAAATCAAAAAATCCAATTGATAAAAAAGTAAACAAATTAAAATAAAAAAAAGGAAAATAAATAGGTGCTAATGGATGTGCCACTATTTAGGTGGGAAGTTGGTAACATAGAACACATAAACTTATTTAATTCATATTAATAATCAATGATAAACCATTGATAACAAAATATGATCTAAGAGTTATACAGGTAATTTAATCTTAAAACGCCAATCAAAAACACTAAAGCATTCAACTCAAATTTCCTTTTTTGACCACAAAGTAAAACTTATAATAAACCTTCTGTTCTTGAAAGGAATTCTGTTTAAGAACAGTAAAGGTTTTTATCTCCATTAATAAGTACAAGGAATATCATAAAATTACCTACTCCGCCCACACACTCTTCATCAACAGTCCAGATTGATAAAATTCACCAGACTAAAAATGTAAGTATCACCAGTCTTAACTGTCAATCAAAAAGATTATTCATTCAATTAAAATGCATAGTTGCGCTTTAAAATCAGTTAACTAAATTAAAGTTAGTATCGACAAAAAATAACTAAAAATCAATTATTAAAAAAATTTAAAATATAATCATTGTAATCAATTACATGTTTCACTGAAATTTCTTTAAAACAACTTTTAATCTTTTGACTACATCTTCTAGTAAACTGGATGCACCGATACGGAATAAACTTGCTTTCAACCAATCATTTCCTAACTGGTTTTTAACCAAAACAAGCCAACTAATTGCTTGTTCATAAAATTTAATTCCTCCAGCAGCTTTAATACCCACCTGTCAAAAAGATAAACTTAAAAAACACACTTATAAACAACAATAGTTTAATACAGATAATGTTATGATAAAATATTAATACTTGATAACCAGACTTATGACAGTAAGTTTTAATTGCTTCACACATAACTACACCATGACATAATGTGGCATTTTGAGCTTCTTTTCCTGTGGATAGAAATAATAGTTTTAACAACATGAAATAAAGTTATGAACAACAGTGCTCTATCACTAGAGTTAAACTTTCACTAAGCGCACTTTTTGCCGCTAACATATTTCATAAGACTGCATTGTCTGTCATTACTCTATGTCAAATGGCATTTTTTAACAGAGTTGGAAATGTACGTGGAATTTGGTGAAATTGTATTTAAAGTTTTAAAATTCATTTTTTTTTTAATGATGTATTTAAAGAATTAGGTTACGCTTTTACTTAGTATGCCTTGTGAAAATATGAAATTTGAAAATACAAAATTTTAAGGGAGAGAGATGTTTTTCAATGGCTAAAAGGCAAATCCTTGATACTTACACCATACATAAAGAATATTTTATTATCCTGGATTTAATTTGAGGGGAAGGTGGGTAGTAAAAATGCACAAAATAAAAAAGTCCCGAATTCACATTGAAAATAAATCGAAATTTGATTACTTTAATATACCTATAAAACAACTCTAGTTCCCGATTTTGAGTTTATTTGGTCCAGAGAAAGTTGTTAAGTGTCTAAAAGTGACAGGGAAAAGACATAACGTAAGATAAAACAGACACAATAAAGGGCAATAGTCATTATTATATGGTAAAATTTAACAATAACCATAATGTTATGCACATTTTTTTTAAATTTATATTGGTTTGAGATTTTTTTTGAAAATAGTAATTGGTTATAATAAAATTAAATAAAATTAAAAATATTAATGCTTATAAAAAATGGTAGGTAACTTTGCTTTTATGGTTTTACGTTAGCTAAGTTCTTTTAGAAATATATTTTCATTAAATTGACTCTACATTTGTTAATGTTGGATAGTTTTATCTTAATATTGTACCACTAAGTTCACAAATTAGAAAATAATTTATGAAACAAATTTAATTGTCTTTAAAAAAAAAAATGTAAATGCAATTATAATTTAATTGTATGTATACCAGTAGATGTTTTAATGAAATCTGATCCAGCCATCATAGCCGTCATGGCTGTTTTATACACCAACGAATAAGAACCTATTTCGCTAACAGATAAAATTGTTTTCAATAAAACTTCACCATTGTTGCATATACTTTTAATGGCACGTAAGTTATTGTATAGTTTCTTAAAATCACCATCAATAACTAATCCACGATCAATTACAATATCTATTTCTGATGCTCCATGTGAAATAGCAAACTCCACTTCAGCTATTTGACTACTCAATGGCACTTGGCCCATAGGAAATCCTCCTGCAACTACAATTGGTTATTAATAAAAAAAAACAAAAATACAAATAAAATTATATTATAATAATAATATTTAATTCCATATAAACTTACCAGAGGCAATATCTAGGGTTTGTTTTAGAAATCTAAGTCTTTGTATAGCATCAATTACACGCACAGAAGATACACAAATAGTCGCTGGAGTCAATGTACTAGTGTTGAAGTACTCATAAATACTACACAAATGATCAGAGTTCTTTATTTGTTTAATATCAGTTAGTAATGTTGTTTTAGTGTATGTTAGGGCCTAAAAAATGTGTACACAACAAATGATAAACCATTGCTTACGAAAATACGATTCTGAGCAGAGTTCAGTTGATAGTAATGCATAGTCAACAATAAATATGCTATATTATAGTAAAATAATTAAATAGGCTTTATATATTTTTTTTAATAATATTTGTTTACAGTTGAACCAATTTCCTCGGTATCCCCATGTTTTTTCCCAGTTTTTCACATTTGCTGAGAAAACTCCAAAGAAAATCAAAAAACTACCCTCTCTAAAGTGAAATTTTCTTTTAGAAAAATGTCTGTCATTAAAAGTTTGAGCAAAATGGCACAGCAAAATGATATGATAATCTGATGGAAGAATATTTTAAAAAATGACAAAAAACGAATATTAAAAGCAATCCTTGTTAAAATTATATACTTACATTTTACTATGCAATTAAAAATAATTTAATGATATAAATAATACATGTACTTAAACCCATTAGTTAGGTTGTTCTAGACTACAGAATGAAAATATCCATTATTTATCCGGCAATGTCAGTCAAATGAAAAATAGAATTTGTTTATTTTAAAATAAAGTAAACAATTTGTTTTCATATTTTTACTTTTTTTCATATGAAATAATGAGTTAAATATTATTTTTACTATGACATTTTATGAAGATAGAATTATTTTCTATAATTTATAATTTTAAATTTTTTTTCATAAATATTTTAGTTTTCGAAAAAAATTAAAAATCTGAAGTTATCAAGTACATATTTATACAAAATTATTTTTTTATACCTATTAAAAAAATGGAGGGAGATACTCATTTTGAATTTTCGCTAGTAAGTTTTTTTTGGACCTCTTTAATATGTACATACATACACATACATATTAGATATTATATAGATACATTTTATTATTACCTTGTCGACAAGGGCTTCAGTAGTACTTCTATTGTCTGTTGAATTAAGGGAAGTGAGATCCATCATATGCAATATAAGCCCTAAATAAGGAGCTTCTAATTCAGGCAAAAATCCAATTTTAGTAAACCTGTCACATTCGTCTGCAATAGCTATAATATCTTCCTCTTTGAAATCCACACAAATTAGCATTGATTCATCTAAAAATAATTTTAATGTTGATTACTTATTATTAAAGCTCGGATGTTAATGATTAAAATTTCTTTAAAATATGCAATTATATAACTTAATACGTACAAAATATACCTATTTTTTAACAAATATATAAAAAAGAAGGTATTAATATTAATTTAGAATAAATTATATACTCTTTTAATCGTGCATGCATTAAATATACAATTTTTTTAAAAAATTAGTTTTACAAAAAACTCGGTTATTATTAATTCAAAATATAAATAATTCAAAATCAAAAAATAAAATAATTCAAAAATTTAAATGTTATATAGTTTAAGTACTTTAAATCTCAGGATTACACTGTATAACAACTATTTTACTTATATTTTCAAATTTGAAAGACCTTCGATAATCTGACAGCATGTTTTTGTAAACTACCCCCTGTACCTACCTAGCTACAGTAAGTTTATAAATAAACTACTATGACTAGGTATGTCAGCAACTTATATTGATAGCGTTAACAACAGCATTTATGTAGTGATATACCGTGTTTGGTTAATAGTTACTATACAAATTTTTAATGTTATATTTAAAATTGTTTAAAATATGCTACTTAATCTAAAAATAATCAATACATGCATTTATATGCTCAAAAATGTCAAATAAGCAAATATATGCAAAATAAGTTTGCATATTTGAAATCTAGATTTCATGAATTAAATTTATATCATATTCAGGTATAATACTGAATTCACTAAAAAAATATGCAGTCATTAACATCCGTGCTCTACTTATTATTGTGTTAATAATTTAATGCATCAAAGGTTATTTTTTTCAAACTAATACAATAATAGTTCTAATATCCTAATACACTGGGCACATAATACAATTTACACACACACACGCGCACATTTTCTTTAAAAGGCCAACAGAACTATCAATCTTACTGAATAGTTAGAATTATTTATTCTTTATATTATTGAAAAAAGAAAATATCTTATACAGCCCATCGGCAGTGTTTGCTGCAAAACAAATTAAAAATTTAATAGGTACCTACCTAAATTAATCAGATATGATTATGAATACATCACAAACAATATACATACGTATATTTATATCAAAGATCATTAGTTTTCATTATAATTCCAAAATATGTAACTATTTTATGTGCCTAGAAAACATCTTACCAAAAATAATTCCTGGGTTTGACATGATTCCAATGATTGTGCACGAACTAAAAACAGACACAGTGGTTTCCTAAAAATCAAAACGATTTGAAGCGTATTGCTAACAATATTTCTTGGTTATAACTTCGTTGGGCGTAACCTTTGCACTATACTACAACAGCATGTCTCAGTAAACTACTGTGCACTTTATACTGTCGACATAAAAATTAAATAGATGGACGTTGCGAAGTTCAAATTATTAATTAGGCGTAGCGTACTATCGTGATTCGTTAAATTATCAGTGTGATAATGTTGTCATCGGAATTATCGCTAAGGTGTGACATTTTATCACGACGCCTAGTTATGGTTAGCATTTGTAAATTTGTGTTATCAATCGAACAGTCGCGAATTGATCCGTGATACTCTGTTGATTATTTACTTATTATTTATTGGCATTTTGCTTACCATCCTAACCTTAAGATTAGTTTTTAATTAATGTTACACCGTTTCTAAGTGGTCGATTACACATTCTTTACGTCGTATCGTCGTATAGTTCAGTGTGCCGACAAATCGAACAAATTGTTTAATTGTATTTTAATAATTCAGTGACTTGAACTTTGTGTACGAACCAGATCAATCATAACGAAAATAATTTCATATCTAAACAGATACGTTATTCATTTGGTAAGTAAAAATATATAATAACATAGATGTTTTCTAAATGTTCAATTTATCTACTATAAGCATGTTGAATGTTGATTGTTTATTATGGTAATTCGTGTAGGTACATCATAGTCAAAATATTTTTCTTTTTGGATTTATTTACCTAGGTCCTCAAGAGACAGTTGCGGATTACAAATTTTTTCGTAGGTCATTTTTATACTTTTTATGTAGTAGATTAGCACAATTGGCCAGTTCAAGAGAATTCGATTTAGTTAAGTTAAACATAAATCCAAAATTATTATTTATATCATAGTATACAATTATTATTCTCTCAAATCGGATGTTAAGCTATCAACAATTTCAATGTAATAATTCACTTTCAGAAATTTAGTTCTGGAACTATTTCATTTTTTCTTATTTCATCATAAACTTTAACATTTGTTAATAATAATGCTTTTTTTTTTCACATTGTTCAAACATACTTGTACTTCTCAACTGTGTGACATAATTAATCAAAGAACTATGTAAATTTAATACGGTTATTAAATCTATTGATATTTATTGAAATTTCTTGTTTATGAAGTTAAATCGTTCAAGCACATCACTTCAGAATAAAACTCAAATTGCAGTTTCCAATTTATTTTAATGCGAAAAAAGTTGTTCAGTATCATATTTCACAAATTAGTATACACATAAGTATTTCCAATGCAGTCTGTTATTCATGTTATCTACTCATGTTCACATACTATCTTATGATTATTTTATCAATTATTTTGCTACCACCTACCAACCAGCATTAAACTTTACACTTTTTTACAACAGCTACAGACTACAATCTAAACTAAAATTTTTTTTTGAAAATAGAGTCAACCCATTGGTCTATTCGGCGCCCGTTTAGACCCGGCACTCTGGGGCAACTGCCCCAGGTTGTTCCATGTATTGATCCACCACTGCCAAGAGATAAATGTTTAACTACTACCTACTTAATAACCACTGTGCTATTAGTTCTATGTACAGTAATATAATAATATATTGTATATTTCGGACAATAAAATGGTTCTCCTGAAATATGGAAACGTTTCAGATATTCAGATACCCATTAAACTAGTGAAAAATAACCACTCATAATATGTTTTTTCATAATAATTACTGAACTGGTATAGGTATGTTGGTTTATTTTTCTTAGTACAAAGTACTTACATACATGATTTTGATAATTTGTTTTGTTATAAAACTGTAATTTTTTATTTACCATGTACCTAATTACTAATTATTTTAATAAATCCATAGGTATTATTTAAGTATTCACTACATACTTAATATTATGCATACATAATATATTTGCATTAAAGTTTCAGCAAACAAAATGTATCAAACCGTCTATTAGTTTAATGATGAGATTATTGTTTATACAATTGACTCCGTTTAATGGAAACATCAGCTAATTAAGATAATCACTTAATCAGGACAACTCTTCAATTACTAAAACTAATGGTTGTAAATATTTGCCACTTATGTGGGCTACAAAACTGGATTGTTGGGATATTGTCAAGTATATTTCATCAGTAATAATCGTTAATATATTAATATTCGTTCCTCAATATTATTTTTGCCACCATGTACATCATCATTTTTCATTAGAGTTTCATTTCTGTCATTTTAATTGTTTTTTATTATGTTTATTTTCAAAAATAATGTATGTTAAATGTTATATGCGCATATACCATCAATTGTTAATCGTTAAATAAATTAATATAAACACAATTAATTTAATTTTTCTGTATTATTATATCAATAACTCTCTATCAAAATATTTTATATTTTATTTTCTAACTGGATTAGTAGGACAAAACACGTAGGTAACCGATGTGACCCAATAAAACAGAGTTGATTGTATATCCTTTTTTAGTGCTCCAATATCAAATTTATATTTTTTAACTGTTCAAAGTAAATATTAATTTCAATTGTAATTGTAGGAAAATTAATCTCTATAGATATTTTTATTAACATTTATCATGTACTTAAAAAAAATGAAAGTGGGTACTTAAATAACAGATATTTAAATTAGGTAGGTACCCAAATTTTTAGCAAATTATTTTAAAATAAATGTAAAGGTACTTAAATAACAGATATTTAAATTAGGTAGGTACCCAAATTTTTAGCAAATTATTTTAAAATAAATGTAAATTATGTAATTACATCTTATTTTGATTCAGATAATGCCAGATTATATTTCCCATTGTATCCATTAGATTCAAATAGTTGAATTGCTTATATTAATATTAAAGTAGAAGGTATATGTATTTATTTTTTTTTAATCATGATTTTGATAAATAGGGTTTAGGTTAGGTAAATATAAGTAATTATAATACTTTGATATGTACAAATATGACATTATTAAATATTTATTTAACTAGCAGTCTTATAATCTATTAGTAAATACTTAGGTAGATGAAAATTTGATTTAAATGCATTTATTGTATTATATTCTATGTTAAAAAGCTATCTACTTTAATTTAGCTATGCTCAGGGATGGAAGTTGGTCACTTAAAATCACTTTTAAGTGTTCTTGTTTCACAGTTTTATAAAAAATAATTATTTTATTGATATTTATTACAAGATCTTGGTATCTTATATTGTTATAATTTGCAATGTGATAAAAAAGAAATTTAAGGTCTTTAACCTAATACTACCAAAGACTGGCATATTTTTTAATAATTGTTTTAGTTATAATTAAAGGTATTATTTATCTTTAAATTATCACTAAATTCTTTAATAAAGACTTTATATAATAAGTTAACAACTTAACATAACCAGCCTGGTTGTTAACTTATCGTACCATTATACCAATCCTAACCTATCATAATATTAAAATTATTACATATAACTACTACTATTGATGTTAAATAAGTGTATTTTTGTTAATGTTCACTAGCTTTTGTATGGAAGTTACTGTTTAGTCACTTTTCTTACTTATTTTCAAAACATTGACCACTTCCAGCTAAATAGTTATTCACCTGAAAAAACTTATATTTAAAAGAAAAAATTGTTAAAAAATGTAAACAAGTGTTTAAAGTAATCAATAAAAGGGTTGCCGAATATATTTGCTGAGAACCCTCTATGCAGTAAATTGTAAAATTATAATTTTTATCTCATTTTGTTGTATGCTATAACAACCTTTTTATAACTAATTTAATAATAAATAAATATTTATTACCTTTTTAAAACAAGACACATATACTTGATGTCATTGATTTTGAGTAATTAATTATTGTACATTTCACAAAACATATAATATTATTAATTTTAAATTGTATACTTTCTGTTTTTCATTTAGCTGTATTGACACATACACATTTAGTATACATGCAAATAGGTAGGTAAAGTTTTTTTGTATAAATTAAAAATACATAACATAAACACAAATTATTTTATAAAATAATAAAGTAAAAACAAAATTATTAAGTGGTTAATATTCGTAAATAAATAAGTCACCTGGGGTATTATGAAATGCGTATTGTACGACCAGTTTCGAATGAAATAAGTAAAATGTGACTCAACTCGGTCAATGTTTGTTGAAGAACAATGCAATCTAACGAAACAAATGTTCGTAAATAGACCCCTTTTTAGAGCCATTGACCGACGGTTTGGACGCATCCTTGTTGCACGGCCGTCATAGTGATTGTCGCCTCTATATTACTCTATGATCTATGTATTTAAGACTGTATTTAAACGCTTCTATCTCAACCGATCTCCTAGGGCTGCCAGACCACCTAGTAGCGGATTCGTTAATTATTCAGCAATTATCGTTACGATTGGATCAGTTTATTCGCAATTGATTAGAGCACCATAGTTATCATTTTATTGTTATCATCCAAAATGTTTAATAATGTACAATATAGATGATACAAAATAGGTTTCATTGTTTTTAAAAAACGTGATGATCGTTATTTAAACGTAAAAACAATTTTGAAACACGAATAATTAAACTGAAAATGTTATAATAACATTGTATTTTGTTTTTTTTATGAAGTATAAACATTAAAATTGTAGGTAATGTATTATTCGTAAACATTGAAAGTATGTCAAAATTATTAACTGTATAATTAGATAGTTTAATAATAAATGATTAATCAATTATCATTAACGCGTGAGTCACGTTAAATATAAATAATAAATACCTGGGTAAAATAAATTGTACAAATCTAATATTCAATTGTTAAAATTGTAAATTTTATTTTAATTTTCTTTATTTATGCGATTTTGGTTAGTCCAATAATGTTGTTAAAACCCAATTCCAATAAGTTTGTTGAAAATGATTTAAAATCATTTGTTTCTTCTAGATTGGAAGTTTTATTGATTATATCATTGCATGATTTACCTATTTAAAATCTCTTTAAGACAAATATTCAAATATTTAATGTTGTCAATTTTCAATAGAAAAAAAAATATATATACATATATATTTTGTATTATCTATATCTACATTTTATATTATATTTTGGCGGGTTACACCAAGACACGAGGTTTATGATAAGGTAATAAAGAAACGTTTATTTACAACATAAAGACATAATACAAGTGATCGCCAGCTGACGGCTTTTGACGGAGGAAAGGAGAGCACGCAACTACATTAGTTAAGAAAAACAATTATGCAAAATAATTATTCGGAGTCGGAAACAATGCTTCGCGTACGGCGCCGGTGCGGTGAGAGAGCGGAGCGGTGGTGACGTTTTGACGAGCGGAGCTGTGGATGATGACCGCTGAACGCCAACGGCGAGGGGCGTGGCCGACGTCCGCCGCGGGAAGAAGAAATGTGGCGCGAAACCGCCACAATATGTTTCGGATGATAACAAAATAATGATAACGATGGTGATCTAATCGACTGCTAATAGACAAACCTGTTACGGTCGCGCATTCGTGCACCATCGCCGACTCTCCGCCGTGTGAACAGTGAGTCATAAACCATAATGCGGTAGTGGGGATGGATGCGCAAACAATGACGTGTTTTTTGTCCGCCGCCTGTCTGTTCTTATTCTGAATAGAGTATAGTAATTTTATAACCCAAAAGATAAGTACTCAGTAGTATTAATTCTTTAATTGACAATGAGTAATACTTTTTTGCTTATTCGTGGCGTAATTTTGATTAGGCATTTGACAAGCTTTTCACTCCAGTAATACCAGGATATCACCTTTCACCATAGGTTTTCAACACAGCTATTGTGTCTGCGTTTGGGCTATGCGACGCGCAACCTCCAATCCATAGATGTGTGCTGTGTGGCAAATTATTTTTACAGGAAAAAAAAAAACTGTAATATTTTTCTCGTCTAATACCTATATTAAGTAAATTTTCCCGTTTTTTAATTATCTCAAAGTACTTTCCCAGTACGATTTCCTTTCAGAAAAACTGGTACACTTGTAAATCGGAGCAAGGTTTTTGGTAGAAAAGTTGTCCACAGAAAAAAAAAATAAACATCATTAACCATCGCTTCACTCAGATTCTAAAATACATAAATATGTCCAATTATAATGTATCAAATCTTAATATTTTATTATATTCTATCGCAGTAACTGATTATGGTGAAATAGTTTTTACTGAAACATGGATGATTCAGAACTTTACAATATATCAGTTCGATAGAAATGAGAATACAAGGAACTGTACGAGAGGTGGTGATACATTTATAGCTGTTAAAAACACGTATAATTCTAATTTAATTAGTGTTACAGTCATATCACTTGAACATAATAATCACCTACATTGCATATGATATGTATGTTGTGCACGCTATATTCGCTGTATCCTGTGGCCATACAAAATGCTACGCTATATTGCTATGTATACTATGTAAAAAAAAAAAAAATACAAAATAGGTATCAGTTAAGTTAGAGATATTTTCGTGTAAGTTGTCTTGAGTGAGGGATTATAGGCTTTATTGTTACTTGCGTTGCACAATGATAATAAGCAAAAAGAAAATGGGATCATGAACTTAACATTGAATAAAACAAATTTGGTGAGTCTTGTCTTATATTAATTCAGTTTCGTGAAGATCAAGCAAATCTAGTGTGTGAATCTATTTTTTATGCAAACTTTTCTACCAGAATTATTACTCCTATGTATCAAGTTTAACTTATTTTCTGAAAGGAAATTTTATCTCCGTGGTTTAAGGAGGTCATTTTTGTGATTTTTCAATCAGTTTTCATAATAACTGAGAAAAACCTGGATAAAATGTTGGAAAAATGTAATTATTTTTGTTTGCTGGTGATTGCAAATTGATTAGTTTTATAAAGTTCATCAATGATGCATATTTACTACAGAAAGATATAGACACTATGGTTAGTTGGTGTTCAAATAACGAAATTACCTTGAACATATTTAAATGCAATTTTATTTCCTTCTACCGAATTAAGAAATCTATAATTTTTCAATGCCAAATTTTTAATTTTAAACTACCAATTGTTTTAAATATTAGGAATAATATCTAAGAATTATTTTTGAATCTAACTCAATTTTTAATACTCATATTTTTAAAATGATTAATAAAGCATCAAAACAGTTAAGTTTTATAAGACGTGTTATATTGTACATTTATATTGTTGAACCCTTCTGACACGTTGTTGATCCGACCGTAACTCTTTTGTAGCATTGTACATGTTCCACATATATGGTGAAAATATTGGTGTATGTCGTATAAAACCGATTTGTAGCATATTTTGTTGGTATTAATTTATATGTCCTGTTGATGTAAAAATTTGAATCAAAATGTCCTCTAATTTCTCAATATTTTTAAAAGAATTGAATAGTAATGCCATTCCTAACAAATTTTAAATCATAATATATAGGCTTTAACAATGAATTTTAAATTTCCTTTTTTTAAAATATTTGTTGGAAGAAATATTAAGACAGGAGTCATTTTTAAAGCCTATCTGAATTATTTGTCTTCTTTAAATCTAACAGCTTAACCCAACTCTTGAACTTTTTGCAACACAAATTGGTTTAATTGATAAAAGCACAACTGCACCGATACTTCATTATTAAATACTTGTTCATTTGTCAGTATCATAGAATGTTCGAAGTTGATTCAAATTATTGAAAGCGATTCAATTGTTTTTTTTACAACAGTCAATAATTCAATATAAGTTTCTTTATATTTACACTGAAGCAAAGCATACACCATAGGAATAGTAATATTTTCTATATTTACGTGTATTATATAAACTTGATAAAACTCCATGTACAAGTAGAAAATGTTCCGTCCGTATAAATAATTTTGGTTTGAGGTAATAAGTCAAGGCATGTTTGTTAATAGAAAATTATAATACTGTTTTCATTATTTTTATTAGCATAAAATAAAAATGGCTCTGTTTTTTTTTCACCAGCTATATTCCAACATATTCCTTCCAGTAAAATGCCATCTATTTTGGAAATTTTTGTATTAATATAATACGTATACGCCGCAAACACCTTTTCATTGAACTTTAGTTTGGAATAAATGTTTTACTTTTGTCTGATAAATTAATCACATTTCGTGCAAACATTTGAAATGGTAAATCATAGTTTTCTTTCACTTCGTTTTTCGATCTACATTTAGCTCTCTTTGTATTTATTAAATTGGTATTGCCTTCGTGATTGTGAATTCCAAATTTCAAAATCGTCATTATTTCGTGGTCAGTTATAAGTGTTCCATTACATAAGCTTTTGTCTAAGACCATGGGATATACCGATTTCCAATATTTACTGGTGTAAAATAATCAGTATCAAGTGTTAATTAACCAGTACAAAATCTGTCAGTACACATGTTTATATTAACAAAAATATTGTGTAGTGTGCACTATTTTATCACATATTACTTCCGCCCACAAATTAAAATATACAGGATACATAACTAGACCCTGATCAGCCAATTATTGATTCCGATGGTTCTTATTCATCGAATAGATAGAAAGCGCTAGTAACTTATAGCGGTGACAAGAAGTATTACTGTATTTATAAATAAGAGAGAAATAATTTTAAAACTAAAAGCTTATTTAGACACTATCATAGAAGATGGTGGATGTATTTTTCAGGTATCCGTAATATTCATTATTAAATATTTATGACTTCCAATGGATATTTAAAAGATATCTAAATGTCATTTTTTTTAGCATTTTTGGATATGCTATTTTAATATCCATTGGTTATTTGTTGAAGTTATTCATGAGATGTCTTAAACTATCTAATCCTAATAGATAATCACAAGTTACTATTTATATACTTTAGTATATGCATTATATATCAGTTGATGATAACTTGAGATATTTTTTTTTTTTAGTATACAGGAACAAATAATAGATAATGTTTATTTAATTGTTTTAAATTACTATTTTTATAAATAACAATAAATTTAACATACAATATTATTTTTTATAAAATCTATCTTCTGCATGTCTCATCTAATTTTCGATACAAGTAATAATGTCAGACTCTTGAATCTTTGGCATTTTTTTAAAACAACATCTATATAAAAATATTAATGGATTATACTACATTATATAAAAGCTGTTCAAAAAATTAAGCATCAATACAATTATTTTACAAATGATTATGTTAGACAGGTATAAACATGATAAAGGTTTTTTTCTCCTTTTGCTCCCTTTCTAATTGTATGACACAGCAAATTGATCAGTAATGAGTTTTATTATGTGATGACATCTTTCAGGAACATAATTTTAATGACAATACTATTTTTTTGTGTGTATTGTAATTTGTATTGTGTTGAAATATTTTATGCTGATAAATAATGTAGATTTGTTTCAAGTTAACTAAATGATATCACTGTTTTAATTTAACAGATAGCAAGAAAAATTAGCGAAAAAACAAAATGTCAAATTTTTTTATCGGGCATAAAAAATCCAGAAAACAGTTGTAATACAATAACTGCTCAACTAGTCACTTTAAAATCTAAAGGTTTTTTATTCACCCTGAAAACAATTGTTTATACTTCTTAGACAAATTTATTGAGATGTCATTTTCTAAACATGCTAATAGTAAAAATGTATTCAGACATTGATGACTTTTTTAAATTTAATTATTTTATTCTATTTCCTTGTTTTGAACACAAAAATGATATTGTTGATTAATTATTCACTACTTATATTACAATGAGAATGAGACGATATATTTATTTTTCTAACCATTAACTAAAAAGCAAAAACCAGGTTAAAAAACTATCTAAATTAGCTAATAATTAATTTACTAGTTAGGAATACCTACAATATAGGTACATTTATTATTTATTATTTTATATAAGAATACTAATTATACATGTTTCTTGTGTTGAAAAATATAATAAAAATAAAAGTATTATACATACCTATTATTTAATTTATATAAATCTCAAATTCGGAATTCCATGTTACGATTTTATTGATAATGGATATCATATTATTAGTACAAAACTTGCCACTGTCACCTTTGAGCGCTACCTGGCAATTCATGAACGAAGAAAGTTCTCATAACCACTGATAAGTGCTCGTTGTGTATCCCGTGTATCTTAATTCGTGCTTCCGCTCTATTTACGCCTTGCTGTGCCGCAGCGGCGAAAAATGGACGCGTGTGGTGTGCGTATAAATTTAAACCAAGATCGTATGTCAGCATTTGGACGAACGCCGTCCCGACAATAATAAAATAATATTAAGAATTAACGGTTTTTCTTATTTCAATTCGTACGCTCGCAGTGTTATATTGGGCGAATAACATTTAAAATAATAACTGTGATAATCGCTGATGGTCGTAAAAATTTTGTTTGTTATTATAAGTATATGTATGTTATTATATTTTTGTAATTTTAAGACTGATGTCTTTTTCATATTTTCGCACTCCCTTTATTAGCACCCACGAGCCTCCATTGATTGAATTTAATATACAACATATTAAATGTCATATTTTTATACGGACAACGAGGGGGGGACTCCCCTGAATTCGCACCGGCTAACTAGAGAAAATTACCTTTCAGTAAAGGTGCTACAGTCTATACTTCGAAGCAAGATTTCTGGTAGAAAAGTCGTTCACAGACAAAAAAAACACATTATAGTCTTCTTCTTATCGTGTCCGGTGGTTAAACTGTCTACATTATAGTAAAACCGATAGATTCCTCGTTAAGCTCCGAATCCAAAATAAATAAACATTGTACAACCAATAAAATACGTCAGCTAAACTAATTGATACGGAGCAAATGTTTCGGCCTACTGGATTATAGAGAAATTACCGCAAAGCGTGCGATAGTCGCCTACACGTTTTCATGTAGTGTATTTTAATCATATTTTCAGGTGTTTAATTTAGAAAATATCGAGTTGGCGACACTGATTAGTTGTATACTCGTACGTTGCATTTCTGGTCTGCTGACCGTCGTCAACTGCCGACTAACCATTACATCTGTTCCTCTATTCAAGCCTTTGGTTGAAATTATTTATTATTATTATTGTAATTTTAGTCGTCGGTTTAATTATTTTACAATAAAAAAAAGTTCTACATTCTACTGACTAGTGCGAAATATCGGGATCGTCGGTTTTCAATCGCCCTGTTTTTGTTACAGGCTAATAATGGCGGATTCCAAATGTTTTTTTGGATTATCGAACGTGCGCAACGGTACTTGGCTTATTTCAATAATCAACATGGTGAGTAAACTGTCGCAATTGACATAACTTAAATTAATATATTTTAATTTTTTTATACAACTTTACATATCGATTTGTTTTTATTGTAGTTTTTACCTGTGTCTTGTTTTGATTGTCTTTTTTTACCTGTTGCCATATACAGTGTGTGATCGTTTGTTGGAAACACTATAACTTAACAAATATTAGAAGTATTATAAATTTGTTATAACTTATTAAACTAAATAAACAATTTGTATGCTATTTCATTTCGCGCATGTGCATAACAACTTTTTTTTTAAAATGGAAATTCCCCCCCCCTTTTTTGGTTATCTATTTTTACTCTTTTTTTTTTATGAATTTTAATGGTAAAACCAACTTCCTACGTTTAAAAATAGCCGAGTTATGGATATTTCAATGTTTGATATTTTTTGACATTTTTGTCATCAATTCTATGGCTTAAATTATTCTTTTTTGTATCTCATGATATCTTCCAGTAATATTTTTAGTACCTACTTTTGAGAGAAATTCTCTTCCCTTACAGAAACTAATTTTTTTAAGTTTATCTCCATAGGCGATTAAAAAAAAAAATTTATTATTTTGACCAACAAACCCAAAAGTCAAAAAACCGTGAATGAATGTAATTTTGAACTAATAAAAATTTAAATTTAGAAAAAAATGTTTTAATTGCCCAAGGAGATAAACTTAAAAAAATTAGACTGTAGGGAAAGAGGATCCCAACCAAAAGTATGTACTAAAAATATCACTGGAAGATATCATGAGATACAAAAAAGAATAATTTAAGCCATAGAATTGATGTCAAAAATGTCAAAAAATAATATCAAACATTGAAATATCCATACCTCGGCTATTTTTAAACATAGGAAGTTGGTTTTACAATTAAAATTCATAAAAAAAAAGAATAAAAATAGTTAATCACAAAAAGGTGGGGTTGCCATTTAAAAGAAAAAGTTGTTATGTGCATGCTCAAAATTAAATGGCATAACAATTGTTTAATTAGTTTAATAAGTTATAACAAAGTTTATTAAGCACCAAAAACGAACAGAATTCAAATATATTTAATATTTGTTAAGTTATAGTTTTCAACAAATGATCAAACACTGTAAAAGGTAAAAGCACTAATGAATGAATAATTCATATTTTATACTGCGTTAATAAGAAAATCAGTGTACATACACTGTATATGTATAGTATAAAGACAAAATCAGAACATGCATATGTAATGTATAATAAACTCATAATTCAATTTAAATGATGAATATTTAGTTAAAACCAATGGATTAAATTGGAAATAGCTTGCCATTGATGATATAATATGTTAGTATACCAAGAAATGTTATTAAAGAAAACTGTATCCCCAAAATTATTAAACAAACAAATGATATATTTTGTTCCAGAAATTGTAAAGTACCAAAAATGTATAGATATCTAAGTATTTTTTTTATTATTAGTACTTATTAATAGTGTGTTTATTACAATCTTGGTTATTGCTTTGCTTATCTAAGTAATTCATTTATAACTACCTAGGTATAGTTCCTTTGTTACTACTTAAAATTGTTTATTATAATTAGCACGAAAGAACCTATTCATTTTTAATGATCATAATACAAGTTAATAAATTGGAAATATTTGATATAGGTACCTGTTATAATGTTTTACATTTATAAACTTTAATACCCAATATATTACTATAAAAGATAAAAAAAAAAATGTATACAACTATACATTTTTTATAACCAAACTTAATAAATTGATAATCAGTAATTGCAATTTATAATAATTTAAAACACAATTCAATTTTAAGAAAAAAAAATTTAAAAATGTGTTTATTTACTAAGAAATGTTGATTTTTTTGTTTATTAATTCATAATAATTCATTTATTACTTATATTGTTGAATATGGGTTGAATAAAGTTATTCAATGAATGTAAGATAAATTTCAAATAACCCCGAAACCAAGAATGATTATTACCTATATCATTATTTGAAAATCAAATAGTGCATGTGTGTTCATTCTATGGTGCGGTCACACTATGTATATATAATATGACCATTATCCTATTTATTCTTGTGGACCTCTGCTAGATTGTTATCCGGAAGGAGGGGAGAGGTATTCAATCATTTAAAAATTGTTTTTTTCGTACAGATTCAGTTTTATTTTGGTAAGGTTTTAAAACAACAAATACATTCGTAGTATCTTGTGTACAAGATAATTTAATTTGCATTAAAACTCCATAAACTTATTGTCTAAATACCTTTGGGTCTACGCTTCTAAATTTATTAAACTACTGAAAATATATATAACCTTATGATAAAGAAAACAAAATCTTAAAATACCTTAACTAGGCTGTGTAGTTTGTGTAATATATAAACCACATAAAAATTAGTCTAGACATTTGAGATCAGCAAAACATTTAAGAAATGATCCAGACCAAACTATAAAACTTAAATGAGAAAAAATATCAAATCTTACAGAGTTTTCTGTACATTTTCTAAGAGTAATTGATCTTAGTAAGAGATATTTTGAGATAGGATTCCACTACATTAAGTATTCGTTAAGTTAAATAATAATAAGTGTTAGAGAAAAAAGAGGTAGATATAATATAAATGTTTTAAAATTAGGTTTTTAACATTTATTTTTTATAAAACGAAGTTCAGAAAAAACTTTTACAATATTAAATCAGTGTATGTAACAATGATTTTAATAATCATTTTGATGTAAATTGATAAAACTCAGTGTTGTTGAGGTACATATTTAATGTACTCTCATTAAGTACTCCAAAAATGTATAATATTAAAATATGAAACATGCAAATACATTAATGAACTCTATTCAAATTTTCCCTTTTCCTAAATATTTCTTATTTTCTTGTTAAACCGATATCGTTGATAAGTCTTCAATTTACTTAGAGAAGCTTCATGTATTGATCTACTAAAATAAAAAAAGTTATTATTAATATTCAAAATACAGATAATTAACAGTTCCTTTGGTAATCCTTGCTGCTTTACCCCATAGATAAAGATGCAAAAAGAGTTACTAAATATAAGAAATCGGAACATGATTTTGAGGAATATTATTTTAAAAGTTTAAAAAATTGTTTCCTGTTAAATTAAATGATATTAAAAAATTTGGAGATAGATTATATCTTTCCTTTTGTTCTGTGTTTACTTATAATAAAAAAAATATTGTGCCTCTACAAATATGTAAAATTAGAAAAGAAAACCATGTTAGATTTTTTTTTTTTATCTTCAAGACAAAACAAATTGAACATTATTTTTGGATTAAGAATTTATGGAAACTTTTGGGAAAACAAAAAAAAAGACATTGTTATAAATTAATACTTATGCATAAAGTTTATGACTTGCAGCATATGATTTATTTTTAAGCATTTTTCAGAGCACATAATGAAGTTTTTGAGTTCTTTGTAAACTCAAACTTCAATTTCTGATTGTGAATAGCCATATTAATTTTATAAAATTAATATAAATATAAATAATTATTGTGTAAACTAATGTTTGTTTTCTGTATGATAGACAATTTGTATTGTACTCGGTGTGATATCTATAGCGACAATACATCCAGATCACCCTCGTAAGTATATATATTGTATTTTAAATATTACTTAAACAAATAATATTTTATAATCCAATGTTTTATATATTTAGCTTAAATAATTTTTGTTTCCTCCTAGGTTTTAAAATTTTAAAATTCCCTTTCTATTATATTTTTCCCTATTTTATTCCCTCTTAAATGATTACAATATTAAATTTAAAAGACAAATTTAATTTGTATATGATTCAAACACATTAATGATAATTTTGAAATAAAATAAATATTTTTAATAATAATATTTTATTTTGTAGGTACAGACTATCAACAAAACGATTATTACAGTCGTAATGAACGTCGTATGCAGCACATGGAAACTGATTTCTACTTTTTTATTACGTTTTTTATATTATTTTTATTTTTTTACATCAACTTACATTTGAAAAAATCAACATATGTAGTAAGTCAAATTGATTTATTGTAATAATCACACCTATATCTTTCCATTGTTATTTATCATTATACACACTATTTAAAAAAGGGTTATAAATAAATAATTAATTGTCTTAATTTACCTGATTAAAATATACTGTAATATAGGCTTCTAGTATATTTTTAATTCAATGGTGTCAAAATGACATAGTTTATACCCGTATGCGCTGTTTCCGTTTTACAAATGTATTTTATTAATTTAAATTTCACAATAATAAAATATTAACTCTTGCTCATGTGACATGACTAAAATACAATGTATATTTGCTTTTGCGAAATTAATAAAGTATATTATTCATTTTTACAGCATGCAACTCAAAGTATCAATCAATGGTTGGTAATCAATACAATATTTTTTTCATTTTATTTTCTGTTTGTTTGCTTTTGTACACTCAAATATGGACTAACAGATATAATTACTTTTGGAATTCCTATGGGGGGTAAGTATCAATATTTATTTCAAAAAAAAAAAAAACTGTTCAAAATATTAATTAATGAATTAACAATTAACTTTGATCATTGTTAGTTTTTTCGGCGTATCAGATTCATGTGGTGAAATGTTTTTACAATGACGAACTCAAGTTCTTATTATCTGAACAAAATGTAACTCAGCCTACTATAAATGGACCACAATATGTTGCTATAGCTAGTCAAGCTATTCCATCAACTTATCCTGTACAAACTGGACCATATATCATCCAACAAGTGCATCAACCCACAACACAAGCAACACCCTATCCTCAGCAAGCATTTCAGTTTCAACCACAGCAGCAACCTTCTCATTCTCATTTAGTTCCTCACGACCCTAATATCCCCCAAGAGTATAATAATCCACCACCATATTCGCCAAATTATACTAAGCCAGGTGGATCTGTAACAAAATAATTAAAAAGTAAAAAAAGGTATGGTTCTTAAAAAAGTTTATTATGTAAACTTATTTTCTATTTATTATTTGTTATTCTTCGTGTGAATGCCATTTCTCATTTTATTACCCATGCATAAAATAAATAACATTAATTATTTAAAAGGATTTTTTAGTAATATAACTTAGTTTTTACAATTTATTTAGAATTTAAAGTTATACTATTATATAAGAGGTTTTTAATATCAAAACATATATTTTAAATTATTAAGTTCCTTAATTATTATTATTATTATTATTATTATTATTATTACTACTACTACTTCTTGTATACATGACATCAATCTAAGTTTATGATTTCTGAAAGAACCATATTATATAGTTAGTTAATTTAAATTAATGTTTTGTAAAAGACTACAATCAAAATTTATTATCATATTTTAAATTATAATTAAAAAAAATTAGAAATCTGTATACATCTAATATTTTTTTTATTATAAACAACGTAGTGTTATAATAGTATATTGTATCTCTGAAAATAGATGTTAAAACAATTAAAAATAAACCTAAACAATAGAATTCAAACATATGTAATAGAATTCTTCAAAAAAATAATACATAATATTACTTAGCATTAATTATAAAAATTATAGAATGCTCACTGATCTATTTTTGAAGAGCATACTAGTTATTTGTCATAGAGTAATGGCTGTGCTGCATTCACTGACCCAATCTTCCACTTGTCATATACCGGTTCATAGCAGTCCTCGTATCATTCTCAATTGCAACAAATATTTTCTTGGAACCGTATTTTGACAGAGATAATTTCTTAGGAATGTATTTTGTTAGAACCATATTTCATTGGAAATTGTCTTGAATGTATTTGTATTTAAATTTTACTTTATATACTATATACTATTATATTAATACTTTCTTATAAATACTTTTCTTAACTCAAGAATTTAAAATTCTGTGATTAGAATCATGCCATTAATCTTACAAAACCGAGGAGAACTAAGTCAGAAAAACACAAATTGATACTGCAGTAATGAATGAAACAGATTTTAAACTACCATGGTAGATTTACAATCAACATTTTCATATTACACCATTTGTGGCTACGCTATAAGAGTCGTGTTTTAACCTGGGTAGATATCCATAGACATAATAATAGATGGACTATGGACATATAGCCTTTATCATATCAGCAAACATACATTTTATTGGTAGCTAAAAAATCATAGACCAAATATCTATATAAGCCTTTTTCTATGAGAAATAACCAATTTTTGGTTCACATTTGGTTCCCTTGTAGGAAATTAATTGATAGCTATAATAATAGATTATATTTATCAAATTATAATCTATGATGTATTATGTCAATATTATTAGTGATGTAATATATTATATTGTATGGTTTTCCTTATTTAGTGAACATATTTATGTTATTTCAAAAAACAAAATAGTATTTATATGTTGTATAAAGAGCTGTAAAAAACCCTGAAAAGAATAGTATTCATATTATGCATAAGTAAATTAGAAAAAAAAGCTTAAGACAGTAAAACCAATAAATAGTAATTTTAAATTGATACAATTTATAAATTTAACTAATTTTAATATTAGTATTTGTTTTTAATATTTAATATAGATATGTTTTATGATTTCAAAGTAATGAATAAGTGGAAATGATATGGACTAACAAAATTAAAAAAATATAGCCAGCATACATGCCTAAAATAACTTCAATGATTTGTAGTACTCATTTTAAATCTTCAGATTATAATTTGAATTGTAATAAAATAAGATTAAATTAATGTATTTTAATAACAAATACCTATGATTTACTTATTAAATACATACATCTTTATTCAATTTTTGTTCTATAAAATAATAATTTTTTATCGGTGTAGGGAGGTCATTTTTCGATTTTCTCAGGAGTTTTATCATCAAATTTGAAAAGCTGAAAAAACAGGAAAAACTTAGGGAAAATCGGTACTACATTAAACAAATATTATTAAAGAAAATATAAAAAGTCTATTAAATTATTTTTCTATAAAATGACATATATATTGTCGACAAAGCATATCTAACAACTGAACTCCGTTCAGAATCGTTTCTTCGTATCAATGGTTTATCGTTATTTACAGGTATACATAAAATTATCTATAACAGTGGCTGCAATCGTCCTCATTATCCTAGAATGTTTTTTTAATTATACAATATATTATATTATGAACTATTTTTTTTTTTCTATAATTTAAATGTTAAATACAAATTTATGTTTTAAAAGTCTTATCAACTGTGTTTTCACCAAAATAATGAAAACATCGAATAATAATACCTTTCTTCCAGGTTATTTTACCTACTCAGATTATATTATGATGGCTGAAGCTTGAACGATTTGTTCGGCAATTACATTATTATCTACTGGTTGTCCTAAACTCTACAGTGTACTTCTAATTTTAATAATATTATCAATATTTTTTTTTTTCAATCGAATTTTGTGCAAGCGATTAATTGCGGTTCCGATTGTGATTCCTTATCGCGTATCATGTTATTCTATTCCTTTTTCCGAACGCCCGCGAATAATAATTTTTCACTGAAAATATTAAGAACCATTATTTTTAATTTTGGATTATTATGCTATATTCCGAATTTTACGGTCCGGGATTTTACGTTCCGACAATTCACACTCCGGAGTGTTATGTTCCAGCGTTTTATTTCCGGAGTTTTTAGCCATTCCGTGATTTGATACATATCGATACTCGATTTTCGCTAAAAGTACCGCACTCGAGTTGTTTGTACGTTTTTTGGCGGAGGCGTGTAAAACCGTTTCCATAGTCTCCGGCACTTGACAACTTGCGAACTTAGTACAAACATCGCACGCCAATGATATAATATACTCGTATACCTAATAATATTCTAAGTTATAAATTTTACAAGACACTACGCTAATATTGTTACTAGCTCTATAAACTCGTACAGTTAATACTTGAGTAGTAATACGATAAAACTTTCTTTTTTTTTAAGTAACAAGTTGTATTGTTTTTGCCCATAAGTGTTTTGTGTTCAAACAGGTGTTTAATAATTCGTTCAAATTGAAAATTAATATTTTTGTGTTATAGTTGTTAAAGTGTTATGACAACATACTATTATAATTACCGAGTATCAAATGCTCTTATCCGTGCTGCTATTTTATTATAATATTAATAGACGGAGAAACATTTAAAAGCTTTTCCCTGCAGACGAATATCGATATGGAGAAACTCTGAACTTGTTTTTAAAATATTTTTATTGAGGTATCTATTTACAATATTTAAGTCGTTTCTTCGTAACAACCAAATGTTTTCGCACATACCTATTTTATATTCCTTTCAAAATCAACGCATACTCCGTTTTGTATATTATTTTTCCGTCCTGCAGGCATTCGCAAAATGTTTTGTAGGTTTTTATGAACAGGTGATTTGACGGTTTTCAAAAATAATCAGTCTCTTTTATACGATATAATATTGTAGAAATAATATACCAATAGCCTACATTAGGTACTAGCCGACAATTATTATATTATGAAACTATTACCTAACTAAACAATCTGTGTCATAACCTTATACCTGCAATTAACAGTTCTGAGTTAACTGGTCCTTGTGGGTCCAAATCAAAATTCTGAAAGTTAAAAAATAGCATAACATATTTAATGGGCCACGTATATGCGATTTAACAGTTTTTTTTTTTCAAATGAGTTTAAAAACGTGAATTACCACGTGAAAACGGAGTCTTTGTACACGTAAATGAAAAAAATGTACCTACATGTACACATGTCATTAACTACATGCGTATAGAGATTCTTTTAGTACACGGCATTATAGATTCGAATACGTAAAATCGTGTACATGTGCAAAAGGGGGCTCTATTCAAACACGAGAATTAAATGCTTTAACAAAAATCTTTTTTTAATAACGGAAAATAATTTACTCTCAATATAAATAGCTGTTATCAACATTTTTAAACGCGATTAACGGGAAACAGAACCAACAAAAATGCTGTAAAGTCGTTAACTTGTTGAGAGAGAGTTAGGAACGGGTGTTTATTGAGGAAACAGGACGCGAAACGGCCTGGGGAATCAAATAAAAAGTCCTCACGGGAAAAAAAAATCCAATTAAGCTAATAACAATAGATATGTAACTGAAATCATGTGATATTATCTGTCGGCATTTTGACTAATGGAATATTAACAGTAGGGATTTTGGATGGTTACCGATCACTGGTTGTAAAAATATCTATTATAATTATATTATACCACATAGTAATTTCCGTTTTGTCGACCGGGTAAAAATGTTTCACATCAAAATTCCCATTACATTTTCTGTTTGACAGTGATCCTTGTATTATTATAAACATCAAAATCGATCATTTTTAACGCGAAAGTATAAAACGTTTATTCATACATACACTGTGTCTTGTATTCGCCTCGTCCGTAAAGAGTTTTTGAAGAAAAAACAATAGACATGACTGCAACCACGGATGAGAAGTCCAGAAAATGTTGTTTCGGTTGTACCGACGTCCGCAAGCTCACCAGAATTATTGCCGTATTAAACATAGTAAGTGAAGAAAAGTATTTTAATTATTTTCAAATATGTGAACCATTTATAGGACAAATTAAGAATAAAATAAAGTAGACGTATGTATTGAGAGAAATAACCTTTTTCCGCCAAAAACGAAAATGTTCCAATTCCCGTTTTCCCCTAAAATTTATTTTATAAAGAGCCGTTTTCGTCGAATATTCTTTCGGAACCATGTAATACTTTATAGTAATTTCGTTACAGTTCAATAAGTCAAAACAATTAACTTCGTTTTAAAAAAAAAATCGCATAATTTCATTATCTATATATAAATATTTCAAAATACCATATTAAAATAATACCTAATACAAGTAATAATAATAAATCAATACGTATAGTAATAATAATATTTTAAGTCAATAATTATAATTAATATAGTAAAAGTTAAAAAAAACCCATAGTTAAACTTTAATAACCTTTTAACTTGATTAGATTTTTTTTATAATTTAGTTTTATTTTCTTTATTATTTTTTTGATCTTCACAACATTTTTTATATTATTATTATTATTATTATTGAATTGTATTGAATTTTTACATAGATTATATTAAACTAGATTAAACTATATATATATATATATATATATGCTATACGTTACACCAATACAAATTAAAATCATTGGTTTCCAAACTTTGTTTTTGAAATCGTTCCTTTATTGTTTTTGGCGGACACGAGAATCCCGAATGTAGTTTGGGCGCCACTTGTAGTATAATAAAAAGAAAGAAGAATAAGTAAGTAGGCGTCGGGGGTGGTTAAGTAAACAATCAGATGTGTTATAATATGATAATATGTGTGTAATCTAACCAGAGTATAATTACTATCGAAACAGTGGTCGGCGGCAACGTCGCCGCGTTGTGCAACCAGCCAAATGTGATTCTGAATAGACTGGTCGGTGTATATGTTGTAAAATTGTTATGGTGTGTGTAAGAATGTGTTCTTTATGGTTTATTGTATGGTATTCGAATCTACATCATTTCGATGTGGCATTCCGACGCACGTCAAATGGTGTTCATTTGACCGTGCTGGTCATTTTGATTCAAGACAATATTGGGCGCATGCGACATTGCGACTTACCACAATTCAACACGTTTTTAAATAATTATTATTTTAATTAATAAATTAACATGCATAATGCATAATGTAAATAGTATTTACAATTTTTTTTTATAATTTATAATTTATACAATTTTAAATTGCGTACAATATCTGTTAATATTTCATCGGTCGATAATTGTTCTTTATTTTCAACTGTAATAATCATTGTGACGAATCTTTGGGCGCGTTTGCTTTGGACGCTATGGATGGCGCTTACAGCGCTCGCGCTCCTGCTCGCCATCACAAACCGTACTTTGGGTTAATGATCGCCGTTCCAAAACGAGCGAGTATCATCAGCATGCGTGAGCGTTTAGATGCGTTATCAAAAATATATCGATAACAAGATAAGCATTTATATATAAAAAATATATATATTAGCGTGCTGTATTTTACAAAATATAAGTTTTTTAAAAAATTATGAGTAAAGTTCTATCAATAGATGATAATGTACAAACTGAAGGGAAATGGTTGCAATTAGCTGTCAAAGAGCGATCAAGAAGGATGATATCTGGGGGCCTATTCTCAAATGTATTGAAACTGGCTATCAATTAAAAATCGGTCGAAAACAGATACGTTTTTGATATCCGTTAGAAATCGTAGGTACCTATTCTCATATGATATTTGACTACTTTTTCGATAATGTACTTATGCCGGGTTGTACAAAACTATACGGAACCGATAGACAGCTATCGGTTCCGTAAAATTGATAGTTCTTATCAAAAACATAGTTATTGAATCGATAAGTTGTAGAGCCGATTTCAGTCCAGTAAAATTTGCAGAACTGTTTAACCTTATCAAAAACGTAATTCAATTTTCTTGTGACTCATTTTCTTATTCTGTGCGACTATTTACTGTTGTTACTGTTTTATAGTTGTAAAAATGTCAACAGCATCATCTTCTAAAACTAAATCAATTAATAGACATTTTTCCGCCTCTGTAAAGTTTCTACCCTTTTTTTATTTCATTTATCATTTTTAAACAGAAAAAAAAAGAAATACATAAGAATAATATATAGCTAAAGAAGAATGTATAATAAAATAACTTGATATTGAATTATCGCGTTATAATTTGATATGGATAAAATATTTATATTGATAAGTGAGCAAGTGGTTATAACCATACATAACAAATTAAATTAATAATGAAATCATATTATGTAACACAAATTGTTCAATAACTATAATTTTACAGAACAGATAGATTATGGAATCAATAGTTTACAAAAGAGTTTTGATGCAATCGGGCATTAGACTGGTATTTTGATATCGAATGCTTATATTCGATTGAAATAGGAAAAAGTATTATTATTCAAACATGAGTTCTAACTATCTTATTATAAATAAAATCATTATTAACGTTACAACAGATCATTGAGCCATAAACTACTCCTCTTAGTCTTATAACATTATATTAAATAACTTTAAGACTTACATAATAATAACAAAATTTTGTTGTGAACTGATAATAATTTTTAATTAAGTGGCGAAGTTCCTTGTTGGAAGTGTTCACTTAATCTACATGTCAAATTTTCAATTTTTAAGTATTGGTTACTGTTAAAATACCTAGGTAATACCTATGCTACTTGCATTAAATATATACATTTTTTTTTAGTGTGCTTTAGTGTTTGGCAGCATATTACACATTGTCTTTGTAATAATTGTATTTCGAGAACAAAATACTATTGTCTCAACTACCGGTAAGTGTATAAAGTACTACTTATATAATATTAATAAGTCCTCAATTTCATTTATTTATCTAAGTAGATTAAAAAAAATTATATTTATCAGTTGGTTTTCATAATACATTATTAATATTATCCGTTATCATATATCCATGTCACATAGGTGTTTATATCCAATTATTTTTAATTAAAATTGTAATTATTTAAAGAAATTATCCATCGGTTAAGTAGATATTAATTATATTTCATTATTTATTAAATAATAATACATAATATTTAGGTACTTAAATTGGTAACTTTAGTAGGTATTCAGCGTACACAATATACTCGTATAATAATATTAATAATTGTACAAGTTGTTTCCACGCAATTAAATTACAAATAAGACCTGGGTAATTCATTAATTTTTTAAACGTTTTTTCAGTCTATATAATATGTAAATAATACAAGATTTTTAAATTTAATACATTTTTAACCTAACCCGTTAAAATCAAATTTGATTGTTTTTTTTAATAATATAATTTACTCTTAAATATTCATTATGAGTAAATATATTTACATCAAATTATTTACATAATGCAGTAAATTCATTGTTTATCAAAAACTATTCATAATATAAATAATATATAAACGTCTAGACAAAAATAAAAAATAAAATTGTGTACTTTTAAATTCGACATACATATTTTGGGAGCCAAGAGGATTAATTATTTAAGTTTATTTATCATTTGAATTTACAAAATATTTCTACCAAAGTAACTTTACCTTTAAGAAGCGACCAATGGGGTTGCAACAGGTTGACAACTGGTGTGAAATTCTGTCAAAAAGTATGAGGAGTTCTAAATAAGACTTAGGCGGATTGTCCCGATTGTCGGCGAGGGGGCAATAGGTAAATGGAAATACCATGAAGTTTGATGTAGATGATAAAATAGCTTTGGTAGTAAAAAATTGAATAAGTTAATAAAAGGATTGAGGAATGGAGAGTAGCACTTGAAGGAAAGAGTTTAAGGATAAATAGAAGTAAAACAGAATATGAGTTTAGAGAAACAAGACAAGATAATGGTAAAAATTAACGATGGTAAAGCAGTTATTATTTTTATATAATAGTGCTTACAAATCGTGTATAACCAGTGACCAGGCCTATTTTCTGTTACCAGGAACTGAATTTAAGGGTATCTAAATGAAACATTTCAGAAAATATTCGAAAATGAACAAAAAAAAAATTTGTCACTTATTTTAAATATTGTGCGAAGAGTACAATAAACGTTTGGATTTAATAAATCTCTTTTTGTTTTTGTTTTTTTTTTTACCCACTATTATTTGTACTTATGGAGCATCAATAAATTAATTCAATACTAAAATAAGGTCTTGGGACTAAGGGTTCTATAATTAAGTATATAGATAGACTTACACGCCACTGTGCATGATGTTGCTGGATACTTGGAGGTGGCACATGACTGATCTGTGTAATAGATAATGGACAAAAAAATTGCACCATGGCCTAGTTTTTCGAATACTATGCAGAAAATGTATGATTATTGAGAAGAGAACTTGAGGTAAGGTGTTATATATGCTGATTCAAATTTGAATAGATGGAGTTTGGCCAGTAAATTAATGATGTAGGTTTTATCGTCAGAGATTTTATTGGAAATACAAGTTGATCAGATCAGATCAGATCAGGGTTTCTATGAGCAATGTTAAGGTCACATCTTCAGAAATGTTCTCAATAAATTGTCCCATATCGAGTGTAAATAGTAATTTATTAGGTATCTGATTTAAGTACTTGAATCATATTCTTAAGTATGTTCGTTTAGCCACGAATAGACTAATTTTCAGACTTTAACACAATTATTTTTGAAGAAAGTAGTTTTAAAGAGTACTTTGGTTTATTAAACTTTACTTCTTGAATGTCCTGAAGAGAAGTGATAGCCTTAATTTATTAAATTAAATATGTCTATAGATACTTATTTAATTTACATTGTACAGTATGTCTATAGATACTTACTGTACATTTTCGATAATGATCAAATATAGGTATTTAAAAATTGTTTTAGATAAACGAGACGAAGCCATATTACATAGCAAGCGTATCTTATTATCTGCTGTATTTTATATCTTACTGATAGAATGTATGTTTCTATATATAAACTTTTGTCTGAAGAAAGCGACTTATGAAGTAAGTTAGTTATACAATATAGGTGCAGATATTTTTAGTAAATATAATATATATTATGATTATTAATAATAAATTATTATATAATTAATCATCTATTATAATGTAACCCATTTATTTATAAAAAAAAAGGCATGGATTCAAAATATAAATCACATTTTTTTCTGAATGTTCTTAAACATTGCTTTCCTAGCACAAAATGCGTTTTATACATCAAAGATTTAATTAATCTTTTTAAACTATCTTTTGTTCATAATTGATACTGATAATTAATTGAAAAAAGTAGTGTATTTAAAACAATAATAAATATTTCAAGTATTTTACAAGAAAAAGCAGCTTCTCGTGAAAATACTATATATATATATAGTTGACGTAGAACGAAGTTCCTCAAACTACAAAAGAACACCTATGAATAATTGTTGAAGATTTTTTTTTGAAAATCTTAAACAGTATCTGATTGTCCAATGCTATAATAAAACATAATGTAAAAATTAAATTAATGTTCCTATCTAAGTTTTATATTAAATTCATTTGTTTTTAATTAGTTTTTAATTTTTAAATGTATTTGTTTAGAGCATTTTATTAATCCGTTTTTCTTGTTTTTATAGCATTTAAATTAGTTTCCTGATTATAATATAATATAATATTAGGTTTATTATATACTAAACTCAAGTAACACGAGGAACTCCATTGGTCATAGTGCGCATTTTCTTATAAAATAACTGGCACACTTTCAGGGTATGTCTCAGATATATTGCTGTAAATAATGCTGTAGTGCGGATGTTCTCTTATTTTTATGTACTTGTTCAGAATATATTGCATAAGGATGTACTAATAACATCCTATTAGTATGAACATAATTTTACAATACAATAAGTACAGTTTTTTAATGTAAAATTTTATACTACATATTTATGCATAATTTGTCAATGGGATTTATTTTTACTAAAAAATTAAGTAATAAAAATAATATTGACGTCCCAGGGAGAATTTCGTATTATGTGAGAGTCCTTATTGTTTTCCAGTAAGTTCTTACTATTTAAGAATACATCGAATATATTATTACTAGATATATAATATTTATAGGACTATATTATACAGAGTCTACATCGTATCATGAGATATTTATGTTATTTGAGAAGTCAATTTTAGTAACTATGGTCGTTGATTAGACTATAAATAAATATTATAAGTCAAAATTATTGTACTAAATCAAAATTATACGCACTTATAAATCATAAACAGCGTACTAAGATAATATTATATTATACGATTATCTTGGTTCATATACCGTATCTATAAACATTGTAAACGCATTTTTTGTTTGGCCTTTTTTTTAAGTGTACCTCGTTTTTCTTGATAAATCCGTGAATTCAAATTTCTGCATAAATTTAATTCTTACTATTCATAGCAAAATTAATTAAATTATTTCCAAAATTTGGATACATTAGTTTGTAAAAAGGTTAAAAATGTCTTATATTTGTATATATTTCGACAAAAATCTATCAATAATAACAATATATAGGTAAACAAATATTTTTACTTGTGTTATTTATTTAATTATTATGTGCATTTTTTTAGAAAGACGTTCAAAGTATTAAACATTGGTTAGTCATGTATTTAATGTTTTTAATATATTTGGTAATCGACTTTGGTTTTGTGGCATTTTTAACCGAACGTCCCCAACTTGTACTTGGTGGATTAGTTTGGTTTGGTATGTTTACGAGATTAATTTGATAGGTCATTTTTTTTTTTAAACAGTGATTAAAAATATCTTAGAATTGTTTTATTTTTTTATTCTAGTCGTTATTTTGTTTTTCTTGTATGTGGTAAATTGTTTTTACCGAGAAGAACTCGAAAGCTCTGTAACCATTTCCGACAACAGCGAAACTTCTCATGCTTCACCGAGCAGCATTTCAATAGTTTAAAATTGAAACCTTAAAATCTCGATCAACGGCTTTGAAGATAAATATAGATAATATTAGTTTACACAATATACTGTATGTTAATGTAATATATATATTACAGTAAATGTTGTGAAATCGGTTAATGTTGTTATATTTATACCTTTTTTTTACATGAAAACCGATTGTGTACTATTAGTTTTCCAACCTTTCCTTTCATAAAAAGACTGTTCGTACTTATGTAACTTTATTCCAATATGATTCATATTATATAGATACCTAAGTACCTTACTTATTATTTTATTGGTTACTCATATATTTAATGTACATATTTTTTCTTTTATTTCATTGAATTAACTGTAACAATATAAAACTATTAATATTTTTATAATAGAAACAGTATAATTTAAGTAGAATAAAAATGCCGATCCTGGTTCTGGTGCCGGTGCTGGTGCTGGTGTCATATCCCCGCCACTCACCGCAGCCCGCACCGCTTGCCATTCCGTACTATGCCCCGCAGCGCAACCCATGCACACACACATACACATACACATACACATACACACACCCGCCGCCACTGGTGGCTGCTCACGGGCAGAAATCTGGCAGAGCCGATGTAGCCTAAAGCCAGCATGTACGGGACTTCGAGGGTGGCGGTCAGGAACGGCTTGCGAAGACCGCAGACCCGAATAGCGGAAAAGCCGGTATGAGATGACCAGGATGGCGGTCAGGGACGGTCCAAGAAGAGGTTCGAGGAGTTGAAGAACTACTGTTATTATTACAAATTACTATGTATTTATTGTTGTCGTTGTAGTGATTACTTTCGGTCGGAAGGTGTAGATCCCCCCCGTAGCTCCATGATACCACAAAAAAAAATAATAATAATAATAAAAAGGTTAGATGGCGGAGACGGAGAACGAAAAATCGAAGCAAAATAAAACCTGTAACGCCTTTAACTTTCTCTTATTTCAGTGGTGGCCAAATTACGGCCCGATATCATTTATTATCCGGCCCACGAAAGTATTTTACATTACAGTACCAATTTGCGTATCCATAATATTTTATTACGTTAAAAAAAAATTGAAAAATTAAAAAACAAGTATACATTTATCACATTTAAAATAATGTATTAAAATATAATTAAATATTTCCTAGTTTCTTATTGCTTATCGGCATTTACGTTGTTTATCGGATATATGGAAATGGCCCATATTCTAGAACAGGTTCGAAATCCCGTATCGCTGTACCGTAGCGTTATTGTTGTTAAAACTTTATTTAATAATATTATCGTATCAACAATTAGCGATAAAATTGTTTTGTACGAGCAAAATGGTTATAACTTTAGATAATATTGGTACAAGCACACGGTTATTATGCGTCTGCCATCAGGACGTTACTCAGAAGTCGTATTTTTAAAAATCAGTGGGAATTACTTTTTTTTATAAAATGGCAAAATAAAGGTATGTGTGTAATAAATAGAAAAACTATTTCAATTTTAAAAAAATAAAATATAAAACGACACTATGAAACTAAACATAATGACAAATTTAATAATTTAGGAGGAGATATAGTATGTGCACTCGATAATTGACTTTCTTTTAAACGTGGACATCGGTGTTCAAACGGTAATTTAAACGCAAAAACGCTACATTTTAAATACCAAATAACGTATATTTTTTTTTTTTTTATAGTTTAACTATTTCGCTCGTCGGTAAATGCGAGTGCGGCGTCCTTTTAACCTAATAACCATTAATTTATATTAATATAGTAGGTATTATAAAACGGAGAGATTATATGATTTTTAGCATCGGCTGTCTGCAACTTAAATGTGTATATCTTAAAATTTAATCTATGGCCGACTAACGGACAGAAACTGTTTGCGGTAGAGAATATTATTATTATTAACATTATTAAATGCAGCGATGGTATACAGAGTGATTTATTTATCACGAACCAGCGGTTTTATCGGATGATTTTTAGTGAAATTATTTATATAATTTTTTTTTTCGATCATTAGAAGCCTTTATTTTACTACTTTCAGTTTTTACTCGCCTAAACTCATTATACCTAATACGGGTATACACTTTTGGTTTCTAAATAAAAACACTAAATTTCAAACACAGATTCGAAAAATGATTATTTTTCTATCCATTTTGATACGCATAATGCTATAATATCGGATTCATTATTTACGTGACTTATAACTGTTTGCAATTTAGACCAGAGAAATAATTCTGCCTACTGCTATGGTTATTGTCCGTAAACTACATATCCATTTTTAGATGATACATTTATAATCCTTTTTTATTCCTCCTGTCTTCACTGTTAATTATTATAACTCGCATAATAAACGGCAAATCTAATATTAGTGTTATTTTCTTCTGGTTTGAATTTTTGTGGCCAGTTCAGATCCATTATACCACAAACCAAACCTTCCTTTCCTTTCTACTCACCACAGTGCCAAGTCTCTGGCTATCTTATCTTTTAATCTTTGCCTGGACCATCACGTCTTGGTCATGTTTTTATTAATTATCAAACACCGTACATAATAGTTTTACAGAAATAAGGCGTAAACAACAGTGAATAGTAAACATTAAACATAGTAGTTAGATAAATCAGAACGAATCACAAATAAAGAAAATAATGTAAGCGACATTGTTAGATATTTATAACATTATAACACAAAAAAATATTACGAAATACAAAGGCAAAGGTTTTGTGTTCGGTTTACATTTTGCGGCTCTTTTCAATTCCACACGTATGACTAGGGAACGGATTTATATGAATTTAAAATTTAAAGTGCTTAAAAACGTTATGTAAGCTCTAAAAAATTACTTAAAAATATTTAAAAGAGCAATTAAGGTAGAGGGGTTCAAAAGTTACCCTATATATTTTTTCTAACTTATTAAAAATAAATTTTAACACTAAAAACTAATTTTAGATTCTGAGCGGAGCAATGAAGCTTATGGATTTATTTTATTTAGGTGCGCTACTTTTCTACTAGACGACTTGCTCAGATTCCTAATTGTAGCACCTTTTCTGAAAGGAAACCAGTGTGGAGAGATATTTTAGGAAAGTCATTTTTCGAAATTCTCATCAAAGTTCGTCTCTGTTTTATAGTGTTATATCACTATATTTTGTTTTAATCACGTAGTTCTGTGATGTTTCAACATTTTAGTGTTATTAAAATATTTTGAAAAAAGAAAACTGTTTGTTCGGAATCAAATAAAACCAAATCAAAACTGAAAAAAAAACTGGCTTTGAATACCACAAAGTTGGTCTGAATATTTTAAATATTTAACGTCTAAAAAGGGCTCATGTATTATATATTTCACAAATTTCAGATCTTTAAGATTATTTTTAAGTGAATAATATTAAAAACAATAAAATAAAATACAACAGATATCGTTGTAGTGTAAATTTTCCCGGTTTTCTGGCGTATTACTCAATTATGAAAAAAAAAAGGTTACAATAAATAATTACAAAATTACCTCCTCAATACTCCAATTTTACGAAAATTTCAACTGGAAATCACTTTTGAAGTTTACGATTAGAGAGAAATTTATGGTAGAAAATATATTCACAAGCAGAGAAAAAAGCACACATTATGGTTTTGGTGTTGGTAATATACGCGTATAAAATGATTTATACCTACGTTACACTTATAACACTCCACATAATATAAAACTTAAAAAATTACTAAAACGTATGAAACTTTATAACGACTGAGACATTGTTATTATTATTATTATTTTTGAAGTTTATTACAATAGTGCATTATAAATTTTAATAAATATTTAAACTTATAAATTAATATAAAAAATTAATAAATCACATAAACTTGGTGAATTTTCTTAAATTTAAAATAAAAAAAAAACAGAGCAATTTATTTTTTGGAATTATAAATATATTAATGTAGTTATTAATAAAGAATAAAGATGAATTTAGTAATATAAGATACATAAAATTATGATTAAATTCAATTGACAATTATTTAAACTGATAATTTCTGATCAATAACAGCCAAAAAAAATAAAAAATTGTGTACAGTATAAAACTACTAGTTATATACGTTTTATACGTTTCATACATATTTATAATACGTGTTTCATGCATTACTGTATTATACGTTTCAACCTTGAATTTATAGTAAAATCAATACGCTCTAAGCTTTGCTCAGAATCTTTTTACAAAAAAAAAAAAAAAATTAATATTGTATGTCCTATAAGTTATGACGTACGGCAGTTACTTATTGGAAATATTGACGGAAATTAATGTTATTTTCGAAATTTCAAGTAACATATTCTGCAAATGAAAATATAATATGTATTTTTGTCGAAGCTAAANGAATTGCTACAAACCAATCTCAGGATTGAATACTGAAGAAGAAGATTCCATAAATGTCTGTTATGGCTGTGCCGCCGACTTCGTAGGGGTTCTCGAGTCGTCTAAATTTATTTACACCGCTTCGTTGTATTTATCCCGGCGGAATAGTTGTGGGCTCTGGGCGCACGATATTCGGAAATCCTACTCCGCGCGCATTGGTCGGGTACCGTCGGCGCCGCGCGAAATCCGGTCGTATAAGTGGTGATGCTTTCGACGGGCGCCCGCGTCTTCGACGGCGACTCGTCCACGGGAGCGCCGCGTTTCCGGCAACGGTCCGCCGCCGGTTTTTTTCTGCAACAGGCTCCGGGCACCGCCGGCCTGTAGCTCAACTGCTGAACCGACGACGTTTCCAGTGGCCTGGACGGTTCTTTGTATACGCTCTGGGTGTAACGCCAGAGTTCCGGCCTCGGCGCGGGCGGACGGTACGCGGTGCCCGCGGTCGTGTCCTTTACCGCCATGTTCGGCCGGGCTAATGTCGCAATAACAAAAACCATAGTATAATACGTTGTAAGCGTTAAAAACGGGTTAATTTTGTCGGTTGTACCGCGCGGCAATAAATCGACACGTACGTACGGCAATCCAGAAAGATCGCAAAATGAAACTCACAATGCATAGGCGGTTCATTAGTGGCGCAAACCGTTATCTTTATAGTTAAACGAGTGGCTGAGGAAGATCCTATTGGGCAGGAATAGGCAACTGGTGGCCCGCCATTTTTTACTGGCCCGTGCTACATTTTCAAATTAATTAATAAATACTATATGTATAAATAATTAAATATAAAAAATAAATGTCACTTGTAAATTTTAAACTTTATTGACCTTTTATTTGCTTATTTGCTTATTCTCTGGCCCGCTAGATTTTAAAGTTATACAAATTAGCCCTCTTGTAACATTGAGTTGCTCATCTCTGATATAAGGAAAAAATCATTAGAAAGATCAAGGTTATGGTGAGAATATTGTGTTGAGAAATCTGAAAGAAATTAAGACAGTGGTGGGGTTAAATACAAAATGAAGAGACAGAAAAAAACGAAGCAGATATAATTTCCTAAAATTATTCGGGAGTATTTTTTTCCACACGTTTATTCGCACTAAACAGAAAAAAACGTATTGGGACAATAGATATTTGGTTGTTCTAATTGAAAGACGCAAAATCAGACGTTCGATAAAAATATATCAAATAATAACAACAGTATAGTTACACTCGTGACTTATAAATTCTTCGGATACCACGTTCTACAATACTGCGTCGTTTTCTTTGATTCTTAATCTCTCCTTTTTTCCCATACTTGCTTATTTAAATAACCACACCGTGTTCTTTAATCGAATATTTACTGTGCTACAAGGTATAGGTTTGCAGTTTAAACACCGTGACTCTCCGAAGTAACCGTTTTTTTCTTTCTTTCGTTCTTTCTCTCTTATAACCTGTGAACAAATTTCGTAATAATAATATTTCGTAATAATAATGGAGCAAACGGGTCTTTTGAGCGGATCGTTTTAAAGAGCCTCGGAAGACTCGTTTCGCTCGAATNCGAATATTTACTGTGCTACAAGGTATAGTTTTGCAATTTAAGCACCGTTACTCTCCGAAGTAACCGTTTTTTTCTTTCTTTCGTTCTTACTCTCTTACAACCTGTGGACAAATTTTTTCGTTATAATAATGGAGCAAACGGGTCTTTTGAGCGGATCGTTTTAAAGAGCCTCGGAAGACTCTTTTCGCTCGAAAGATCCGTTTTCCCCGTCTATACAATTAGTTTATTTATAATATTGTTAATAATAACGCCGTGTTAACATAATAATCGTTTGTAGTATTTTTTTGAAGGGATAAGGGGGAGAGAAAGTTGTCTGGTTCGGATGCAATGAAGGGGAGAGTGAGGGGAGTGGGAGGTTAGGGTTGTTCATTCTAGATTCAGATTATTATCTATTAAGGCCGCCGCCAGCACCGCCACCTTATCCGTACGTATACGTGTACCTCGCGTCTGCGAGTGCGGATGTAGAAAACCGTATACCGGCCGCTGCGCCGGCGGAAACCGAGAAAGCGCTCCCAGCCATTTAAAACCCGGCCAACTAACATGTATAAATAACGCGTGGGATTCGTGTCCCACGGCCGTGTCTCCCCGTCACCGACCCCGGAGGTGTATAGGAATGGCGGACGAAAATGGCAGTTTTCCGAAAGAATCGGTGGATAACCCCGTTATTGCCTGGCTCATACTCTCAGCCCGCGGAAGAAAACGGAGCCGCAGAAACGATATGTTCCGCCTCCGCTCTTTTCGGCGTAGTTTAGTAGCGGTAATAGCGTTAAGTATATAGCGGTAATAGTGCAATCGTATNAAATAACGCGTGGGATTCGTGTCCTACGGCCGTGTCTCCCCGTCACCGACCCCGGAGGTGTATAGGAATGGCGGACGAAAATGGCAGTCTTCCGAAAGAATCGGCGGATAACCCCGTTTTTGCCTGGCTCATACTCTCAGACCGCGGAAGAGAACGGAGCCGCAGAAACGATATATTCCGCCCCCGCTGTTTTCAGCGTAGTTTAGTAGCGGTAATAGCGTTAAGTATATAGTGGTAATAGTGATTAATTAGTGGTCAGGGTCTTCGCGAACTCCCGAGTCCTGACGCGGGCCTGCAAATGTATTGGCCTAACAGGACGCGTAACATAGACGTACAACAGATTTTTCTCCGGTTCGGTACCGGAGAAAAATGTCAAACGTTTATTGATTATATATTTTTTTTATTGAGTTAGAATAGGTGGAGAAACAAATAACGCACTGAGATTTGCCGATGACATTGCTTTTTGCGCAGAAACAGAGAATGGCCTGCAATAGATTTAAACTAAGGTCAATAAAATATTATGGGACAAATATGGAATGCGATTAAATNGCAAGCGAAAAGGGCTTTCCTGAATAAAAAACACCTACTAACCACCATTAGTATGTACTTAGAGATAAGAAAAAGGTCCTTAAAAACATATGTATGGAGTATTGCCTTATATGGCTGTGAAACCTAGACAATCAGTGCAATAGAGAAAAGAGAACTAGAGGCGTTAGAAATGTGGTGCTATCGTAAAATGTTAAGAATTTAATGGATTGATAGAATAACGAATGAAGCAGTATTAAATAGAACAAAAGAAAAGAAAATACTTTGGCATACCATAAAAGTTAGAAGAGCTAAAATGATAGGTCATCTACTACGCCAAGAGAGTCTATCGAAAACCGTCCTAGAAGGCGACATTGAAGGCCATATAGGAAGAGGAAAACCAAGGATGGAGTACACGAAGCAAATCATAATTGACATGGGGAAGAATAGTTATAAGGAACTAAAGGAATTAAGTAACGATAAAGTCACATGGAGAACTGCAGCAAACCAATCTAAGGATTGAAGACTGAAAGAAGNCTAAAATTATAGGACATCTACTACGCCATGAGAGTCTATCGAAAACCGTCCTAGAAGGCGACTTTGAAGGCCATATAGGAAGAGGAAGACCAAGGATGGAGTACACGAAGCAAATCATAATTGACATAGGGAAGAATAGTTATAAGGAACTAAAGGAATTAATATACGATAAAGTCACATGGAGAACTGCAGCAAACCAATCTAAGGGTTGAAGACTGAAAGAAGAAGACGGGAATCGATGTCATTATATTCCCGCCCGCAGCCGACTGTTTTGTACTTTGGACTTGAAATAGAATCCAAATTTCCGAAGGTAAATGATCAAAGTGGCCCTTACCCGCCCCTCTGTATTAGCATCACCATCCGTTTGAACCACTGTCTTACAACCGATCACCTTCGGTACAAACTTAAATGATGTGTCAGTTAAATTATGAAGAATTTTATCTAAATTCATTAAATATGATATTAATTTAAAATAATTGTCAGAAAAAAATCAGTGTATAGCAAATACATTATGAAGAACATATTTGAAAATTGAAAACACAAACAAAACGGACATAGATTATGTAGCGCATCAAATTCAGGAATCGTTGCGAATATCAGGCTTAGCGAAAGAGAAAATAAGAAAGGCAACAAAAGAGGATTCAGTTTTAAGTTAAATAATCAAATTACATTATGAGGGTTGGCCAGAAAAACAGAAGAATATATTAAAGGCAATAATCCATTATTAAAAAACTAAAGATGTAATTAATGTATTTGATCATTTAATTTTTGTAGGTCACAAAGTTATGACAGCAGAGTTTAAAATTTAATTATAATTACAACTACGTACTTCCTGTACATCCTTATTTTTTTACATTTTTTCCTGTGAGACGAACGTGTTATTGACAAAATATAAATACAGATATAGAAGTATTTATACAAAATTTAGAGTAAGGCAAAGATTTTTAAATTTTTTATAAATATTAATGACATGTTAAGGATAAATTAGTTATGCACTATGCACTTATTTGATGATACATTTTATAAGAATTATTTAGAAAAAAACATGTAATTTGTGATTTAAAGTCATTTAGTTTTTTTGTGTTAAGAAACTATTTTTTGATTTGTTACAAAATAGAATTTATTTTATTTTAAGGGAAATTACTTTTGATTTATCATCAGTATTACAATGGTAAATATATGTGTGATAAATAATGAAAGTTATTTTGCAATAATAGGCAAAGAGAGTGATTATCAAAGATGTACAAAGGTTTTTAAATTTTAAGAAATATTAATATGTTAAGGATAAATTAGTTATGCACTATGCACTTATTTGATGATACATTTTATAAGAATTATTTAGAAAAAAAGCATGCAATTTGTTTTTAATACCGTAAAGAGTATAGGGAAAAGTTGCAAGGCACGTTGAGGTATCAATATAAACCTATACTTAAGGTTGGCGGCGGTGGGAGGGTAGGAGGTTTTGACGGTGAAGAGGAGACACGGTTGGTGAAGCTAGGGTGGAATGAGAGTAGAAGGGGAACGACGACTGAGTTAAAAACTTGTTTGTGTAGCCATGTTGAGGTATAACTCCGACATGGACGGTCGTGTTGCAGTATACAGGTATGACTTCTTGGCCAGAAATCTCCCGATCATACTATTTTCTTGATAATCGTTAGACGGTTTATTTATATGAAACTTCTAAACCCAATTGCGGACGATTCATATAATGGTTGTACATAGCACTTAATGAAAAGGTACAACATCGCATTAATCTCAAGATGATATTGCCGCTGAATTTCCCATCCGAGTTGACTTGACCTGTGTATATATATATATGACACACAATGTTAATAATAATATCGGGATTTGCAAATGGTTGAAAACCACAGGTGTATACATAAAATTGGACGCCTTTCATTTTTTTTTTTCAGTTACGGTTGTGTAAGTATCTACGGTACAAACGTACAGCTTTATCAGAACATACAAAAGTTTTTGGTTTATTTTTTGATCCTTCCAAAGTTTTATTACGTTATTTAATAATATTGTAACTGGAATACGATTAAAAAAANATAAGGAGAATTTGCAGGACACGATGACGGAGAATTAAAACGTGGGTTTTTGATAACACGTTATATGATAACTTAATTAGAAAAAATGTTAAATAACCGCAATATGATATTGAGGTGTCAATATAAACCTATACTTAAGGTTGGCGGCGGTGGGAGGGTAGGAGGTTTTGATGGTGGAGAGGAGACACGGTTGGTGAAACAAGGGTGGAATGAGATTAAAAGGGGCACGACGACTGTATTAAAGAACTTGTTTATGTGGCCATGTTGAGGTATAACTCCGGCATGGGCGGTCGTGTTGCAGTATACAATAAATAACAAAGCCAGATTCCGGAGTGTTTCTTGACAAACATTAGATGGATTATTTGCATGCTATTTCCAATCCCACTTTCGGAGAATCCATATAGTTGTTGAACATAGCACTAAATGTTATTGAACAGTTTTTCATGAACTTCCAGATAATATTCCCGCCAAATTTCCCATCTGAATCCAATTGGCCTGTGTATATATACGACACACAATGTTAATAATAATATTTCGATATTGTTGATTCAATCATAATGTAGGTATCCAAGGCCATACCTACGAGGTTAGAGGATGTACGGTAATGTACGTTTAAACGTAAATTATATATGTGTATAATAACTTTATAGTGTATGCCAGTGGTTTTCAAACTGACAGGCGCCAAGTATAATTTGGGAAACGCTAAAATTCTAAAAAATGTATGTTAAAATGTATGTCTTTCTTATGTTGTAAAATATTATTCATATGATAAAATGCTTGAAAGGGTAACCATAAAAAAAATTAAAATGAATGTTCGCGATTTTTTGTAAATGGTTGAAAACCAATTGTGTATACAAAAAATTAAATCAATTTAAATATAATATATATGATTAAACCACCTCCGTAAATGCTATTTTACTGATTTATATTTTACGAAATAATTAATTGCCAACAGGTAATAATATTAATTCATATACTTTTTTTTCGAAAGAACTATATTTACTAATAAGTATAAGTGTTATATTTCTACTTAATTATACATTTGATTTGTGTAATGTTATTAGCACGTATTTGCATTATAAAACTTATTGGTTTATATGATTTTACAATGTTCTGTGATGCACTAGATAAACATGTATACAGTAAAAAGGTGCAAAAGTACGGAATCATATATTTACGAGCTGTTTATATTTACATCCGAATTGGATAATGCAAGCAAAGAAGCAGAAGAAGACTAAATGCGTCTAAGGGAAGCGGCTTCTTTATAATAATTTATATTATCACCTTTGACTTCTATATTTTTGGTAACGACGGCCTGTTGCGATAGCACGCACTTTATTTCTCTTTTCTCATGTTCAGAATTTATTTCTAATGCAGTTGAGTTGGAATTGTAGCGTGCTACGGCCCGCAAGGTTGAGGCAAGAGACTGGTTTAGAGTGGCTGAATAACTCATATAACNTGGTGACTCTTTGTTGGCTATGAACTTGCATTGACCGCCTATTAAATAGGAGCTAAATATCTGCTTCGTAAAGTTAATATTTAACTCATTTGATGTGTCTGTCGCCTTGTTGGCCAACACCTGCACGTTTAAATTGTCGTTGGCTAATTCAATGGATCCAGAAATCTTGTTCTTCGTCCAATTGTCCAGGACATTGCCACTGATCTGTCCCCACAAGTTGCCAAACACGTTATGGCATAACTTATATGAAGTATCATTATTCAAGTTCGTTTCCAAGTAGGCACAAAATGTTGGTTTGGAGACCGTATTAATACCATTACTAAAGAATGCCAGTAAACAATTATTTATAACAAATTTATTATGTTGTGTGTGAATTAGCTAAGAAGAATATCCTAACTAATCGTTGAAAAAAAATTTGTTTTTAATTTTTGACTCATATAACTATTTGGCTGGTTTTAATAGGGTTTCTTATATTGTTTTTAGTATTGCACAATATAGCTGAATTTGTAGGTAGCCCTATGATTTTACTTGAATTTAACTTGTCGAAAAATGTATAGGTTATTTTATCTTTTTTTAGTAGATTTTAAATTTAATATATCTAGCGACTTATAATCCACATACAATTTAGATTATTCACGAGCCATGAATTATGAATCATGACTTATATTATATTTTTCCATTACGTATTCTAAATAAACATTTTTCAAAATTTGAATTTTTTTACATAATTTGATTTGATTTAACAATAAAAGTAGTCCGAGCAACGAGATAAGGGGCATAGAAGTCCGAGCAACGAGATAAGGGGCATAGAGTATAAATAAATAGACATAATTCGATCATATTGTTTCTATGACAAATCCACACAGTTCATTAAATCAACATTATGAATTTGGCGGTGAGTAATAATAAACATTATTTTAGTCAAATCTTACTCTTCGGCGTTTTCAGGAGCACTGTCTTTATTTCTGGAATATGTGACACCATATCCGAACCTGTTGTCCATGTGGTCTAATGAACCTAGTGCCAGCTTATATGTTAAATAGTTCGTGAAATTATGTCGTCCTGGTCTCCAAAAGGTCTCAATCTTGGAACTCCCAGTGAACCCTGATAAAACACTGGGTTTTACATTGATTAAAACCGCCTTATTGTATGTCGGGCATTTGCCTAAAAAAAAAAAAACGTTAAGTCATAATTAATAACCCAAATAGAGTCGATTAAAAAGTTATATTATGCTTGCGAACGCTTAAATAATTCTGAAAAAATGTCATATACCTATCTACGATTACGTCTCATTCAACGACACTTGTCATTTTTTTTTTTTTTTAGCTAAAATCGTTTTCGGCTAGTGCCGCAACTAAATTTATACGGCAGCCTTGTACCAACGTTATATATATTTGTTTCGAATTTTTGTCATTGCGAAGAAAATAATTTGGAATTAAAAAAAATAATGAAAATCCTGTCCAGGCATTGAATATATTCATAAAATACAAGAAAGCCGTGGTGAGTCTTTTGATTTGTTCGAGCCTTATGGTCGAAAGCAAGAAAATCTTTAATATAGGTAGTTTGTAAAAAAAAATAAATTACAAAATATATATTCATACCGTTGTCATTCTTAATCGTATACTTATAATTATTTTTTTCCAGGTTTCAAACATAATAAGAAAATTTGATTACAATAATCAATAATCAATAATCAAAATTATGAAATATATGAGAAGTCACGTTACAGGAAGAATAGCGGTATAAGTTATGGTATTCGGTTTAAACTATCCAAAAACACGCCGCTTTTTCGAATTCAATAGCCTTTAAATACTATTATATTTTTCAATCGATAAATGACGGTATACTAGTCATATCGGTATTGATCTAAACCGATAAATATCTATCATAAGAATGTATGCAAGCTGATAATGTAATCTATGTGTAAGTACTCACTCATGGGGCTGTTCATCGTTTTAGTCTCCATTGAGTCGCAAATAAGATCGTTTTTGAAATAGTAGGAAACTTTTATATTATTCGTTAAAAAATTGAATTAAATGAAATATTATAGAACCTATTACTACTATAACCGTTTTGTTTATTTTCAAACGATTTTTTGCTCCATTGTTACCAATAAACCGAAAGAAAAAATAGGCTAGATTATAAAAAAAAAGAAATCTATACATTTCGATATTAGATTAACTACTCATAATTTTTCGTATTTTAAATAAACGAGGAAAGGATAAAACTCCTATTATCCCCCTCTGTATATATATTATACGGTTTTAACTATTCAAAATCACTCCGCTTTTTCGAATTCAGTATCTTTTAAATACTATAAGGTATATGTTTCAATCGTCAAATGACGGTATACTAGTCATATCGGTATTGATCTAAACCGATGAATATGTATCATATGAATGTATGCAGGCCCGTCGCTAGTGCACAAGCAGGTTAAGCCATTTCCTAAAGGCGGAAACATATTCAATGAAAACTGAGGCAGCATTTTTTATGACAGAAAATACGTTGTATTAGGATTCACAACTAATAAATTAAACAAAATCCAACGGATCACTGGTTGATAATTAATAATAAATCCGAAAGATGAATATTACGTTTCAAATCAATACAAGTGCTCTAAGAGCAATGCTTATTTGAGTAGGTAGGTATCAAATATTTATCTTGTATCCGGTGAATTGATCGCTGCTGCAAATTGGTCACTTAAAAAATTAATGCTTTGTGTAGACTTATCTCTGGTTTAAACTTTCATACTAATACCCTAATAATACAATAATAATTTATTATTAATAATAAAATTAAATGATGAATCGTCGTTGATTTTCATAATATCATCGATATACACAAATTGCAAAAACTCATCGTTTACGGTCGTACATTATATAAGTCTAGTATAGTGAATTTAATATTTTTTAGTATTTTTTTTTTTTAAGGTAATAATTTTTCATAATTTTATTTTAAAATTGCGCAGTTAATCCAGAGAAGTCGATATAAATTAATATCTACAAAATTCGTTTTTTTTTTTTGGCGATCAATTTAACCGGTCACCAATTTGTAGCCGCCAATCAACGGCGATCAATTGTTCGCGATCATTTCAGTGCGATATATCCTATCTAATTGTGTATTACACAATAAATTATTACTATTTAACGTATATCTATATAATAATATACGGATTTCAATGTTAAACCACCATTGTTCAAATTTTAGATAAGCTGATAATATAATTTATGTGTAAGTACTCACTTATTTGGTTGATCATTGTTTTCGAGTCCATTTTGTTGCAAAGTTAATATCAATTGTCGTAATAGTAAGTAACTTTGAAAATATTTGATAAATTCAAATATTGAATTATTATATTTATTGTTATAATTATAAACTGAGAATTATAATATGTTTANTTATTTTATTGGCATTACCTAGGTACCTTTTACTATTATAACCGTTTTGTTTTTTTTTTAGAAAAACGTTTTTCTTTATTGTGTTAATAGTTAACCGAAAAAAAATTTACGAGTTACGCTTGGGGAAACTTGTACAATCGCAATTATTATTTCAGTATAATTTTTTATGTTATCGGATGAAAAAAAAACAAACATTAACACACACACACACACACACACACACATACACGTAGGGTACCTAAACGATAAATTAGTTCTGATCGATCAATAATTATATCTTCTGGATTCCGAAACAATCAAGTAACCCGGTGCGCATTGTCAGTCACGGTTAACAGAAATTTATATCGAGAGATGGAAAAAAAAAATAATAATAATGCCGTCACTTCATTCGTTGTTAATAATAATTACAATGTTAGAAAAATACGCATAAAAAAAAATCCTCTTGTTGTTTTACCGTGCGGTACATGTTTGTATAACGATAAATACACGTATACATTGTCGGAAAATATTTCGTTGGACATTTACCGCGAAAAACCAAGTATAATACGGGTGTAATATCACTGCAGCGCAATACAATGTATAATATTATAACATATCCGTAATTAATACGAGAGGAAAAATTAAAATTAATACGAGAGAGTCGTTAAAAAAGCTGTTCTTTTTTTGGTTTGATTTCAGCGTACGCGTAAGTCGCCGCACCACGTCTAGAGACCACGCAACGCAGAATCGAAACGACCAATTACTTCTCCGTCATAAATGATGAACTATAATAACCCAAAGGAGCCGGACTGTACAACTAACCGTTAAAAGTTAAAAGTCCCGTCATAAGAAATTCGTTCGATAACTTTTAACTTGATTAGTAAAAAAAAAAAATTGGAATGATAATTTAGCAAAAAAGTAATTTCTTTTGATAAATAATTTTAAATTTATTTACTTACTTTTTATGTTTAGGTCAATTAAAAAAAAAAAGGGTTAGGTTAGGTTTCATATATTCTTCCATTCGAGGATCTGCAGAGGTGTATAAATTGTTTTTTAAAAAAAAAACACCATCTTCGCGCAATAACATGATGACGTCCGTATTGAAATTCAATCGCATCGCATCAATCCACTTTTAACAAAATTTTAATTACCGAGTCCTGGCTCGTTCGGTCCAGCAGGAGCGACCGAACGTGTCCTGTAGTACGGGTGATTAACGAAGATATTATATTTATAACAGACGGACACAGCGTAACATTCTATATTTCGAGGGGGGGGGGGAATCGACAAAATGTCATTTTCAAAGTCCGACACGAGTTGTCGGTGAAGCTTCTGTGATCGAAAAACGACGAGAGATGTTTTTATGTCGCCGCGTATCGGTGCAATAGTCGGTGCGTTAGAGTGGTCATTTTTCGATTTTCCGGCGGAATGATAGGCAACCCGCGGACAATTGATAATTATTTCGTTAGTAGGCCGTGGGTCGGGTCAGAATACAAAGGTCGACTACAAATTGTTCGACAACATAGTTTTTAGTCATTTCTCCCCGCCCCCAGGCGCGGTTTTTTAATATTATCGGGTACGCATTCGCACACAATATCGTACCGCACGGAAATAACGTAATATTTTTGATATAAACGGTTTTAATAATAATAATATTTCACGCACGTTTTAATAAACATAATTCAACGATATTATTATAAGCCCGAGTGGCGTTTTGTCATGAGAAATAAACCGTCGGGAAATTTAATTTACCTAACGCTGCAGCGTACTACTGCTGCAGCATTGTTGTACAAGTATTTCAACAACGCGAATATCACTCCGTTATATATTGTCGTTNTGTACGCGTGTACTTACCTACCGGCGCGAAGCGTTACTGCGCAATTAAATCGTTTTCGTGAATAAATAAGCGACGGGCGCGCGAAACATTATTAAACATTTTAATAATTTTATTTCTACTTTATTATTTGTATTAAATATAATATGTTTTACGATTTTTTCTGGTCCTGTTTACCTACAACACAAATATCAAATATCCTCTTATAGGTACTATAGATTGTATAGTAATATAGTATACAGATGTAATGATATCTGTGGCTTACTCGCATGCCATGTTGCGTTTGAATAGTGTTCCATTTAACCTTACCCAAAATTATAAATGTATTAGTATAAAAAGAACGGTTCTGGAATCATATCAAGAGCCGCAGCTGTTCCCTCACCCGCCACTATTGTAATGTGTTTGCATATATATGATCCCTTATTTCCCTTCCCCCCCATCATCCTTACCGTCAAATCCTACCACGAACTCCGCGCCTTCCGCCGCGTCAATCTCCGCAGCCAATGCCTTACTACTCAATATATCGGTAAGGTTAGCTACAATGTACACATTATTTAGTGTATCTCAAAACTGGATATATTTTCATCATTTCACTTAAACCTGTTGACGAGATATTTCACTTTTAAGTTGATTTATGGTTGAGTAGTGTAGCATCATTTATTTGGCGAGATGACTCACGGCGTTCAAATAGTGAATAATGAATACTTTTCAAAACATCAAGAGTAGTCAATTAATTAAATCACTCTGTATGTATAGTATTTGAAGATCAGAATATTCTATTATAAATTATGGCAAATAACCGTTAACGGTTTTATAGGTGGTAAGATAGTTTTACTATAAAATATCCAGTTAAAACAAAAATATAGTATACTTTTTAATAGAAGATGGAATTATTTAATACTCATATGTGTATAACTTAACTTAAAAATTAATTTAAAAAAAAAAAAAATGCATAATAAATATTATTGTATTGTAGGCAATCAAATATAAATTATAATATTGGTACTTAATTAAATTATGTATCATACAATATTCCATTTAACTATTCTCGGTAAGTATGTATTAGTATAAAAATAAATAATAAACATTTTACATTTATGAACAAATTATGGGACTTCGTGCAAATTCATATAAATGAAAAAAATAGATAAACGTAAAGTTGATGTGGTTCTTAAATTTAAAAATTATGAAACCTTAAACATTTGAAAATGTTTCCATCATCAGTCATCACCATATTAACTTTACGTTTATCTTGGTTAATTACGTTCGTATTATACGCAGTTTTACGGTAAATATTTCAAGAAAAAAAGTAATACATTTAATTAATGTGATTACATAAAGTGTGTTCGTATTTAATTAACATTTTGTTTATTTTTGAATGTTATAAATTTATTTCTGAGACTTAAACTACATAATATTACGAGTATATATTTAAAATCTTCGTTATTGATGTTTGAAGACAAAACCAAGGCGTAACAAATTGCATAAAATCTTCATGTACTATGTGAATTAAAATTGTCCATAAACGTCTAAAATTAAAAATAATGAGGTTAATATATTGTTGGCATAGCATATTAATATCTATTTAATAAATCATTACGGAATCTGCATTGAGTTGTTGCCATATGTCTACATTATTTAAATGTTCGGGTTTTATTTCGCGACCTAAAATTAATAATAAACTTCATTGTTATTTATGTTTGATGCGAAACATCAATATTAAAAAAAAAAATATTGGACGTTTATAACATGAATAATATTATCTACCTATTATAACATAATAGCAGAGTATGCTTTCTGCGTTAAAATTACATAAAATATTTAAATATCTAATAATAATAAATTGTATGACTGGTGATAACCATTGTATCATCATGATACATGATAACATAAATTTTGTATTTCTTTCGGGTAACCAAAGAAACCAAAAATAACAAAAATAATACGTATTATTTATAAGTCCAATATTTAGTGTGTACAATAATTATAAGCGGTATACAATGCATCAATATCTTAGTAGGTCGAAACCAAAAAAAAAAAAAAAATATTTACATTTATCTATTACAACCTATTATTACACGAGAAAATAACCGGCGCATTCGAATTGCGTCCATATAAATGACATTTTGTCCCGAGTTACTTCCGCGTAGTATTTTTAATAAAATCTTCGTTTTCTATATCCTCTCTTCGTTTCTTGGTTAAATTTTAGTTTTGTATTTTAATATAAATATCAGTTTGAATATTTTTGAAATGAACAACATGAAAAAGTTGATTTCCAACAATAAATTGTAAGATGATATTTACCAACCTATAATAAGGTATCAATAATCGATAATCGATGGATAATTAATATTAACCAGTTTATCATCGAACATGTAGAAATATAATAACAATTATTCTTGTGGACGCAACTTGGAACAGTCACTAAAAACCGCGGACGCAACTCGGTTGTCACGACATATATTTTCGTTTTTAGGGACTCAATTTGTAGACAGCTAAAATAACACAATTAAAAATGTAGTTTTTTTCTGAACCTAAAAGATAGTCATTACTATAAACCGAAATTAACCCTTTTATAATTAAGATGATGGTTTTTCATTTCTTTTGAAACAAAGTTCCGGTTCTTAAATGTATAAGGTTAACCGGTTTCAGAAATGATCCTTTTCGGTTTCAGTTCTGGGTTCTAGAGCCTAAGCGTTCATCAAATAATTTAATTGGTATCTTATAACATTCGAAAAACTTTTCGGGGTGTCTACATTTTATTTTCATAAAATTCTGAAAGGTAATTATTTTTTTCTCTATTAGAATTTTAAGGATGTACTCAATATCTTCATTTTGGAAAATAAGTTCATCCAATTAATTAATTCTTCAGCAGCTATTAAATTTTTTTTAGAAAATTAATTGTTTTATCATTTGTATATAGAAGATATTTTGTCGTATCATTAACCATTATTTTAATATACCTTAATACCGTCAAAAAAGTCAATTTTTCAAAATAAATGAAATGTCCGATATTTTATTATTTTTCTTTAGAAAATAATAGATTTATGAAAAATTATAAATTTTTATTATTATTTAAAATAAAAAATCCTATAATTTAAGTTTTATTTATTTTTATGATAAGTTCAATAGTTTTTTGATTATACTCAGTAAACGACAAATCAATCCTATTTTGCAATTTTTAATTCCGTTGGGAAACGTGACGGAGATAAGTAAAGTTATCATGACCAAATTTAATTAAAGTTTACTTTCTTATAATACTGAATAAAATGAAGGGGTGTGAAATCAAAAATATTAACTTTTGTTTTCTTTATCTATAACTATAAGGGTCACCCCAGTGTGGCCTAAACCCTATTATTGCATATTCGGTGGACACAGGAAGAAACTTTTTTATTGCACGGGCAAAGCTGGGTAGGACAACTACTGCAATAGTATATAATCAATATATTTTAGTTTGATATTTGTACTATATTTTTATGAACGTTGAATTTCATTTATGATTTTTTAGTTTTGTGACAATTATATATTTTGTTCAAACAATGTATGCTATTATAGACAATAGTATTGTATGCATTGTATATAGTACATACACAATAGTTTTAGTTTAAAATGTAGATACTTATTTGCTACTTAAAAATTACTTATAATGAACCTTTAATATGCCAATTTAGAAATTGGGACGCTTGGGGCGTAAACAAGTTATAAGCTACAGATTAGTGTTTTTATATAACATCCGAAACTGACATTTCCCAATATTATTATTTTAGTTTTTAGTACCTATTAGAATTTATTTTATTATTTTTACTTACGTTTTTCTTGTAATTCAGTAGGCATAAATTGTAAGCTATGTTTCATTAATACAATCCATGCTTTTAATTCGAATAGAAATATTTTATTGTGATTAGTATTCGTTTCGTTTTGAATATCATCATCCCACGACTTATTGAACACTCCGTAAACTAGCCATTAAAAAACATAAAAATAAAGTAGTTAACCAATCAAATTTCTTCCACTAGAAATTATTATAATTATTATAGTTGTCAATATGAGTCATGTATTTATAACCGGGCTCACGAAAAGTGAATTCTAACAAAGTTCAAATATTAGAATTCTCAATGTTGTGGTCATGCCCATAATATTTTTATTTTGTAGGAGTCGAGAGTATATATGTTTACAGCTGTTGATTAAAATTGCCACTGGAAAAACCACCACTAGCGTTCACTTTTTGTGTGCCCGACTATAGAAATCGATAAATATTATACGTGTGACTACGACTCTTGATATATTAGATAATGATGAAATACCTATATGTACATATATTTTAAGGTGGTCCTTATTTTTCAATAATGAAATTTTTTCGATCGACTCCTCTAAATTAGTTCCAATATACATTAAAATAAAGTATATACAATTTCAAGTTAATTGATTAAATTTAATTCATGTCTTTCAAATCACCCAATGTTTAAAAATAGGTTTTTTTCAAAGCATCATTTTAGATTCTAAGTGAAGGGAAGACGTTTATTTTTTATTTTTTTATCTGTGTACAACTTTTCTACCAGCAATTTTACTCCAATCAATAATGGTAGCAATTTTTCTAAATGTAAATTTGACTGGGGAGGTACTTTCAAAAGGTTATTTTTTGATTTTCGCAGGAGTTTTCTAAACGAATGCGATAGGTACAATATTGAGCAAATATTTTTAAAAAAAATCTATATTGTCTAAGTAATTATTTTATTGTGATATGACAAATGTATATATTGTTGATAAAGTAACTACACTATTAACTGAACTCCACTGAACTCGGAACAATTTCTCGAACACGGTGGGACACAATGTATAGTTTCCGGTGCTATGTGATAACTTGTATAGTGTATACTGTTTTTGATCTTTAATTTTTGAGCGTGTTCGATAAAAATCTTCCATTAATTTAACAGCTCGTTGTGCAGAGTCATTTACGACTTTTAAATTGCTGACTGATTTCACACCAGTTGAAGTGAATTCTGCCTTGAGGAAAGTCAAGAACAATAAAGCAGCCGAAGTTGACTCAGTGACCTGGGTTCCTAAAAAATGTAGGGTCTAGAGAAATTAAATTGCTGACGATGATTTTTAACAAAGTAGCACGTACTGGTTCTATGCCCACATTGTAGCGTGAAACGAAAGTAATAGTTTATAGTAACTATAGACCGATCTCCCTCCTGTTGGTAACATTTAAAGCGATTAAGGGTCTGTTACTAATACGAGTCCAACCGATGATAATAAAGACTCTCTCAGTTAAACAAGCCGAATTTAGAAAATATAGAAGTTGTTCTCGGAGATCAGGTTTTCGGACTGCCAACATATATCGTAAACGACTTCCAATAGAAAAAAAATCAGCAGCAGTTTATCTTTATTTATCATCCGCACATGACACTGATTAGAATGTTTTTATTTTTTATTTTGTCTTGTAACATATCTTTGCAAGTTTCTCCATTCATCATATAAACACTGTAATTTGTCAATGTAATGCGGAGTATCTGGCTTTTCTCCAAAGTACTATTATTTTTTTTATTACTAAAGAAGCATATTGTCTTGTGCTGAGTTTTACTTCTCTATGGTTACAGAATTAAAATGTTCGACACGTACAAATTTGATGATAAATTAATTAAAATTATTTGATTTAAGTCATTACCAATTAAATATATTTATGTTTGATCTGACGTTCATACAACATTATATGCACGATATTAACAACATACGGGGTATAAAATATGTATAACAATAAAACATACAAGTACGTAATACTCCATAGCAACGAAAACTCTACGATTAATACGAGTAAACATAATAATGTTTAATATTTGACTCAATAACTGAATTTATCTAATTGAATTACTAATTTATCGCAAATTACTTAATTTCAATATAAGATTAAAAACAAAAGTCTAATAGCTTCATCATTCACTAAGGTAATAAATCATTGTAAAGCAATAGTGAATAAAAACTAAAATTAAGTATGATTATTTCAAGAAAAATATGGTTTTCAAATTTAAGGCATTAGAACTTAGGTTAAAATTTACCATTCAATGTACAATTTTATGTATACTATTCTTTTACATATTAGAAAAAAACTTAGGGGATCGACGAAAAAAATATTATCTAAATAATTAAGGACTACCCTAATAAACATATACTCTTATATCTGTATATATATTATTATACTTAATATTTAATATACATTCGTGTAATCGGAAAATTCACGAATTCGGTGTATCATATTATACATTGTATAGCTGGTAGTGATTCATCAAGTATGTTCACTCCATTTTTATGGTTAAATTTTGTATGTATTCAAATTCACATTTTTGGAATGTTTAAGTATAATTAAAGCGGATATTTTTTAGTGCATAGATTTTTCACAATATTTAAAGAGTATCCAGTGGCGATTTCAACTTTGGTTACTCAAATGAGAAGCTAAATTAATAATTCCATAAACAGATGGAATATTAGCGTGAACAAATGTTGGTAAACCCGTTGACGGGATATTCCACTTTTAAATTATGGTAGAGGGAATGTAATATTGGAGTAACAACGTCCATGAAGTTGGCCCACCCACACAAAACCGGTGTCAAAATTTTGTGAGGTATTTGCGAGAATTCGTGAGTCCATTCCCAGAATTTGCGAGTAGCATTTTTGACTTCTACAGGCGGTCGGCCAACTTCAGGTAGCCCACCCATTTTTTCCGATTTTATCGAGACCCATATTGGGTTTAACCACACTTAAAAACTTCAAAGATCAGAATTTAAATATACACAAAATTTAATCATAACAAATTGAGTGAACATGTTTAATGAATCGCCCTGTGTATATATAGGTATATTTTGAACACACATATATATATATACATATATGTATAAATAATACTTACATAACATTAACGATGGGGAGACTACTCCATTCTTAATCAAACGACCTAAAAAGATATTATTGTAATATTATTTATATTAGATATACACATTTTATGAACCAAATAGAACAATACAACGTTTATTTCGTAAATTTAATACCTATAATTTAAAGAAGATAATGATATTTAATATTCGAATTATTATCTATTTTATTCCATTACTTATAGAGAAACTAATGAAATATAGCTAAGAGCTTTCACATAGTGTACAGGTAAACCTGAATGACTTAAATAAATAAATTATAAAGAACATATATATTCGTATATGGTTAAAATATATTACCGTTACTTTGAAGTGGGTACTCGTTATCTGGATCAACTGCAAAATCATTTTTGTAAAATGTCGATTTTAATCAATTATTTTCATAGTAGGATATATATAGAATATATTTTCACTCAAATCACTTTCTAAATCAGCATCTTCGGTTATATTTTTTACTTGAATTCCCTCGATCGATTTCATAAAAAATTAATTATCAACAAACATTGCAGGCCAGTTTCACTTCCTCTTACACTTTATTTTGTTTGATATCGACATAAAACATTGTTATAAAAGAATACATAAAATAATTACTTTTGTTGAATGTGTTTACGGGTGTATCAGGAGTCAAGGTCTGAGCATCGTTGGTTTGGCTCACAGTGTTACCATCTGTAAAATGAAATTTGTAAAATATTGATTTAAATTTATTATTTTCAAAATTGAATAGTTTTCAAATTATAGTTATAGTGATTTCACTACAAGTATAATGTATCACGTCGCTTGGTTTATTCGACATATTTTAAAAAACTTTATAAAGATAATGGAATAATAATTCATTTATTTCGAAAATTAAATACCTACAATTTGGATAAATTATTGATGTTTAATATTCGATTTACTATTCATTTTATTTCATTAATTATGGAGAAATTAATGATGTTTAGCGAAGAGTTTGCACGTGGTACATGAAACGAAACCAGAACATCATAGAATAATAAAAACAATAAATAACTTATACAACCATGTATGAGTTATCATTACCGTTAGTTTTAAGGAGTTAGTCGATCCTCAGATAAGCTACAAAATAAATTTGTGAAATGTCGATTTGAATTACATAGTTTTTAAATCAAACTATTATCGGTATGTATTCGTTTTTTTCTGATACGAGGACAGTGAATGTATACTACCTTTTGAATATAGTTTAATAGTAACTATTTGGTTGTACTATTACTACTTCGAGGATATATTAACTGGCTTGATTATCTATCTCCTGACTGAAAGGTAGCATATTTAATTTCAAAATATTTAATTTAACAATGTGCCGTTGCAGGTGTATCGTCGTATCTGATTGGACCTCTCAGCGCATTGCCACTAATGAATAAACCGCATCTTTTTTGCGATGTGCTGCGTATTTTGTGTGATGTGGTTTATCTTCGTTATTATTTATATTTTTTTCCGACGATTGTTCCGAGTTTTGATTTGATTTGGTGGCTCTGAAAAGAACCCTTTTGTTTGTAAGTCCCCTGTTTTGTCCCCAGTGTTCACGTTAAAAAACCTATATCAGGGAGGTGCACTAATAAGGTTTATATTCCTTATTTTTTTAGAGCAATAAAGTACATCAAAGTAAACAAAATATTCCATGCCTCCAGTGCCCCCTTAGCTACGGAATAGTAAATACTACAAGCATTTTAGTTCATAGTGAATTAATATGCAAAATATCTTTACCTTGGTCGAGTATCTTTGTCCATTTATATTTGAATTTTCTTGAAAAGTTCATGTATGTGTTGAAATTGAAATTGTCTTGCGAATTTGCCTGTGAAACTAAAACATACATTTAATTCAATGAAAGACATTTTTAACGGTATTTTATTCAAACTTATTAATATTGTATAGTGCTATCTTAGCTGTAGGTACTTTAAACCTTTCGAACAATAAGTAGGTTCTAAGTGCTTACAAGCATCCATAGGAGCGTGATCTCAAAGCAGAAAAATTATTTTTTATTATAGTATTATTATATTATTTAACTTTAAAAAATACAGATAAATATATAATAATAATAAGACATTTGTAAAAAGAGTTTTTTGGTAGAATAGAGTTTAGATTTAATCGATTTAAACTATCTAAGGTTATTGAACAAATTTAAAAATTAAACCTTAAATATAATTAAAGTTTAAAGAACATTATGAAATGAAAAAAGAGGGATATACTTCGCCCACTGTTAGTCCACTGTTGTAGATGAGAAGTTAGGAAGGTAGGATGTAGAAGGGAATTTAATGAATATCTGTAAGAAAAGATTAATCATTGCTAACGAAAACGATTCTGAGTGGAGCTAGATTAGTTATATTACTTTTTCAAATATATATATGACATACTGTTGTAGTAAAATAAATATATATTAAATACAATGAATTACACAGTAAACACATATTGTGTTGCATTTGTTTTTCCCTTGTTATCTATCTGACGAGGTTTCACAAAAAAAAATTGTCGAAACTCGTCTTTGAACTCACGATTTCTGGGATGACAACAAGTACACACCACCACTAGACTACAACAGACATACTATAAGATTGATAATGTTGAGTTATTTAACATAATACATATTATATGTGCATATCAGAACTTCAAAAAGTTATAATTTTGAAACTAAGTCAGTTCACTAAATTTAGACTCAAACATCGTTCTTAAATCGGTAATATAAATATTTTCAGAACAAAAAACAAATAAAATTAAAAAATGTGCATGGACCAGTAACTAGATTTATTACATATAATTTTTTACTCAAACGATTTTTAACAAAATTTAATATTGAAATTCCTTTATAAAAACAAATACTACATTAACCTCAATATTTTTATATTTTTTTCTATAACACTAAATGTGACTTTTAATGAACCTTTTGTTAAATTTTTAAGCATTTCTGTTAAGCCTTATAATTTCATCCACAGAATTCCTACCGAATAAAAATTACATACAAAACTAGCAAAATTAAAATGTCTATAAATAGCTCAAAAATAGCTTACATTTTTGAAAAATTTTATCACATCTAGGATAAGTAAAATTAAGTTTTTTGTCTAAATTTTAATTCTGTAAAGTCAACACAAATATAAATAAACTGAATTACAAAAAAAAAACGAAAATTGAAAATAATAAAAGCATTATTTTCGTAAATTTTCCTGTTTTTCTTACGTTCTACTCGTGTCCCGGGTTTTTCCAAATATTATGTTAACCGTTTGGAAAATCAAAAAATTACCTAGTTAAAGTATCATCCTCCACTCTACAGAAATAATAAAATATGTCTGCTGGAATCAACCATCTGAACTTTCCACCAATAGAAATTCGGGCCTTCAGTTTCACTAAATCTGTTACATTATATATCTCACTAAAGTTATACTCACACTATCTGAATATTATTTTAAAAATATTTTAGCGTTTTTAAAGTTAATATATCAAAAAAGATTTACTAAAATATTTCAAATTTCTAGATTTTAGTCGAATTTCCTCCCAACCAATTTGTTACCGTTACAATATTTTATTTTATAATCTAGAATAGTTTTGGATTTCTTGTTGTCAAAAATACCCATTGGTATTTAAAATATTATATTTCATGCCTAATTAAATTAAATTAATATTTTGTTATGATTTGTTTTCATAAGACACCCATTAACCATATCCACATACACGGCTACTACGCGGTGTCACATCATTAGGTCATTGTAAAATGAGCGGGCGTCATTGACGGGTGAGAAATATCACTTCTTATATCTCATAATGCAAGGAAAAATTTTAGAATAGGGAAAAGGAGCAGAGGAAGACCTAGAACTAGCTGGCTGCAAAATTTAAAAGAGTGGTTCCAACTCAAAACCTAGAAATTATTCGAATTATTTTTTATTTAAAAATAAATACCATTTAGCTATGAAAATATCCAACCTTCAATAGAAGTGGAACATTAGGAAGAAGTCCTCTAAGTATGACTTATGATGGACCTCCTGTTAAGTTTTCAATTTTTTTTTATTTAATTTAACAATTTCATCAAATCTTTCAATCATCAGGTTTTTCATTATTTTATTAAAATGTTTATAAATAGCTCAAAAATAGCTTGTGATGTTTTGTAAGTTTTACCACGTCTAGAAAAGACAATCGTTACTTTTCTGTTAAAATTAAAAGTCTCTTAGAATAATTTTAACATAATTACAACAAAAAACGAAAATACAAATAAGAAAACCCCAATTTTCGTAAATTCGTCTGTCCTTCATACGTTTTTTTCGGTTTTGCTTAATTATTAAAAAAACTCCAGGGAAAATTAAAAAATAAATAGTTTATTCACTAATTAGATGAAATATAAATAAAAAGAGGTCTCTTGTTGATTTTCTGTTTGAGTAATATTTCGGATAGAAAACGTTGTGAGTAAACATTTAAAATAATGAAATTTTACGCCATAAATTTATTCTTTTTTCATCATTCGTCTTTTTCCGAATTTCTTTATTGTCATGAAAATTACTCAGAAGATTGGAAAACAACTTATTTCGTGCTCAACTAGTTCTAAATAACATAAAAAGTTCGATTGGAATTTTTTATTGAAGCAATATTTCTAGTATAAAACATAGTCTGTAAAAATTAAAAAACAATGAAATTGGTTATGCTACAATTTGTCGTATATATAAGCTATTTTTCTGTAATTGTTTTCCGGATTTTCCCAATTATTTTAAAAGCATAACATGAAAAGTCTTTGAAAAATCGAAAAATGACCTCTTCCATGCAAAAACTTGATAACTTTTCTTTTCAGAAAATAAACTACACTTGATAAATCGGAACAAGATTTTTGGTACATATAATTTTCAATTTAAATTTATCAAAACTTTATCAAACATTGCTTTGAATCGTCTTTCGTTGCGTACATACAGATAAAAATTACATAAATTACCCTATTTATAATATATATATTTGAGAAGTAGTTCTATATAATTACTTCCCACCTACATCAGTGTCCTGGTTTATCCATGGTACGAAGTATAATGGTTTTTTAAATCTGTTTGCATGCAATGATTGTAACTTGCCCTAAAAACTAATGTTAAAACTGTTAAAACGTATGTATTGTTTTTTTACAAATTTACGTCTCAAAATATTTACTAAAATAATATATAAATAACAATAATACATTATCCATTTCAAATTTGTTCCATTAAAGTATATTTTACTTATTTATACGGTTCTTCCCAAATAATGTGAATTTATAGTTCTAGTTAAATAATTACTTTTATAATAATTACAACGTATGTTCAGTATAGTGCAATATACAAATATTGTGAATTGATTATTATAATGATTGCTACAAGTAATATGGATTTACATACGTTTTGTTTGCTGCAATAAAAATATTTCTTGAGCTATTTCAACAACGCTTGGAAATATATCTTGTAGTAGTAATAAAAGCTCTATTTGTATCTTAGGCCGTAAAGGTAATTCAACTGTACCTAAAAAGTCACACGCAAAAACTGTCTTTCAATTAATAAAGCCTGTTCTATATAGAATAATGTTGGACTTAAATATCTTAATTTATAGTTTTATAATGAGTAGGTATCTATATTTTTATCGGTTATATTTTTTATTTGTTTATTTATTTATAATAGGTGGAACAAACCCGGAAATAGTGTTGGTAGTCAACGAAAAGAAATATCTACAAATAAGCGATTCAGAATAAGATGTATACAAATTAAACTTTACAAAAACAAAGACAATAGCTGGACAGTTTAGAAAGGATTTGTATATTTGTACAATGAAGCAAACCGGTACTAATTTAAATAACTATCTACATTATGGATGATATTAAAAAAATATGTAATAATATATTACTTACTGTTTCTACTGTACAATACATTTAATATGCCATCAAATATATTTTCTACAGCACTTTGAACTATTCCAAGTACTTCGTAGTCTGAAATATAAAAATTAATTATTGATTTTATATCATTATGTAATACATTCGTTATAAAATAATTTTTAAATTCTGAGCATAGCAAGGAATATTTAGGTTTTACTGTTATGTGTGTTATTTTTTTTTTAGTGACACTCAAATCGCCTCGTAGAGCATATATAAATTATTAATTAATATATCGATAATATTTTACGTGTACTATCGATTATTATATCCGTTTCTGTTATGTTAAAAAATATTATTTTTAAGACATACGATATTTTGCAGACAGATTAAGTTGTCAAATACAATAATCTGGTCAGATTAAACAAAAACCAGATTAAATAAGAACTATTTTTCAGTTAAAGATTAGTTGACTATATCGTATTAAATATCACCAGTTCAACATAGTTTCGTTTGAGCAACCATTACCATAAATAACACGTTAATACGTATATTATTTTATAAAAATGAACGCCAATGCGATTCGGTAATATTAATTAGATCTTTCAAAACGGAAGCCAAAAGAATTAGGACAACCACAAAAAATAATATTATTATTATTAATAACTCAATTAATAAATTTAATGCCAATGAAGTTTAAAAATTGCAATAGATACTTAAAAGTGTTGGTGAATAAATTTAAACCTCAGAAACTAGCCTAAGACACAATATAACTTTAATATATAAATTAAAATGTGTTAATTATTAATTATTTTATTACATTTTATCTGACATTTTCAAATTTCATCTAAATTATTTTATGAATTGATTATTTATTTTTTATTTTTATTATTAATTATTACTTTATTAATTATGCACGTTCAAACTTAAGATTTTGACTGTATAACAGATTAATACATTTATTACTATTTATTTACCTAAGTTTACATTAAATTAATTAACTCTTAATGTAAGAGTATGACTTTTAATGTAATTTATTGATATTTCCTACAATGTAAAGTTAGAAATCGATTAATTTATTATAATTATCGGAGGTAATTTGAATTTAAGGTCACTTTATATTTTTTAAATCAGGTGGAAATTCGAGTGACTTTTGAGGGTCAGATGGGAGGTTATTGTGCACTCTTTTATTGTATATTAACAATTACTGAACATTTTGCTTCAGTACAAAAACGAAAAGAGAGTTTTTAAAGAACTTTGGATTTATAGTTCTTGCATTGACTGTTGTTAGCTAGTAATTTTTTTTCTTTATTACAGTTTTTTTAATAATTAAGAAAAATCGACAAATTAACAACTATACGATTTAATTATTTTAAAATGGTTCCATTCTGTTACTCTACTAGATATGTTTCCTAGTTATGTGATGCATATTTTTTGATTTTCCTTGTAGTTACTTAATAGTTACTTAATAATTGAAAAAACTTAAATAGAAGGGTATGTTTATTGAAAGAAGGGTTTTATTATTTCCGATTTTTTTTTTTTGGTCGTAATTCGATTAATAATAATTGTAGAGATCTGAAATTTATCCACAATACTTATGAAATTGCAACATCTAGACGTGTTAAAAATTTCAAAATATTGTAGCAATTTTCAAGGTATTTAGAGCCATTATAGACATTTTCGAGTTTGTTTAGTTTTTTTTTGTTCTATGTCGTTAAAATTGATTTAGTGGAGCAGAAATGCTTAAACATTTTATATGAGGGTCATCATAAGTTGTAAATAGTGGTCAAAAAGAAAAATTTTTAAATTCAGATGAAAATATTTGTTTATTCTGATGTATAGGCTAATTAATTTCATAATTCACAACACTTTTTTATTATCTAATTTGCATTCTAAAATTAAAACTAATTGAACACACTTTATTTTTAGTAACTAAAATAATAAATTCTCATACTAACATTGTTCTTCCTTTGATTTAGTCGTTGTATGAAATGTGTTTTTATATTCATCTAAAATCACATAATAATGAATCAGTTAATCTGAAAATGATGTACAAGCAAAGACATAAACTATATTCCGCATAAGAAAGAACGTGACCGCTTTGGGTAGCCAAATGATTTATACGAACAGTCGTGAGGCCGATTTCCCGCCTCAAGCAAAATGAGCGAGAATTTTATTATTATCACGTAGTAAAATTTGTCACGGCTAACTCTGGTTGTCGCCGGTTGCGAGCTTTAAACTGGTTTTCGGCGGCAAATGCGTAGACTGAACATCCATTATTCGGCGAGCGGTTGCGTTCTCTCATGGCGTGGAGCAGAGATCAAAATTCGGGAAAATTTCGTAAAAAAACTGTTTTTTCCCAGAGCTCCAGAAAATATGAAAAAATTTGAGAATATTAAAATAATGTATTTCCGAAAAAAATCGAAGTTTTTGGAAAATTAAAAAAGTATTTTAGGGAAAATTAAAAATGTTTCTTTAGTTAAAATTATTTTAAAGCATTGAAAGTTCAGTATTGAACATTTAACAACCCAACTACGGTATTAATATATTATTATTTATCAATACGGCACACAATCGGTAATCAGTATAATTGGAATATTATATTAATTAGAAAAATGGATATTAGATTCTGAGTGGAGCGAAGAAGCTTATGGTTTTACAAAGATGTTTATTTTAATTTTTTTTTCTGTGAACAACTTTTCTACCATTAATTTTGATTCAATTTATAATGATAGAAATTAAAAAAAAAAAAAAATTGACGGAGGAGGTATTTTAGAGAGATTATTTTTCGATTTTCTTAAGAGGTTTCTCAGTAAATGTGAAAAACCGAAAAAAAAATGAGAAAATCGGTCCATGAAACAAATATTATTAAAGAAAATATATAATGTCCATTTAATTATTTTACCATAATATGCCATATATTTTTGTAATATCGATTATTCCACTATTTTAAATCGATTATAAACGAAAATCGATATTCAGTTACACCGATTTATTAATTTATTACAATGGTTATAAATATTTTAATTTTGAGGTCATTTTTTGATTTTCCAAGTGGTTTAAATTGAAACCGTTAAATTTGAAAAACTACGCGTGTTCTATGTATAAATTTCAGTGCTCGACGGCGGTCGGCACTCGGAAACTCCGTGGTTGGAACAGCGAGGTAGTGGGTGTGGCTACGGGTATGTGCCGTGACGATATAGAATTCCTAGATAAATCTAGGCAGTTTACGACGATATGGCACGCAATGCTGTCTCTCGAGCGTTGTATACGTTTCACCATTGATTTTAAAAACTAGTATTTATAATCAATGGTTTCATTTTCGGTATGACATACTCTTAAATACTTTATACAATGTTTTTCTGCTTTTATCTCAAAACATACATTCATTTTAGTTATAATACGTATTTTCTTGATTATATGAATCAAAAATAGTACCTGGTGTCATTAGAAAAATAACAATTCCTTGATTTATAGCCATTGATCTAGCATGGATGTCTGGTAGATAATTTGTATCTATTTTAAACAAATCCTCGAGATGATCCTCCACCTGTAGTGATGGTAATGCAACTAAACGCAGTGTTCATAATTTTAATTAAACATATTCATCTATAGACATGTCTAGTATTAAATCAATAAAATATATAGATAGGTACACTTACGAAATTGCATGGTAGATTTGCATTGTTGTACAGCGGTATTTATTAGTTTACTTTCACTATTTCTGTATGCATCCAACAACGTTAGTTCTAAAAATAAATTTACAAATAACAAGTGTACAAGTAAATCAAATTATTTTCTTCATTTATAAGGAGTGAAACAAATTTAACTGTGCTGTAAATAATAATTTGTAAAATGTACCTATAGTGTAGGTAGTTTAGTGCCAGTTTTACTGCCGAATGTTCAAACATAATACGTCAAATATAAAACTATAATTATAAGTTGTTAACGATTTTAAGTAGTGATTTTAGTATTTTACTGTAAACACTTAGTAGACCCATCTAACAAAAAATGTTTTTATAGAACCCAAAAAAGGTTTATAAACAGATACTATAAGAATAGTATTAAATATATTGTAGAATAATGTTATATTATAATTTTTCATATTAAAATAACTGAATAATTTCAAAATATTTTTACACTTTTTTCTTTTATAGCTTTTATTTATGGTTATAAGGATAACCTATGAATCGCCTCAGTTGTCCACACCACCGGGAATATCGCCTCACATGCAATTGTTATGGTTGTAGTCTATCCATTTTTTTATTATCTATAAGTATATTATAATATGCGTTTTCAATATATTGTCGTAAAATAGTTATATACCAAGTTGCATTGTTGTAAATGGTGTCCTCCTTCTATCACAAAATTAAGATATGAATCTATCATTGAGACGAAATAATAAATGCTATCAGTTAAAGCCCTATAAATACGGTCAGCCTGGGTTAATCACATCACTATCTGAGTGTTAGCTTGTGGCGTGAATTTAACTCGGTCATCTACCCTCCAATACAGCAGATAAACCAGTCAAGTCGGTATAGGGCTGCCATCAAGATGCTACAAACTGTGAATTCGTACAGAACTCCGACCTTTTAGAAGGCCCCGCATCTAGTGTTTCAATCATAGCTAGATAGTAATTTCGCATGAATATTTTAAGAAAATACAAATTGAAATGAATGTACTAATAAGAATTGTATTGCAAAGATTTACCTACGCTTGGTATTAGATGGTGAAAAATAAAAAAAAACCTATTGAGGCATCATAAAAATGTCTTCAGAGGGCCTCGGTATTTTCTAAGCAGATACTGTTTAGGCAGATAAAGTTTATTATGCAATTATTATGCAACTTATGGACTTTGATTCTAAGCTTTGTACTGGTCTTTTACGTTGTTCTGTTTCGTCCACCATGCCGTCACGAGTTTTTGCTATTGGTGTCGGAAGATGCATAAAAAATTGGAAATCCGTTCTTCAAACTTATTAAAATTCGGAATAATTTTTCTTCCAAAAAGATAATTATTTGAATATCCAAAACAAAAAAAGACATATTTTGCACGATGGATGGACCACTGTTGTAGATGAGAAATTGAGTAGAGAGGATCTAAAGGGGAATTTAATGTATATGTGCATGCAACGATTTATCTTTGCTAACGAAAAACGATTCTGAGTCGAGTAACGGAAGAAAATGTACGAAATATATTAGTGAAATGTTATGTCCTCGTTTTTATATTCTATGTGTAGAAGAATGCATTGTTTTTAAAAATATGTTTTAGATTCTGAGATTCTGAGTGGTGTAAAGAAGCTTATGGAAAACCATAGATGTTACAAAGATGTTTATTTTTTTAATCAGTGTGCAACTTTTCTTCAAGCAATTTGGCTCTAATTTATAATGATACCAATTTTTATGAAAGAAAATTTGACTTGGAAAGTACTTTAGAGAGGTGATTTTTCAATTTTCCCAAGAGTTTTCCCAGCAAATGTGAAAAACTGGGAAAACACATGGGAAAATCCGTACAACATTAAACAAATATTATTAAAGAAAACATATAGATCCTATTTAATTATTTTACTATAATATGTCACATATAATACGCATATACATGTATATTGTTGATAAAGCATCACTATCAACTGAACTGAGTTCAGAATCGTTTTTTCGTTTGCAATGTTTTATCATTGCTTACAAGTATACATTAGCATATCGATAACAGTGGTTGTACCCGTCTCCATTATCTTTTTTTTCTTTTTTATAATGTGTAAAATTTTTATCTGAAATTTTGCTCTGAAGTATCAAGTATAGTACATTTTCTGAAAAAGAACATTTCTAGGACTTTAAGAAAGTCATTTTTTGATTTTTCCAAGAAAAACTGTTAAAAACTGGAGGAAAAACGGGAACATGTAAGAAATTTATAGGTATTAGTAAACAAATAATTCGATCTTTTTTTTCCTGTGAACAACTTTTCTAATTTTTCTCCAATTTATAATGATAACACTTTTTCTGAAAAGAAATTCGATTAGGGTGGTACTTAAAAGTCATTTTTTTATTTTCCTAGCTGTTTTTATAATAAATGGGGAAAAAACTGGAAAACAGATAAAATAAAAATAAATAGTATTAGATAAAATTGGATATAATGCATAGTATTATTTAATAATTACTGTATAGGCTAGTTAGTAGTTTAGTTTATTATATATTATGTATCTGTGGGTATTGTTCTCCCAATTTTAATAACAATTAATAGTAGGGAACCTGATAAAAAAAAGTCATGCTATCCTACAAAATGTAGACTAATTCCCAGATAAAGTGTCTATTTACACATATCCGTTTCGTTTCCGGAATACGGATAAATGATAACAACCCAAGTACTTCAATATTTAATTGTTAAATTGCTTTTGGGATTTTTTTTCAACTCTAAATATTACGTTAATAATAAAATACTAGCGATATTATCTATTGCATTTTATATCTAGTTGGCGATTAAACTAAAAAAAAACTACCATATTTATCATATTTCAAATATTTGGTTTGTATTATTTTTTGAACTAGAGTAACGTTCCAATTGTAGTATTTATTTCTTGAGTTACTCATTTTTGTATTAATCTTAATTCCTTACGTTATGTACTCGTACACTTTTATTTAACCACTATACTGCGAGCCACGAGAGTGCACACGGCGGAATTTTTGAGCATCCCTAGTACAAAACATGATCAAACGCCTCCCACTCAACACATAGTATCCTGTTGGAGCGCTTCAGTTGTTATACACTGGTTATTTATACACAGTTATTTGTATGCACAAGCCGTATGCGTTCTCTTATAAAAAATAGTAATATTTGGTTTTGCTCGGCAATTTCTCCTACCTCTATTGTTTTGTTATTTATATTTACGGACTTCTTTCTGCGTGTGAAGTATTTGGTAACCGGGTTACGTGGATTATAATTATTCACTTCCGGCTCGTACACTATGAATAAAATATATTTAATACAAAAATGATATTCACCTTTGTCTGTATACCAAACACCATTGAGCAAACCAACATTGATTAAATGTGTTGCTTGATTTTGCATTTCTTTTGCATGTAGTATATTAAAAGTAACAAGCCAATCTAATTAACAGTTGAAAATTACATTAATAAAATTAATACCTATCTAAACAATTCTAATTATAAAATATTATTCAATCATTTACATATCTATTATTAAACACAAATATTACCTACATCTAATTTTGTTGAACATTGGTACCATATTATTCATTGCATCTAAGTGAATGAGAAATGTTTGACCTGAAATAATAGTATAAATAACATTGTAGTGATTATAATAAAAACACATTGGTATTTTGATAATAGAAATAATAGTTATTCTAATACTCTTTGTTTTTATCCATAGAGCCTCCTCTCCTTTTTTTTCACCATCATCCGGTGTACCACAAGATGTCTTATTATCTCCACCGTTGTTTTCACTGCTTCCTAACTCTGCTTCTTCTATTATCCGGAATTCCAAACTCCTTATATTTGCTAACGGTATAAAACTCTATCTGCATATTTCCTCGATTACTGCCTGTCGTCTCTTATAAGATGACCTTTACTGAATAGAAGTTTGAGATGAATCCCTCGGATGAAAATTTTTAAATGTGCTCCTTTCATCTATACCCGTTCACACTCACTCAATTTCTTTACCAAATAAATAGCCAGCTTTATAAAATCAGCTACAAACTCCATTCGCGATCTTGATTTTATCTTTACATGAAATGTCTCCCCAATCAAACTTATTGAAAATAAATGTTATCAAGCCCTAAAGTTATTAAGCTTTGCTTTCCAGACCTCACGTAATTTCCAATCAACACCGCCTATCAAGATGATCTACTGTACTCTTATTTACCGTATCATCATCGAGTAAAGATAAGCCATATGAGATTTCCTTACAGCGTATGTTAGCTCAATGATTGAAAGGGTGTAAAGACGCTTCTTTCGAGCTCTTACAGCTATTATAGCTCTTAATTTTAAGTTTTATTATACAATCGCTACTACTATAATTTTGGACTTGTCCTGTGTGTATATTTATAAAAATAGATATAAATATATATGTATAATAGAATTTTTTAAATTTTACCATTTAAGTTAACTTTATCATACTATACCTATAATGCTAACATATAATATGTATATACTATTCAAAACAAACTAAAGTGCAAGGCAGACATTGAATTCAATTTACCTATGCCACATAATATAATTTTATAAATAAAAAATACAGTTACGTCTTCATAGTCCGGCACCCTCAGTAATATTTTTACTGCATCCAGTTATATTTTTAATTATCATTTAAATAGTTCCATGTAATTAAGTCTTCCGATAGTATTTTTGGATTTTTAACAAAAATTATAAACTTGTTGGTGGTAATATAAATGACAATAACTACAGATTAAATGGACAAAGTGTTTAAAACCAATCAAGCTAATGAATACGAAATATAAAGTATGTAAATGGATATTTAAAAATCAAATATTTAGTATTTAAAATTTAAAATTTTAAGTAAAGCGAAAAATGCATTGATTTTTACAATGATATGTTTTTGTTTTCCTGTCTGAACACCTTTTTCATCAGAAATCTTGCTATAATCATAAAGTGTGGTTTCTGGTATCAATTTTGGTGCATTGGGCAGATCATTTTTTGATTTCCCTTACAATTTTCTGAATGATAAAAATGATGAAAAAAATAAAGCATGCCAGAAACCATAATATTTATACAATAACGGTTTTTGTTCAATACAATTATGATATTTTTTTGTTGTAATTCAGTGAAAAATCGACGTAGGGAATTGAAACTTTTATCAATTACTTATATTATAACTTTTATAATTTATATTTCAATACTCAAAACGCTGTGGTAAATTATTGAAAATAATTGTAATTTTAATTTTTTTTAAGTTATGTTTTGTATATCTCAGGTGAATAACATTATTGTCATAATATATTGATCAAAACTTCAAGTTCAAATTTACGATTAAATTTGTTAAAAACACGAATGGTTGTAATTTGGTTCATAAATATTGAAATTTTCAATTAAAATGTATCAAATAATGTTTAATAGAATACATAGAGTAAATTATCCTTTATATTCTACCTTTTTAACCTTCTATATATATATATATATATATATATATATATAACAGTGATATAATACTATTACTAAAACTATCCTGTATTAGGAGCCTGTACAAAACGCTGACAATATAGTGAATATTTAAGATTAGGTTTTTTCGAAATTAGTTAAGTAAAATAATAATAATAATGTAACTTCTCCATATTATTTATTTTATGTATATATTACGAGCAGGTGCCCAATTTACAATTAATATATATACATTATAATTAAAAATTACAAGTATGATATAAAGGTGAATACAGTAATTAAAAATAACTTAGTTAGGTTTATGAGATCAAAAATGGGGTGTCTGATTTGACAATAAACATATAGTGCCAAAATGGTTTACTTAAACCATAATTAATGAAGAAGGTTGATAAATTAAAAGTGGTATATTGACGAATGAAGACCAGAGAGACATTTAAAGGAATTAGAGAGAGTAGGTGTGGTGAGTCAATCTGTCCATATAATAATTTAGAAAGAAATGTAAGGTTAGTAGCATGCCTACGATTTGTTTGTGAATCAAGTTTGAGATGCTCAAGTACTGGTGAATAATTATGTGGTGGACAATCAATCCTTTAGTACATGACTGGCATATTTTAAAAATTTATTTTGAACTCTCTCAAGTATTATTGCGTTATGTGCAGTATTAGGATCCCAAATGACCGCGCAGTATTCGAAAATATGCCTCACGAGCGAACAGTACAGTGCCTTAAGAGGAGATGCTAGTTTAAACTCTATTATTATGCGTTTAATAAATCCTAAGATTTTAAGTGACTTAACATCAGGCTCGCTTAATATGTAAATTAGGGCTAAACGTAGGACAGAGAACAAAATGTAGATCAGTGACAGATTTGTTAAGCGATTACAAAGTAGTTCCATGAATTGAATATTTAAAATTAATTAGGGATTCAAGGTGCGTAAAAGTCATATAGTGGCATTTAGAAATATTTAAATCCAACTCTAGTTCGTTGGCTCACGCAACAATTTTATTTAGTTCATATTCAAGGACAAGGCAGTCGCTGTGAAAGTCGATATAATAAAATATTTTTAAATCAGCAAACGCAAGGCGCCTCGCGTGATTTAATATACGGTTAATACTATTTAAGAATATAGAAAACAGGAAAGGAGGGAGGTGGCTTCCTTGGGGAACACCAGAGGACATGAGAAGTATATTAGAAGAGACTCCATGGATTTTAACAAATTGTTTTCCACTATCTATAAAAAAACTAAACCATGATAAAAGTAGTTCACTGAAACTAGATGCTTACAAGACACATAACAATATATGGTGATCAATACGGCCATAAGCTTTACGAAAGTCAGTAAAGATGACATCAACTTGCAAATAATCTTTAAACGCTTCAAATATATAATTACAAAAGACTGTATTACAGGTTTTTATAGAACGGCCTAGCTGGAAACCAAGTTGTTCCTCCATTAACATTTCGTTGACACTTGGTTGAATTTTTTTAAGTATAATTGATTCGCATAATTTGGCAATATGCGAGAGAATTGAGATTAGTTGGTAATTGGGGACTAGAGATGCATCCCCCGATTTCAGTACCTCAGTAATATAACACACTTTCCAAAGATCAGGAAAAATGAAATACCGTCTTCCAAAGAGCGTCTAAATAAAAGCCACGGTGGAAAAGAGATTGCATGCCTAATATTAAATAAAAATAACCTAGACAATCAATCAGACTCAATAAACTTAATATTATGTCATCGCTTTCTATATTATTATTAAACGCTGTTTTAGTCAGAAATTAAACGTACAGGTTTCCATTCCAAAGCTGAACAACTATGTTTATTTAAATAAACATAAGGAAAAATAAAATAAAAAACAAAAATAGCAAAAAGTTAATTTAATTTGTCAATAATTCCACTAGTAGCGGATTTTCCACAATTAAATGATATAATGTAGATAAATAATGTAAATAAATATACAAATAAAAAATCTACACATAAAAATAAAAAAAATAAACGAATCAATGCGTCGCATAGAATATTATAAGAGTATTATATTATATAAATGTCAAACATCAATATTGATAATCTAATGAAATGTTACCAAAATGTTTGCAAAATGAAATTTTTATTTCAAGACGTACCTTAGATATATTATTAATACTTGCATCTTTCGGGTTCCATTGAAATTAGGTCGTATAATACACTTATCATAACACTCCAGGCGACGCATTGATTTATTTATTTATTTTATATTTTGTACATACATTTTTTATTTATATATTTACTTACGAGTATAAACAATTTTAATAATTTTGTTTTTACTTTATTATTTTATTATAATGTAGGTAATTAAAAGGTATCTCTATTAATAGATGCCTCTTTTTGGGACATTTTATTGAATTTATATCAGTGTCTGGAGGGGAATCTAGACTCCATGAATCATCGTAAATCCACCACTGAGTTCCATAATTTAGTACTGAAAAACTAACATAAAATCTACATAAAATCCTTAAAATACATAATGGTTAATGATACATTGAATACGATTGTGGAAAATAACCACAATTACAAAGAAAAGTAAATATATTTTTATTTTTATTTTTACCTGCACTTGAACGAAAGATCCTTAAAATTATATCCATTATCATTTCCACATTAGCTTTTTTAACGTGATCTATAATAAACAAAATCAGAATAACATTAACATTAAAATAAATTATATTTATTAAGTAGGATATTTATGTTTGATGTTATTTAATGAATTGCCGATTTTGACAAATAATAAAATATATAATAAATACAAATTACAAAATAATAATAAAACAAAAATAATAAAAAGTTATTGAATACTGGTGGTAGAAGTTTATCCTTGTAATTTAAATGACCATATACTATTCCTATTTTCAATTGTTCTTATCCGACATAATTCATAGAAAGAAAAAACATCCAAGGTTCTGTTTCCGGAATAATAATTATTAGAACGAAACACAAATTGATCAGGTTCAAATTTCCATCTAAATTCTTCTATACTGTCTATTATCCTTGTACATTTGATTTTATTCGTCAGAATTTTTTCAATAAATACAGATGACAGGGGAATAGATAAGAAGAGCAATTAAGAATATACGTGTGTATATATACACAATATATAATATAATATATATTATACAATAATATTTTAAAATTTAAATATTTATAGAAGAAACCAAGAACGTGTAAGACAGACAACCGAAAGACTAATAAATATGGGGAAAGATTAACCTGCAAGTGATCGAGCAAAAGACAAAATACCCAATAATATCTATTGAGCATATACAAGATTCTCTGGTATTTAGGAATTTTAACCTACAAAAGAGTAACACATTTTCAATACATACAAATTGATATTAACTAACAAACAAATAACCACGAGAAGATGAACAGGAGAATAACGATAAGAAGTAAGTGTATTTTTGCATTTGGCTATTATTTATAAAAGATGTTGTTCAAAACAGTGAAACTAATATTACTATATATATTTTATCATTAAACCTAAAGTTCTGCATGCATGTAGAGCGTGGGTTTTAACAAAGAAGGATGAGAAAATATTAAAACTAATCGAAAGGAAATTCTCAATGAGCTAAACTAGTAGGAATTCTCAAAAGCACAAGAATAAGTTGAACCAAACACGTCTGAAGAGCGGAGGGTCAAACATTACATAATATCACAATAAGGAAACCATATAAAAAAAAAAGACCGAGAGGAAAACTAAAACAAAATTGATCGATTTAGGGAGAATCTCAAGTGTCTGGGAATAAGAGATGGTGTACAACTGGTTAAGTTGACAGATAAGTAAGACGGAAACATAGACAAGTGTTTTCTGTATTGCAGTGGAAATGACGGCAAGCTTACAAAACGTTGATTAAGATAAAACAAATTAAAATTAAAATACTGATAAGTATTTAGAGTTACCATGAGTAGATGCAAATAATCCTTTCGTTAAATACATCATGCTTGCTAGAAAACATTGTCGATTGTATAATCCTGTAAAATAAATTGTATTGGTATGATTCTTTAAAATTATTTGTACGCATGTAGTTTTAAGTATATTTATTAGACATATCTATCTCTATGGGCTTTGTTCTTAATCATAATGTACAAATTCGTTCGGATATTGGTTTGAATTCACGTACACAAGGTCTGTAGTTTTTATGGACCGCGAACCCCATTCTAAAATGATGTATATTCACAGTTCCTCTATAGTAAATAATATAATCATTTATACTTAACTGCCCTACACCCGACCCTCAATTTCCTGCAGGAGTACAATTCTCACATTAAAAAAGCTTTCGGGTGGTTAAAAAGAAAATATTCCGTTTCCTGTTTCCATCCAGTTTTTCCATAACTCTAGTCAGAGGCTTTGTTTGGTAGTTTCATAACAGAATTTTGTTTCAATGTAGGGTTGTTAACCCTACAATCAACTGTCCATAACCCTGAGCATAGGGGACCTTGGGACCCCGAGTAAACCCGTAAACCTACACCCGTAAACAAAATGTATGTGATTCCCGTGAAGGGGTGGGGTGACCATTCTATTTGATCATAAATTGATTATCTACCAAACAATATTTTGATTTTTCCTATTTTTATTAATGATAAAAAAAAAGATGGTACCTATTATAATTTTAAGAATCATTTTTTTTTTCAAATAATCATCCAAAGTTTCCGCTATATAATAAAATACAAATTGAGCACATTTTTTGATTTACAACTATTTAAAACTAAAGGGAAAATAAACATTTCATGATACCCATAAGAAAATAAAAATGTTTTCTGTTGATACTATATACTTATTTATTATTTAGTAGATTAAGTATATACTCTTTAAGCATTAATTTTCTTGATAGTAACAGTAATGGCTATCATTATATCTAAAAAAATGACCAAGAATCCCTTTCATAATTGAGGTAGTTGAATGGTAGCCATAGAATCTCAGACAAATGGATACTAGTTCTTTTTGCACCTGTTATATATTTGAAGATAACCATTGAGTAGTATTCCTAATTATTAAAATTCACTAGTCTTAACCGAAAAACAAAAACTTATTAGCATTATTAATTAAGTATTACCAAAGCTTTCAATTTTGAATTCTGGAAACTTAAACAAATCTGAAAATGATATGCATGAGTATTTTAAATATTAAATAATATTTGTTTATAAATGCTATTTAATTTAAAGCTGAGTAAGGGAGCCATTTAATTGACAAAAGTATAATATTATGCTTAAAATATTACCTTCTTTATGGCTTATAGGATTTATTGATAAATATTTCAGAGGTTATATCAAAAAAACTTTGGAGGGGCTGTAGAAACGTTTCACCAGCTCTTCCCCCATTCAACAATTAAAATGTTTTTTTTGCGCCAATATTTAGCATATAGCTTGCATGAATTTTACCACCCCTACTATACAATTTTCTCGTCATCACCAATGCTCCTACACAACTCATGTAGAAACGTTTCTACAGCCCTCTGGGCTTTAAATTCAACTTTTTAGACTTTTTCGACGCCAATATTTAGAACAGAATTAGCATGAATTTGCATGACTAGTCCCAATATTTATATCACACTTTCTCCACCAGTATAAGTATTTTTTTCGGATTTGTATATTTCATCATTCACCCTCCCGCTCGTTCAAAAATTTCAAATTTTTTACGTATACATTTTGGTGATGACGAGGAAACTTGATAGCAGGGGTGGCCAAATTCATGCTAGTTACATGCTAAATATTAGTGCAAAAAAAATTGAAATTTTTAATAGGGGGACTGATAAAATCTACATAAAACAATTTAAATCACTTTAAATCACCATACAAAACCATTTCACTAGTTAATAAAATGATTAATTCAAAACATTTCAATTAAATTTATTCATTGTATATTGTAACATTATATTTAAATTTTGTATTTATTATTTAGTTATAAACTTTTTACGTATACTACTTTTATTATTTTTTTTTTTTTATATGGGTGGGGAGGTGTTGACAAATATTTTGCTCCTCAAGGGAGCGGAAGTTCCAAAAAGGTTGAGCACCATTGTATTACAAAAAGTAAAACGCCGGAATGTTAAATCCCGAACTCTAAGAATTAGGAATGTAGTATTTTAAAACGTAATATTTCGGAAAGTATAAAGTCCCGAACCGTAATAATCCAGAAAGTAAAGACTCCTGATCGTTTACTTTCGTAAAACGAAACACCGCTGGACCGTAACATAATAAATATAATATTTTAGAATAGTATTATACATCATATTATTAAATATTTAATAAATTTGCCGCCCTGAAGCAAAAGTTCTTTTGCACCTATGTTAATCCGGCCCGGTTATACATATTATTAATATGTATAAACAGTCGTTAGTCTCAAGGAATGTGCTGAAATACCTTTGGAATCGATCACCGGGAATGAACGCCTATAGTTTTTTTTGCGAGTACCGCAGTCTGAGTTTTGACGCAAAGTATTACAATTGTATAGTCTCCAGAGCCTCTTATATTATTTGTATTTTCAGAACCTTTTGTTTAAATTTGTATCTTTTAAGTTCAAATATAGAAATGAATATTTCGTAAGTCTGTTTATTTATTTGTTCACAGATATCTTTCGACAGTCTGTAACAGGTGCAACCACATTTTAGAGAACAACATGTGCACAAATATTATTATAACGGTACTAAATTACCATTATGCAGTTTTATACTACATAAAATGACAGGGGTATATCCAGAAAATCTCCAAGGAAGGGGAACACATAGTTCTTCCCATTTTTGTTATATTTACATTTAAGGAAAACATATAATTTATATAAAATGGAAAAGTATTTTTCATAAAGTTTTTGAGATTTAATGTTTTAGATTCTGAGTGGAGAGAGGAATTTATTGGTTTTACAATGATGTTTATTTATTCATTTTTTTCTGTAGACAACTTTTCTACGAGCAATTTCGCTCCAATTTATAATAGTAGCACTTTATTAAAAAGGAAATCTTACTGGGATGGTATTTTAAGGTAGTCATTTTTCAAATTTCCCAAGAATTTTTCTTGCTTTTCAAAGCTATCCTAGGGGAAGGATGCAGCCACTGTTATAAGTAATTTAATATATTTTATCTGCGTAAGCGACGATTTACCATTGCTAAAGAAAAACCAATTCTGAGCGGAGTTCGGTTGATAGTGTTGCTTTGTCAACAATTTGTATGTTATATTATGGTAAAATACATATGCATTAATATTTTCTTTAATAATATTTGTTTTATATTGTACCTATTTTTCCTACGTTTTTCCCATTTATTGGGAAATCTCCTTGGAAAATAAAAAAATGACCTCCCTTAAGTACCACTCCAGTCAAATTTCCATTTAGAAAAAGTGCCATCGTCAATGTTAATTGGAGCAGAATTGCTGATAGAAAAGATGTCTACAGAAATAAAACAAAAAGAATTTAACAAAAATCAATGTAAAATTAATACATTCGTCCCTCCACTCAGTATGGTGATTCTAAAAATGTTGAGAATTTCGTTAATGATAAATTGTTGAAATCAAAGTTTAACCCAATACAACTTTTTACATCTTAGGACTCCCGTATTCCGTATTCACACAATTCTAATTTCAACTATATGCCCAAATTACTATATATCTATGTGTATAATCATATATATATATATATATATATATATGTATATGTGTGTATAAATTATGTAATAATATCATATAATATGTACAATCTGAACAACTATTGTAATCTTTAACTCAGTAATAATAATATGTTAATATAATTTATGAGTCAAAATCCGGTTTAATCTAAAACACAGTCAGTGACTTTTCTCACCATAATTTATGTAATTTTTGTGCTGTTGAATAACGTGACCATTGTCAATCTCAGCACAATCAGTACCTAAAAATATTAAAATATTAATAATAAAAAGTAGATATATTTAATAAGGAGGACATGGAATATTTTATTTTTTTAGTATTTGTAGACTTATCAATTTAGTTGTGTTTTAATGCAAAGTTCGATATTTTGTCGAACTATAACACAAGCACAGTGTGCACACAATAGTATATTATAACATATAGGTACATATTATATATATTATTATAAATAATATATTATGAGTGTATAATAGTATTATCTACATTATAATGTTTTAACAAAATAAAAATAAGTCATGAAAAATAAACAAATAATTGTTTAGTTATGATTATAATATATAATATAGTAATAAATTGTTAAGTTGTTAATAATTACCCGTATAATGTCCAACAACTAATATTATTGTAAACGATATTACGAGTTTAGAGATCATCGTTCTTAATGAAATAAATAATATACCTATGTTCGAACAATTTTAAGTCACAAATGTCGAATTTTCATGCACATATGATTTTTAAATATCAAATTTTATCAAAAATAATAAATTGTGTATATTATTTTGTAAATACGAGTTAAAGTTTACTTTGACATAATAAAAATTAAGTGTTTAAACAGTGAATGTTAAATTATTATAAACTGTCTATTACATAAATAAGTAGGTTATACAAACGCTTAAGCTTACAAGTCAGGGTCTAAATTATTTTGATAAAAAATAATTATGATGCACAATGATGTAAGTTTATATTATTATAGTAGTATTGTTAAATAAATACTATTATTTGAACTACCTATTTTTTTAATTGACCTAAATTTCATATTTTTCAAAAAAAAAAAAAAATAAAAATACCTATAAAGTATTAGATTAATAATTAATCAATTTGAAGAATTACGTATTTTTTAACATTTTACAACTGGATTCTTGAACCCAGGTTTAAAATTTGTCTCCATAAAATTTTGATTATCAAATACAAATATATAAACCTATATTAATATTTAAAAAGAATAATAATATTTTATTTAAAAAAAACCATACAATTCACATACAAAATTATTGTCAATTACACATGAATTATCACACGAGACAAGAACATAGACATTCGCGGCGAACACACAATCTTTACCTCTCCACCAGTGACCGAGCTAACTAATAATATATCTGTCTAATGCCTATAGTACATTTATCTTATATTATTATTTGATATTTATAGCGTTTTACACCTACTCTAGCAGTGCAACAACTGATAATGCGCAAGTTTCACAAATAATTGCTCCAGACCTCCAGTGCAGCAATATCAGTACCTACTTAGCTGGAACACGAGAAATCGTAATCTATCAATAACTGTTATTGTTATTGATAGACAAGGTTTATACATAGACCTTTAAACTAATGGACAACGTTTTCCACTCTGCCTTGCCCTCCTCATTGATCGGCGATCAAGTAACTAAGAGAGAAAGAGCATAATGTAGTAAATCATGTAAGAAAGACTAAAATAAAATGTTCTTTCCATTATCAACCATAAACATAATAATATTATTACTCAAAGGGAGTCCTCAACTCGCCGTGTCGTTTCGTTTTGTGTGTGTTTTAAACACGATACGTTCCTTTTTGATTGCACGTTATAACTGGTACCCGCCGTTTTACCAACATTATCACTCACTATAACTATTAATTTACCATTCGCCAAAAAATGCGCGGTAATTATTATCGCTCATTTTTCTTAAAATACAATGTCATTATTATATTATAATTATTTATGAATATTTATCATTATTTTGCCATCAATATTTTACCGCGTTCTTCAGTTTTTTTATTATTTATACTATTTTCTGTCTAATAAAGCGATACCATTGAATTATTACCTAACCAGTATTCACTTTATTAATATAATTTACTTGTATTATACGATTAACTAATAATAATAATAATAAAAACGCAACAATTATTTTACCTAATTTTAGTTACTAATATATTGCTATTTTTAATAGCTACGTTCTACTAGTAGGTATTGATTTTAAAATCATTGCTACATCCTAATAATACTTGGTATTGTAATTACTAGTACTAGTTAGTGATTTTATATATATATATACATACATAAGTACAGTTTTGTGAAGTGTTTTATAAAACAAACTTTTTGCATAAAATGCATATCTGCCCTTGAAAAAAATATACATTTTACGTTTATATAATTATAACATAAGATATTATTTACCCTCATTAAATTCATATTGAATTTAAACTAGTATAAAAATTGAGTATCAATTCACATTTAATTTTAAATTAAATTATTTAAAAATTAAAATTGTAATACTAATTCACACGAAAATGACGTTACCATCTATAATCGGGCTAAAACCAGCATGTCCGAAAGTTGAATTTATTCAATTCTGCGGTATCTGTGGTAACGTCTTGGTAGACACGATCAAAATGTATCTACCATGATAATATATAAGCCAACCAGAAAAGAATATTTCATACGAAATGAAACGACACGCTGAGTTGAGGACACCTCTTTATGTAGGCCGTTTGTATTACCAACATCGTAAATCGTCATTTCCAAAATGAATCGTAAATTACATAAATTCTTATCTTACAACGGTACCTATTTATGAAACTTAATACGTTCATCAATTTTGGACTTGCAGTATTTAACTCTACATAAAATAATCATTGTACTGAAACTAAATATATATAACTAAGATAAAAACTAAAGGATATTTAATTAGGATTATGATGAGAAATTATTAAATTATTCAAATATGAATTAAAGCATAAACATGTATTTATAAGCTGCATATACAGCTAACATTTTATAAGTTTTCTTTATAAGTTTATGTAGTGGCCGCACCCATCCCAGCTTTTTTTTTTTCCTTGTAGTTTTTCCAATAATTTTGATAAAACATTGGTTTTTTTTTATGTATTTGATTAAATAAACACGGTAAAATGTTCGAATCCTTCTGGCTATTTTTAAGCTAATTATAAGTATTTAACGTTTTTTAGTTTTTTTTTTAATTTTATACAAAAATCATTCATATAGTAATTATATTAATATCGATCCGTTTCTTTTTGCATGCGTGTGACGAGTGCGTGACACTATCTGTAAAGTAAAAAAAGTTACTTTTATAAAGAAATACACGTGATGGTTGTCGCCGCTCTTCAAGAGGAGGAGGGCGAAATTGTAGAATATTATGTACACCCACATACGTGACTATTGTGAATATTGTGATAAAATATTTCTTACTTATTATGCTGACTTACAAATCGTACATAATAGTCCAAGGACATCCAAGTACAGGGTCACATTTGTTTCAAGTGAAAGATTAAGAGCTTTTAGGGGAAAATACGATTTCAAGCAAATATATTTCTAATAATCTGTAAATGTGTTATCTGTAAACAACCAAATAATAGTTTTATTTATCTAGATAAAACTAAAAGATTGTGTCTAGATAATGCTTAATAATGCTCGGAGAGTACTAAGATGTTTCAGAGGAGGGGCAAATATTTCCATAGCACCCCTGAATATACCACTTACAACCATCTACTTAGGCTCTATAAGCCTAGATAAAAAAGAAAATCAAAATAGGTATAGACCTATTTTGACCAATACCTATGGGTAAAAAAAAAATGATTTTTTTTTAAACCTCAATAATTTGAATTAATGTTGCCAGCAAAAAAAAAAAAAAACTATTATATTGTCATTATTTTTGTCGCCCTTTTTTTAGGAGTGAAACTACTAGGTACCTACTTTTGATTTTTAAATGGCGACCTATATTAAAAATGCTAAAAATTGATGGAGTATTAGTTTAAAAACATTTGATTGTTTAAATATTTCATTTCCTTCAATCCGTTGACGATATAATCCACATTATAGTTTGGGTAGGGGAACAGTAGCGAATCATAATTTATGTAGTAGTACAACGCCCGGTGGTCATTACTCTCCCCCTGCTTTACTTTAAAAGTGAATAATCTTGTCGGATTGACGGAAATAAAAATTTTAATCACTAAAATGTTGTTAAACTAATACTCCATCTATCTATAGCATTTTTAATATACAGTTGCCATTTGAAATCAAAAGTAGGTAGTAGAATGGTATTAAATGAAAATGTCTTCAATTCTTCTTCCAATTTAATTTAATCATATTAGAAAATCTTGACAATTTATACGACTTTTACAGAGAATATATTTTTGATCAACTTGTTAAATATCAAATTATACAATCATATTTTAAATCAAAACCATTATTTGTATTTACTAGGTAGTTAACCAAGAATTTCTAAAAACGGGCGTGTTAAATATCAATATTCAATTTTGATCAGTGTACCTACTGAATACATTTTTTTAAGTCATAAACAAACAAATACAATAAAACGTTGTGACGTGGAACACAATATTCTAACGATTTTAACATGATTGCGTGTTCAACCAAATAATCAAGTATTAAAATCTTCACGAGACCCACAACAAATAAAAACTTGATAATAATATAATGATATAGTATACCATTGTGTCGTGATTCGTATTTCGAAAGTAATTATACATTAATGATGTTTTGCTGAAAATTAATAAATAAATACAGGAATCATTGTAAAACTAACGAAGCTTTCCAAAAGAAGCTACTATACTAAGAATCTAAAATAATAATTTAAACTACCGTATAATTCAGTATTGTTATCGTATATTTTAAGTAGGTAAGTACGAAAATAATGTTGCGTTCATAGTCAATAATAATAGTATTTGCAAACACTCAAATATTGTCCGGAGAACACAAATATCATTCTCATTAAAATTATCGTTCAGTGTAGATACTAGTTGTGCGTTCAAGAGCTAAGCTATTTTGTACATAGATTATTAAATCACAAGTGCGAACAATAGTTTATAAAATGTAAGTTTTACTTTTCTCTCTAAAATTTAAAAAGTTACATAATTAGACTGGTAGGTATATTATTAATGTATCTACCAAATCAACACTTTTACATTTAGATAAATAATAAATTGATTTACTAAATTCAAAATATTTTTAAAAAAAATTTTGATTATATTTAATTAAAAATACAACTATCTGTATTAATAATTTCAAACGAAAAACGATTTGAAGTAAAGTTCGGTTATACATGTTTTGAAAAGCCGTAATATTTACGACGTTCGTCAAAATTTGATATTAAAATTCTTGTACAAAAAATAGTATACTAAAGTTAGGTTAGGTTGCTATTTTTCACCGCTAAAAACGACTTACAATGAACCTGTTCAATTTTCAAGCATTTTAATTTTATTCGTAGAGTACCTACCAAATAAAAATGACTTAAAAAACTCACAAAATTAAAAAGTTTTAAAGTTAAAAAGTCACTTCAAAAATTGCTAAAATCGATAGTTTTGTTCAAGATTAAGGTAATATATTTCATATTTTGATACCTACATACATAAGTAACTTATTCACGTACAAAACTTAAATACATTTTAAAAATTTTCATAAAAACAGTTTATATTAAAAATTTTAATTATTGGTTCATTAATGGATAACTCATATTAATTAAACAATCGTATTGATCAGATTTAAATCTTTATAATATCCTACTTGATTAATCAAACCAAACCTATGCCATTTGGTAGAAGCATTGCACCATTAGACGGCGGAGATTGACTGCTGGTGTCTCAACGGGTTATCTTTCCTGGATGGCAGATCGCGGATCGACTGGGCCACGAAGCAGGTCCTGGACGTAATTTGGAGAGATGTTCTTGTCACCCACAAAAGCTTTCATTGATTGCCGGAAAGGTTCCCAGTGGGAACAATGAAAAATAGTGAGCTCGGTGGTCTTGTGGGTAATGACAGTAGAGGCACTCAGAATCAGGAGTTAATCCCATCTAGTGGAGATAGTGTTTGAAATACCCGTGACCTGATTAGAACCAGGGTAACGTGAAAGGTCAGGTCTCTTGTGCGTTTCAGAACCCATTTTTTAAGATCGCGGATAATCTCGCCCGTGTAGACTACCTTGTCGCTGCAGCTCCATCGATTAGCCCACTCTGTGAGCACAATATCCCGCTCAACCTGGTGGACCTCAACTAGAGATAGAGTCCTACTCCTAACTCGATAGTAACAATTATCTAATCGATCTTCTTTCGTGAACAATCTGTTTTTTTTTAAATCTGTGGTTATACCACTCGTGTATTCGGTCTGTTGAAGTGACGTGTATGTGAACTATGAGTGCTAGCACTCAATGGCCTGATTTTAATTTTTCATATTTTAATCATAAATAATTTAAATGAACATAAAAATGCTTTACACCAAAATTATAAATTGAACAATAGTCAAATTGAACTATTTCGATTTAATTTTAATAATGGGTTATTCACTGTTAGCGTTTATAGTTCACACAAACGCCACTTCGACACCAATAACATTTCGTATGCAAATCTGCATAGATATTTATGGTTTTAAGTAAATAAATTAAGGTATCTAATGGCTTTTTAGAATTTTAGAACACGTAACATTGTATATAGTGGTGACAATTTTACCACTTAGTTCACGGTAGTCAAGTGCTAGTTTTTGTGTCTCCAACTATTAAAGACATTTAATAACATATAAGTGGAGGGAATTACAAAACTGAACAGTGCACGGCATGGCAATGTCAATACAAAAATAAACACACAATTCATAATATTATTGAAGTATTACTATTTTAATATATTATAATTAATTATCTTAGATCATATAAAGGGTCCATCAAAAAAAACGTATGTTTTTAAAATGATGAATACTTCAAGTGAAAAAGTCCAATCGGTGTGAGAGAAGACTCCTTGTAAAGCTGATGACATGCAGTTTTAGTTGTCAACATGGTGTGGAGTATGCAGCAACGAGTGTTCACAGTATGACGGTACTTCGGAAACGGTAAATCTATCGTTCAAACGGAGCGAGATTTTCGAACTTGCTTCGATATTCCGCGTCATGGAACGATTTCTGACCGCATTATCATTTTAAGATTGGTCACAGCGTTCAATACAACAGGTACGGTGTAGATGAAAAGAACTAATAGACGAAATCGGACTATTAGAACACCCGAAAACGTGGACAGAGTAAGGTAGAATTCATTGCGGAGCCCCAACCGTTTTGTCCGTTTGCGCGCCGTTTCTCATTGGGTCAACGAATTAACTGTACGTCGGATCTTAAAAATTGATTTACCGTTTCATCCCTATAAAACCTAAGTTTGCTACAGTTATTGACAGGTGATTACCAACAGCGTGTTAATTTTATTCAGTTCATGATAGAACTTATTGACAATAATGACAACATGATTTTGTTTATGAGTGACGAGGCTCATTTCCACTTGAATGGTTATGTCAATAATGTCACTACTGGTCCTCGTAAACCCACAACAGTTGCATGAGGAACCTCTGCGTACTCCAAAAGTCATAGTTTGGTGTGCAATAGGCGTACCGTAAATTATTGGCCCTTATTTTTTCGAGGACGACGTATAAACGACCACTTTAAATTCAGAGCGTTACAACGAAATGCTGACCTAATTTTTTTTTCCTAAGCTTCAACGATGGCATGTCTGTGTCAGAAAAGTGTGATTTTAACAAGATGAGGCAACATCACATACAGCTCGTGCCTCATTTTTTCGCCAAAAATTCGCCGGACGTCTTATTTCGCGCTTTGGGGACATTCGTGGCCCCCTTGCTTTCCTGACTTCACAATATGTGATTTTTTTTGGTGAATTTACTTAAAATCAAAAATTTATCAATACAAGCCACGGACGATACAAGGCCTTGATGAATTGAAGGACGATATCATACGAGTAGAGGGAGAAGTTTCGGGACAGATGCTGACCGACGTGATGAGTTCGTTTCGCGAGTGCCTGCATTCCTGTATTGCGGCTAAAGGGCGCCATATGACTGAGATTATTTTCAAAACCTAAATTTTATTACAGATAAAAATACTGCATACGTTTCTACATTTTTTGATGTATTAAAAATTATTTTACTGAAATTACTTTTAGCGTAGCATCATTTTGAAAAACATGCGTTTGTTCTGACGGACCTAACCTAACCTAACCTAACCTAACCTAACCGTACTATGGATGTAGTTATATTAGCCGCTTGTTTTTTCCAAAATATCCTCCTACTTAGTGGTATTTTTTCGGGCCATACACGCTGGTGAACATGCAAACCAATCAGAAAAATTAATTTTTTCGTTTACAAAATTGAAAATTTTGATTAAGATAATTGTCTTTTTACGATTTTTCTTTATTATTATTACTATTTATTTAATGCTAAGCAACTTTGGTAGAACAAGTAGGTAATTTTAAGTACTTGATATTTTTTTATTTTTTTTAAAGGTATTTTTATTTGGTAGGTATCTGTTATTAAAATCATATGACTTAAGAGAAATGTTTGAATATTTAACACATGGTATATTATAAGTTATACTTAGTGATTTAAAAAACAAATTTGGGTTTAATGTATTAGTTTTAGCTTCTAAGTAGAGTAAAGAATGTATAGGTTTTAAAAAAGTGTTTTTTTTAACTGTGAACCACTTTTATTCCCGCATTTTTCTTTCGATTTTCAAATATAGCACTATAAAAAAAAAATCTGACTGCAGTAGTACTTTAGGGAGGTCGTTTTTTAATTTTTTCCAGCTGTTTTTATAACAAATGGATATAAAACTAAATTCTTACTCAAGTAACTACCTACCTAATGAAGTAAAGAAAGATAAGTCCCTAGGTTTACAATTTAAAGTGATCAAAATTTTGTAAATATCGTCATAATTAATGAATACCTAATAATATTAAGTCAACATAGTTAGATAAATTGTACATGGGCCTGAAATAGAGAAGTGTGACAGAGAAGCACTCACTGGTTTGTGTGCAAAGTAATAGATTCTGCATATTTTGAAAATCTGAACATAACTTCTGGTTCCGCAAATTATGATCATTATTAGTATGTATTTTTACTTTTGTACAGGTACCATAATCGAGTCCCAGACGTCTACACGTTAAATCACACGGAAGATGATGATGATGACGCTTGTAAGAGCGTCGTGGACGTGAAGTTATTCAAAATTATCGGATTGTACCAACTGCTGCAGCCATCCGGGATCCACGTGAAATGGTATCGGAAAGTTTTGTTGGGAGTTTTGTGGATAACTTTCGGTTTGCAGATCGTGCAAATCTACGGATTGTATTACGCACAAAATGATCTACGACGTTTCTCCAGTATGACCCTGTTAGTGGTCTACGGCCTCATGTGCCTATACAAAGGGTTAGTGCTGGTAAACCATGGGGACCGAATATGGTCCACTTTGGACCTAGCCCTGTACGGGTTCGTGTCATCTGGTCAACGGAACCCGGCCAAGCTCGACCGGTGCAAGCACATGCTAACACTGCTGCTCCGAATGTTCATAGTCTGCAGTTATTTCACGCTAGTCATCTGGATCATCGGTCCATACTTCATAGAGGGTAGTTTGTCTATTACCAACCTAGACGGCACCGTCAGCAATTACCGGTTAACAATCAACAATCTGTGGATTCCTGTGGCCGACTATGTGTACAACATGTCGGCTATCTGGGCTCTGCTTTATCTAATGGAATCGTTTATACTGGCCATCAACGTGTTCTGTTGGACAATATTCGACTGTTACTTGCTCACCATGTGTTTCGTGCTAAACGCCCAGTTCCATACAATAGCGTTTGTATACGAGACGATCGGCCACCATTTACCACTACCGTCACCGAGCTTCGTCATTTCGGGTTTGCATACAAAATATCACTTTTTATTTACAATTAATGCTGGTCTTTTACAGCTTCTGTACCAAAGATCTTCACTACTTTGAAGCTTTTACATACTCAATTTTTACTAATTTTCTTAATATTTCTAAATTACTTGTTATGCTTGGTAGTTGAGTCTTGATCGAATTTTTCTTGGTTTTTCTTGAAAGACATATACATCTTTCAAGAAAAACTAAGATGAGTAAATAGTAAAATACGAGTAGTATACCAACTACATAATATAACTATACCTACACATCGTTTTAATTTATTATGCGATTTGTTTTTGTGATTTGTTTGTTAGTATAATTAACTAATATATGCATATCAATTTGCATTTGCCGTTTTTAATGCATTATAAGTAGGTACCTTCTTAAAATATATGTTTTGAATAAAATAAAATAAATATAACTATTATTGCATGTGTAAAACAATAAAGCAACTTGGACGGCAATAATCCTAAGACAATATTATACCACAAATTCTATTATAAAACCAGATGGTACATTTCTTAACTTACTGATAACTTGAACCCACCTTAATGCAGTAGGATCACATATAGTGAATAAACTATTGTACAACACCTTTTACGATAACTATTGTATCAAATAATATTTAATACATATTTTGCATTAAATAGGTATACAAAAGGTCAATACAAATTAATGGAATTCCATAAACTTATCTGAATTTTGAGTAGATTTCATTTACTGGTAAATTGGTATTAATATTTGGGCCTATATTTATTCTACCTACAATGTAGGTCATACATGTACATCTTTGTAACTCTATTATAGATTATAATTCGATTTTATCTAATCTGTAACTATATATTTAATACTATGTTTAAACTATGTACAATTAAAGAATTAGTGAAATAGTGATTTAAGGAAACATCAATAATACTTGATGGCTGGATGTCCAAAGAGTAGGTACGTTATATATTTAGCAATAAATAATTTAAATACAAACCAGCACAGTTTGGCACAGAACAGGTTAGCTGACTCAAGAGTCAATTTAAAAAAAACAAGGAGGAAGAAAATGATATAAAAATAAAACGAATTTGTGTCTATTACACTGGACGTAAGCCTGTTTATTAAAATGTTCTTTAATAATGCAAGAGTAAAAGAATAAACAAATATGATTTACAGGTAATGCAATTTAAAAGTGCAAAATAATAAAAAAAAAAAATGTGCCTTTTTAAAAATATTGTATTCAATTAAAATTTTGTTATAATGTTAGTTATACATATACATTTTATTATTATTTCGCTGACCCCCAACCTACTCTCTTAATAGATAACATTAATTAACTAATAATCAAGTGATTGTACCGAATTCATATTTTTACAGTATTTCACAACACATTTTCGATATGCAATACTTTTGATACTCTTTATTATTAAAATGAGAAATCGCACGAAAAAAAAATTGAAAGAATGAGAGAATTATAACAAATTAGTTAGAAATATAAAAAGCGTAGCCGTACAAACAGCTGAAAAATCACATGGGCAAGGAATTAGGCACCAGTACTACGGTGTCATAGCAATAAGCGTCATCAATCAATATTTTTTTTAAAGATTTTTTTTCGTATGAGTGACCACTCTGATTTTTGGTAGATTTTGGTTTGTTTACATTTTTGAGATTACATCGGCTGAATAGCAGGTGTACCATTTGGTTATTTTTATATAAACTGTGATTATACTATCCACAACGGGAGCGCGTGAAAATATGAAATATACAAATCTGGAAAGTACAAATCTTGAATCCAGGGTTTTACGGATATCGAAATCTGAACCTACAAACCTGGAATGTAAAAATATGGAATATTATATTCATACTCACTTAATGTCACCAACTTCGATTAAAACAATCCAAAAACTGCATATCTAGTGCATATTTTTACTAATGATTAATTACAGGCGTTTTTATTGATTTCCAATAAGCAATGTGAGGTTGGATACATTGAATAATTTTTGGTTTTTGCATTTGATTTAAGTTAGAAGTTAAAACTCTCCAGTATCCTGTGTATTAAGTTGATGAAGTAAACTTGGTCAATATTTATATATTATATATCTATAATATAGGATGATTCATTTTGATTTTAGATTCTGAATGGAGCGAAGAAGCTTATAGTTTTACAAAGATGTTTTTTTTTTTTTATTCCTGCGCAACTATTCTACCAAAAGATTTGCTTGGATGTTTACGTGTAGCACTTTTTCCGATAGGATAATTCTAATCAGCGTGAAAAGGTACTTTACCAGGTTTAAGGAGGTCATTTTTAGATTTTCTCAAGTTTTCCCATTAAATTTGAAAATCCGAAAAAACAAAAAAAAAAAAAAAATGTGATATTGCTGCGTCCGTCCCTATTATTTAATATATGAACTTGTAGTTTCTTTTGTTACATTATAAATATATATCTACTTTTTTGCTGGCACGTCCCTGAAAGGAGACGAGGGGGGCGATCGTCCCCCCTCATAAGCCGCGTGATACTCTTTTTTGTTGTACAAAATATTTATAGTTCTTAAATACGAATAAGTAAAAATGCAAATGCTTCCAAATACCATAAAGATGATTTTTGATCTTGGAAATACTTTGATTGAAATAATAATGAAACACTTCTCATTTATAAATGTCAATAAATATTCTTTCAAGTGTGAAATAGAATTATGGGATACTAAGCGGAAACAATAAATTCGTAAAGATATAATAAAATAATATAGACATTTTTAGAATCAAAATTGGAAATGATTAATTTAATTTAAATTTTAGTCTTTGAGTGTAAAAATCAATGTACCTATTGGATTTACAATGACATTTTTTTTTTTTTTATACTTTGATAAATATTTTTACCAGAACTCTTACTGCAATATATAAGTGTAGCACCATTTTTTGAAAAAAAATATTGTTAAATTTACTAGAAGGTACTTTAGAAAGTTTATCTTTTGATTTTTAAAGCAGTTTTCATAATATCAGAAGAACCCAGGATAAAACGTAAAAAAAAAACGGGAAAATTTACGAATTATTTCTTTTATTGTTCTTGATTTTGTGTTTTGTTTTAATTCACTAAAAAAATATTCGTAGAGACTTGAAATTTGGACAAAAAACTTATATTTGTCATTTTTGACGTGGTAAAATTATTGAGCAATTTATAGACAATTTAATTTTTCGAGTTTTGTCCGTAATTTTTATTCGGTATGTACGCTGTGGATAAAATTGTTAGACCTAACAAAAATACTTGAAAATTTAACATATGATTCATTAAAAATTATACTTTTTGGCAAAAAAAAAAATTTGAGCAGAGGCTAACTGGCTCATCACTTTTAAATATTCATCGAATGGAAAAAAATTGTTGATTAAGCCGCTTGCAAAATGCTGATTAAAGTATTTTGTACTTGGTCATCTAATTTTTTTTATTACTTTTGTTGTTCATATTATCATTATTTTAGTTATTATTTATTTAATGGCAAAAAATAAATTTAACTTTTAAATTGCACTGTTTTACTTCATTTGTACAAGATATCTGCAATATCCTAGCCTAATATAAGTTGAAATGATATCAAACATAAAGTTTTTAAGCTTTTGTTGACCAAAGCGGTGATCTATTCAAGAATAAAAATTGTTCGTCACCCCCTTCCATGAAATTTGACCCGAAAACGCCCTTGAAAAATACTATAACCCAGCTCCACTCAGAATCCTTTTTTGTTGACAATGCTTTAATTTACTTAGATACAGATATACATTAAATTTCCTTCAATATTCTATCTTTTCACCTTCTCATTTATAACAGTAGTCCATCCATCGTGTGAATTATGCCAGTCTTTTTTTTTTATCGATCATTAATATCAAATTTAATTATTTCACCCCTCCACCTATAACCAAGGTCTGAATCAAGACGCCTCTGCTTTTTTGAAACTTTTAAGTGTATTTAAATCTGATGTTTTCGAATACTTAGATTTTTTACAATATTTAAGGAGTATTCTGTGGCGAAACCAACTTTGGATTTTCAAAATATATATGAAAAATATTAAAAATTCCATAAATAGACGGAGTATTCCTCTAAGTAAATTTTAGTGTCAACATTTTTGATTTCCGTCACCCCTTTAACGAAATATTCCCTTTTTAGGTAGGTTTATGCAGTTTAGTTAGGGGGAGAGTAGTGGAGTATTATTTGTGTGGTGTCATAACGCGTAGCATTTGATTAGTGCTCCATTACTCTCCCCCTGTATAAATTTAAGAGTTGAATATCTTAATGTTATGGAAAATCTAAGTATTTGGAAATGTCGGCTTTAAGTACACTTAAATGGGGTGAGCAGGCTTAGTGGATCTCCCTGTATATATATATTATTGTATTTACTATAAAAAAAATATTAAATATATTATGTCTATGGTTTAGAAGTAAGCAATACAAAAAATGAATATGGCAATAGGTATTGTATAAATGTCTCTGCTACAATTTTTTACCTAAGTATGTTGTTTATTTGTGTTTCTTAGAATTTAACAAATACTTTAAATTTGAACTATTTACTACAACGAATTTTCTCATTTTTGGCAATAATTTAAAATTGCAATTGATAAATGATACATAAAAAAATTTAAACAAATTCTTCAATTCTCAAATAAACTTTAATGTTTAATTTAAGAATATTTAAGAGGTATTTAAGAATTAATTATTGTGATAACCATGAATCATGATACAGAATAATAAACTGTTTACAATTATACCATAATGAACTAGTTTATTATACTACAAAACAGATATAACGATTATAGTAATGATAAATTTATTATATTATTCACGACTATAAAGATGTTAGTCCTTGATTTTAATTATGAAATTTGAAAAATTGGAATATATATGATGTATAATTATATATAAAAATTCAGATTTTTTCATTCGAAGTTGATGACACTGAGTGGGTGTGAACATTACTTTCCAAATTTTTACATTTCGGACTTTATATTCCAGGTTTATACAGTTTAGATTTCGATATCCGAAAAACCATGGATTTAAAATTTGTACTTCCCAGATTTGTACATTCCAGATTTTTACAGGTATCCTCTACAACTGTGGGTAAAATATTTATCATTTATGTATACGATAATATTTAAAATTGTTGCTAAATACAATGGTTTAAAAATTAGTACCTAAATAAAAGTTTTTATTTATATTGTTGTTACAGATATTCATTTAATGAAAAGTGATGAAATAAAATTACATTATAATGATGAATTGGTTCACAATATAAAAAATGGCCAAAAAATAATGACGTACGTATCTTCACAAAAGTGTTCAATTACACAATAAAACTATAGTACCTGGGCTAACAAAAAGTGATTCGCAATTGTAATGTGCCTAAAGTTTTCTTTTTTTTTCTTTTCTATTCTTAATGGTATTAAATTGGGAATATTAGGAGTAGCGAGTGAATAATACAGCGTTATTTAATAGTTATTTATCGCATTTAGGTAATAAATGTTCGTTTTTTATCCACGATACTAAATTTCACAACAATTCAGTTAACATTTGAATCGAAATTTATGATATTAGAAAAACAGGTTAAGTAACCCGAACTAAAAACAATAGCTAAGCGCTTGACGATCGCGACTCACTTTTTAAAGCCTAGCTAAAGTCAATATCGTCGTGTTTGTGTGCATGATAATTTTTGCATAATATACTACGAGTATATACCATATATCTACATCTTACATGTATAATGATAATCGTGGAACTCGTAATCTAAAGCCTATATTGTGCTCTGTTCATTCTATAAATTCATAAATTCTAAAAAGTAAAAATGTATACAAAAAAATACATATTTGTTCATAAATTATGCAGGTGGTCTAAATTTTGCTATGTTTTGCATTTACCTGCAGTATATAAATTGTATAATAAATGATTAGGACATTGAATACACGGGAGATATAAATGACGGGCGTCAACTAAACCTGTATGGCGGGGGAATACTTTCTGGGCGGGGGTCAACTAAACCAGTACCTATTTAAAAAATATGGCTAATACCTACTCAATAATGTATATCAGCTGTTATCATAACTTTTATTTACATTAAACAAATAAAATATTATATAAATTTAAATGTTTATTTAGGAAACTTGATGATTTTTTTAACATCGTTCGTCCTGTGGTCCTAGCCCAAATAGTCAACGGTTCAACATCAGTGATTATATTAATCTATCAGATCTCATTAGTAAGTTTTTTTTGATAAATTCACTAACGTTTTTGGGTCGAATAAACACGTACTCAATAATTATACTTACTGATTATCTTTTAAACTGAATTTAAATTTTATCTTTTTTTTTTTTTAATTCAGATGTATATTGAAGGTTCTCCGATTATATCTATTGAGTTTTTGAAACTTTTCTCTGGTTTTGTGTCACTTAACATCGAACTTTACATGTATTGTTATGCGTTCAATCACATACAAACAAAAGTACTAATAAAAAATAATTATTTTAGCATAAAACTTAAATTTGTAAATTTTATTTTAGAAAGATACGTTGAATTTTGGATTATACTGTAGTAATTGGACTGAAATGGATATCAAATTTAAAAAAAAATTGTTGATAGCAATGAACTTTAATACCGCTCATAAACAACAGATAAAAACAAGTCCACAATCGATTATAAATCTGGAAATGTTCTCCAATGTAAATGTCTTTTGATATTTATGCGATTTTTCTGTAAATGTACAAATAATAAACAAATACCTACTGTTAAATTTCTTCTCAGCAAAAACCTCAATCCCCAATTGAATGGCGTTATGCAAAAAACAATCATTCAACAATATTATGAAACGACGATTTGAATCGTACTTGATAAAAAATGTCAAATTATACATGATTAATTTTTTACAATATTTTTGGATGGTTGATTTTGCATAAAGTCATTTAATTATTAGTTTTATAGAAAGATAATTTAAGGAAACTCGCATCAGTTTCATTCTATATCTAAGCAAAATAATTTTAAAATATTAAACGAATATGTATAGAGAAACATTAATTTATAAACATATAATTTTTTTTTATAATATCGTTGGTTAAAAAGCTATTCTTTGTAAGCGACACTTTTTCTGTGATTTTATAGCTATATAGCGTTATAGACGCCACTCTGCTGAATCTAAACATAGTTTTTATGTAGCGGATACGATTATTTTACTATTTTAGAATGTGTTATCAATAATCACGTTGTGTTGTAAATAACAGGTATGAAAATATGCTTTGTAAGTGCCAAAATTTGATGTAGGTAGGTGCCATTTTTGTTAAATGAGTGAGTTGTAAGCGACGTAATAATTTTGAGTTAAGAACCCTCCTTTTTTAATATTGACGTAAACGTCACATTGTCGATTACAGCTTATTTACTATGAAAACCATAAGCCTTATACTAATATACTGGTAATTTGTACACTCAAGCGGTCGCTTCTCAAGAAAGCACTTGTGGGACTTGTCACTGTATAATAATTATTATTATTATGCATATAATATTACAACAGTACCTTCTATTTATTTTCTTTCATAGTGAATAAAAGTGGTTGGATGGTCTGCGTTATGCTAATGTTTATTTATGAATGTGTTAATTATATTTGTGCGGGCGAACAACCAGTGGGTGAAATATTCGCGGATTACGGGTCGCACCGGTTGGAGCGCTAGCTTTGGAAAACGAATGTCAAGGGGGGTATGGAAGGGACATGAAATTGGAAGACATAATATTTAATTTTAATGAATAACGCACAGAGAAATTTCGGTAACGTATAAGACTATTGTAGACTGTATTAGATGCAACTTACTACTAATAAATTCACAAAATTTGGGCAAAGGAATGTCAAACTTAACAACTACGAGAGAGAACAAATATTAATGGGTTGGCAACTACAAAGAGTTTACACATATATATTTACATAAACAGTAGTGGTGACGATTTACAATGGTACATTACGTGAGTCCGGTGACGAAGGAGCGGACGGCTGCAGTGACCTCTGGAAGACGGTTGAAGCAGACAATGTCGCAACTGGTGCCGAATACACGACGGCTCCGATGGGTGCTGCATGACGGGCGGGCTGCGTAAGAGAAATGGTGTTTCTCAATGGACGCCACAAAGACAAACACACGAATCTATTTTACGAAAGTTGCACTTGGATCCGACGACGGGCGTGGCACGGGCAGATGACTCAGACGACGGCCGTTGGTCGCGCGACAGGTACGGATAGCAACTACGGGAGAGTGTAGGGGAACAGATTAGCCAACGTTCGGCGGCATCTATATAACTTTTTCCCATGCGAAACCGATAACAGCGATCAAAAAACACTTTATAGAGTGATAGAAAGTACCAGGGAAGAATATGAGGATAGATGGCATAGGCGTTTGTATTAATTATAATATTTTGGGGAGGAGGATTTCTGATTTCTAATTATCTATGATAATTGACTTACAATCATAACTGTTTTTGGGAAATAATTTTGTTTGTTAAATTTAACTTTATGTTATCAGTTCTTTTTATATTATGTTTTTCCGGGAGAAAAATAATTTTAATTGTTTTATTATATTTTTAAATAAAATATGAGTACCTAAAGAATACAATTTACCCGGTCCTCCATATTTTCTCTGAGTTTTCTTATCTATCGTTTCTATTATCATATTAAAGAATACTGAAGATAGGACAACTCCTTGTTGGAGTCCGGTCTGAACTTCTAATTTCTCTGACTCCTCCTCCTCTGATTGAATCAAATTTTACATCTAGTTTTATATACATAAAGTTGAGTAATTTTCATTATTTTAGCTGGTATTCTAAAGGTTATATGTGCGTTCCATAGCGTTTCTCTATTTATTGAATCATATGCTTGTTTATAGTCAATAGCATATGCAATTCTTTGCCAAATCCATAATGCTTCTCAACTATCTATTTAACAGTAAAAATGTGATCTTTAGTAGCTTTACCGCTCATAAAGTCATATTGGTAATATCAAATGGTATTTTTTTATATAAGACGTTATTCTTTTTAGTATGAGGCTTGATATTACTTTTTACATTGTATTCAATAGCGATATTCTTCTCTAGTTTTGGTAGCTCGAAATATCTTCCTTCTTCTGGACAGATTATTCGTAATTGTCATTATTTTGGTATTTCTTCTTTATGCCACACTTCCCTAATTAATTTTCCAATTTCATTTATCAATTCTTCACCACCGTATTTCAAAAGTTCTACAGTTAAGTCCAGATGAGATATCTGGTTCACTCCGCCTTTTAATTTGTATTTAAGTTTATTCTTATATTTTTTTAATCTTTTTGAATTTTAGATTCCAAGGGTAGCGAGGGAGCTATTGGTTTTATAATGCTGTTCATTTATTTATTAATTTTTCTTGGTTCTAAACTGTGGACACGTTTTTTCTTAGAGAAAAGCTCCGATTTTTACATGTAGCAACTTTTTTGACAGCTCAAGTTGTTTAAACGGTATTTTATAATGTATCATATAATATTGATATCTTTTTTTGATTTTCGATGCCATTTTTTAAATAACATTAGTGTTCTTCCACACAAGTGGGAAAAAATGTGGAAAACGTACAATTTCACGATTTCATTATTTTATAAAAATATAGATGACGTTTTCTACCAGAAAAAATGATTTAATCGAAAAATTACAAGGTACCTTTTTTGTTGCCTTTTTGATTTAATTTCTTACAATATCATTGCCAAAAATTTTGAGCTACGTTTGAGTTTTTAAGGAATTTTAATTTTTGGGAGATTTTTGCTGTAATTCGGTTATAAGTTCCACGTAGAAACTTGAAACTTGATAATAATATTTATATTTGACTTACTTAGAAGTAGTAAAATTAACAAAATCATCAGACGGCTTTTTTGTTTAATAAGCGTTTTGAAATCAAATTTAAAATAAAATCGCAAAAATAATTACGGCACTTCAAATTATGTATTACCGAACTACGCTCGGAATCGTCTTTCGTCAGCAATGGTTTATTGTTGCTTACAAATATAAAGGAAATAATCTTATGTATCCTACCTTCCCAACTTCTCACCCACAACAGTGGCTACTCCCATCCCCAGTATCAGCTCTTTATTTTCTTTATTTGTAAATTATGTAAATGACAAAAATACGAGTAAACAAACTAATATGTAGTAAATTCCATAAATTCACTTTAGATATTTACTAAAAATCATACTACTTTTTGAAATTAAATTTAATATTTATTGTAAACATTAATATAATACGTATAATAGGTATTTGAAAAAAAAATTAAACAAATAACTATAAAAATAAAACTAAAAAGGTTATACTACTTTGAAAACAAAAAAAAAAAGACAAAATCGTTTTTATTATTTTCTGAAAAGTGTTTCTTATAACTAATAACTTTTCAACCAATATGTTTATATTTAAGACGATAAGTTAAAAACGGTAATTGTTTGTAAATAAACCTTTTCAATTTAATTAAAACCTTGTATTTGATCATTTTCAGGTGATGCATCTGTCATTTTCGATTGTATCATTATTACTAAATTCAAGCATCAAATAATTATTGAAGCTATTGTCTACTAAACAAACTAGAGTTTAATTATTACAGTTTAAAAAAGAAGTTAATCTAGTTTAAAATAATTTGACACCATACTTGTACTAGTTGTACTTGATTTACTCTATCGCACTGATTTCTGTCGTTTCAAAATTATAATACCAATTTTCAGTGTTATTTATTCAATTAGGTACTTAACTAATAAATAAGCAAAGCACTGTACTAGAAAATATTTTCTTTTTTAAATTATATTATTCATATTTAATTTATAATTTAAATCGTTAGTTACACGAGAAAGTGACGATACACGCCTACAGTGTAGTGTTCCCATAATATAAAATATTTGGAGTACCGAATACTTTTAGTAGATTTACGTCTAGACGCTATTAAAACGTGTTCATAACGAACCAACAATACAATAAATATTGTACAACCGCTAATTAACAGTATGTACATATCGTAACTACATAAGCACTTAGTTTGTCCATATATATTCCGTGTAAAAAACGTACAAAATTATTAAGTAGGTTTTCTAACATTCAGAGAAAATGGCAGTAGAAAAAGATAGGGTAAGTATAATATGGTAGCTATATGGTATATATTGCATATTACGTGCGTGATAGCAATGAGTTATTGAGGTTTACTTCACCTATGATATTATATTATTAATATAAAAAAAGAAACGAAACGTTGTTAAAACAATATAACTTACTGGATACTACTTAGAATCTAGAATACCTACTGATATAAATATTTTTTACTTACAATATAATTTTAATTCGCGGTTATACTGAAAGGTTGAAGTGTTCAATAATTAATAACTGATCATTTGTCGATTTAACTAACAACGGGCTTAGTAAACGATTTTTATGTACTTACGTATTTTTATATCTTGTCATTCTTATAAGGTTTTCTCAGTGAGTAGGTTATTATTTGGTCAACTTGCTCGAGTGAATACACACACACACACACGTATTACACATTTTTACGAGTACCTATTGTATGTACACACATAATATAATGTAAGTTTGATTTTTCTCGTTAACATTGAAAATAATATTTTAATTAATTAATACACATACCTAATATTTTTGTTAAATCATTGATTTTTTGCTTAGTCACCCGTTTAAATATTACTGCTTAATATTATTTATTATATAATTAAATGTATTATTATATTAATAAAAAACATTACTGTTTCAATCACTAATTTTCTCCTTAAAGCTATTCATGATTTTTTTTTTTATTGCATCCTAGTAACCTCATATAAGGAATATTTTGAACGGCTCTTTCCTAGAACTACCCATCGAATAGAATATCTTTTTCATTGATCAAACGTTTATTTTCATTACTTTCATAGCAACCATATTTCCTCTCCACAGACTACTGGGCTATGTAATTTATATTTATTATATTTATTTTTTTTCCATCTTCGATAGTTGAAAATTTCGCAAGACCATAGGAACTTTTTTATTAAATGATTTTAAAAGAATAAAATTGTATTTCACGTTAATTCGTTTTTGAGTGGGATTTAGGTATTTACGTAATACTATTATGACGTATATGCACTTCTACTAATTATATTCTACACGCTATATTACCTACCTATGTATAACATGCCACAGGAACCGCCAAGAAGCGAATCAGGCATCGGACCTTATTGATGACGAAAACGACCATACCGTAATGGACGTGAAACTGTTCAAAACCATTGGACTGTACCATTTGCTACAGCCCACCGGTAAAATCTACCGAACCAGAGTAAAGGTGATCGTGAAGGTGATGATTGCGTTGCACTTGACGCAAATTTTCGGACTGTATTATGCAATAAATGATCTGAAACGGTTCGCAAACATGACCGTGCTTTCCATTAGTGGTCTGTCTTGTTTGTTCAAGGGCTACGTACTGGTGACTAATGGTAGCAAACTGAGGTCCATGTTGGAGGTGGCCGGGTATGAATTCATGGAGAGCAGTCACCGTGACCCATCCAAGCTGCACCAGTGTAAGGGCAGACTTTGCGTACTGCTCCGGATGTTCACTGTGTGCAGCTACTCGACACTTGTCATCTGGATCGTGGGCCCATTCTTTGTGGGTGGTTACGAGCTCATTACCAACCTGGATGGCAACGTGAGCGAATACCGAACAACCATTAACAATCAGTGGGTACCTGTTTCCGAGTCTATGTACAACCTTACACCCGTCTGGGCCTTTTTCTACGCAATCGAGGCGTTGATGCTCATTGTCAATGTGTTCTGCTGGACGAATTTTGACTGTTTCTTAGTCACTATGTGTTTTGTGTTGAATGCCCAGTTTCATATTTTGTCAGCCGGATACGAATCGATTGGACACCGCGGTCATCGGTCCCAGTCATCATCACCACGCTCAACAGGTTCGTGAGGCCTATCACATGGAGTCCTATACAGGGACGGCTAGAAAATACCGGAAAATAATAATCCGGAATACAAAAATACGCACAATGTAATGTCCAGGACAAGAAATTTCTGGAATGTAATCTTACGGACTATAATATCCCGGAAAAGAAATGTTCGGAATGTCACGCACAAGAATAATTCGGAATTTCAAAAGCACTATTAATACTGATAATCGTGACACCGGGGTTGAGCATGTCTATACATCTCTAAAAACAGCCATAAATTCATGAATCATCTTTTAATCTTCATTAATTTATTCTGTGTATATGAAACATCGCCATCTATCAGTTTTTAAATTCCGAAAAGTTTTTGTGCGCGTTTTCAGTGCGCGTATTTTTGTATTCCGAATTATTATAGTCCGGTACTTTCTGATTTAGGCATTTATGCTTTTCGGATTTTTACGGTCCCGAATATTCTGGTCTAAGCATTTTTTTTTCGGGTCGATTACAGTCCGGACATTTACAGAGTTTCATATTCTGGATTTTTAAAGTCCACTGTTTTCTTGGTTATAAATGTATATATTCCGGAATTTTACAGTCCGCATAAATGCTGCTAATGATTTTTTTTTCCGGAATATTTCAGTCCGTATTATTACAAAAAATGTCCGGATTTTTACAGTCCGTTTGATTATTTTCCGGACAATTTTGGTTTACTCTATTAAGGACCTAATGATATAAAAAAAAAAGACAGAAATACTTTACACAATGGATAGCCCACTGTTGTTGGTGAGAAGTTGGGAAGGTTAAGGGGAAATTTAATGTACATCTGTACACAAAGATTAACCATTTATAACGAAAAACGATTCTGAGTGGAGTTTGGTTAATAATATTGCTTTTTCAAAATTATATGTAATATTTTAAGTAAAATAAATATATATCGAACACAACAAAATACGAATTTTATAGTTAATATATATTATGTGTTGCATTTGTTCCCCTGTTACCTACCAGACGTGGTTTTAAAAATGGTACTTGGTATTAACCTCGTGACTTTTGGTTTGACAACAAGTACGTACCATCATTAGATTACAGAAGACATTCTATAAAATAGTCATTATTGAATTATTTAATATAACTCATATAATATCTGCATAATATCAGAACTTAAAAAAGGTACAACTTCGAAACTAAGTCAGTCCACTTATTCTAACTTTACCATCGTTTTTAGATCGACAATATACATTATGTTCAATAATGTTAAAATAATATATTAAAGCATTATTTTCGTAAATTTTCCCCAGTTTTTCCTTTTTATTGGGACAAATCCTGGGAAAAGAAAAAAAATTTCCTCGTTAAAATACCATACCAGGAAAATTTCCTTTAAGAAAAAGTGCTACACTTGATACTTCTGAACAAGATTTCTGTTAGAATTTTCGTATAGAGTATAAAAATAATAATAAACACCATTGTAAAACTAATACATTTCTCACTCGTCTCAGAATCTAAACCTTGTTTCCTTAAAAAAAATAAAAATGATTGTATGTGATTGTAAATGACTGGCCTTACCTATAGAGTAGCTGAGGTAGTAACCGACCAGACATACTGATACATAATGATACTTAATGATGTAGAGTATAATCACATCAGTGTTGTCATTGTATGTGTAATATAATGTATAATAATACTTCGTAAAAGTCACATGTAAAGTTATCTATCTATGGTCATTTTACATGTACAAAAGGCTCGTCTATTAGAATAAGGTCTATGAGGTAGATAAATATACTATTTTCTAGTTTAATATTGTCAGTTCCCTCCTCTAATCATCTATTTTTGCCAAAACAATTCCAAATATACACAACGATAACACGGATAACAAAATTATATAATATTATTGTTGATTTTTTCATGATATTTTTAAATTACCCGAAAGACTATCATGTGGTTCGTAATGTGCGATTTGCTTTGTTTGTCATCTATTTTAAATATTGAATATTATAATATTTTTTTATCATTTTAATTTTGATTTATTATTAAATATTATTAATTTGTGGTTTTCAATTCGTTAAACACTCGTGTAAATAATGCGAATAATATACGAAAATACGAATACCGGGTTGCACCAAATATCTACACACAGATAAACTCGTTTATCTGAGTTAAAATACATGTTTTAAATTTTATCTGTTGATAAAAATTTACTTTATTAAGAGTTAAATTACAGGTCCATTTATCGCCGTATAAAAATGTATGTGTAGTTAAATTTCGTTATTAATGTTTTGAGTTATTGTGGAACATTAAATAATATAATTATTATATTATTTTTGTAATAATTTTAGTTATAAATTTCAATCTAAGTAAAATAACGGTCTCTAAATTATGTTTATATTAAATTATTAAAAATAGTATTTAATATTTAAACTAGTGATGTGATATAAATCCGGATTATCCGAAAATCTTGAATTTCGAACTTCGGCAAATCCGGATTTTTTTCACCACTAATGTATATATTTTTATTAGTTCTCTTTTATTAGTGTCTTTTTTTTTTTATTGTTGTTTAACATCACTTCTACTGAAATATATTTCGTACACTAAAAACTTGTCATGTGGGTACTGTATTATATGGTTACAAAATTCTATTCTAAACTTCGTCTTTTTTAAATTTCCATATATTACCAGTCTAAAATTTGAAAACATATAAATACCTACAGAGCAATAGGAAACATATTATATATATAAAAGTTCTTCATTAAAAAGTGTTGGTCTATTTTTCTTGAGCATATTGTTGTTGTTCATTGTTAACTTATTAATTAATTTAATTAATTTAATTTATAAACAAAGATGAATGTTCTGATTAGTGATTTTTAAAATTAACCATCATTATTCAGTTTATTGCCGATGATAATATTAACTTCTACTGCTGGTACAGTAGAATTATTTAACAATGATTGATCAAAACTTGTAAATTTAACACTTATTAAAAATTTAATTTATTTACAGTTTGTTTATCATTATATAAATATTTAACAGTAGATTTATCAATAGATAACAAGTTTGGTGCAAGCAGGTATAACTGCTAATCTGCATATTATACAAATAGTAGTACCTCCTACTCACAAACTAAGATTTAATGACATAGTGGACGGGTGACGGGGAACGGGTCACAAAAGTGTTCTCTCATATTAACAACACTGTAGATAAACGGATTTTAGTGCGGCGGATGGTTTTAATATTTAGGGTCACATTTGTATTAATTATATTATTTACCACCAAAAAAATAATTCATGTTTATACAATTTCATATGTAGGCATTTATTATTATATTCTTACAATTTCATTATGTAGGCATTTATTATTAAAATGATTTTGAATTTATAAATAATTTATAGTAATGAATAAGTGTAAGTGTAGTGTGAAATAATTCACTAATGTAAAAAGAAATCCTACGATTTATTTATTTCTTTATATCTAAAAGCTAATTGTTTATTTTAGACATTAACAATTAATAATGCTAATTTAGACAACAGATAGCGTTGTAAATCGTTGGTGTGCACTTCAACCCCCAGAATATGTCTTTTGTACACTGATTTGTGGTTATTGATAGATTAATTGTATTCAGTCTATAATATCTTAGTCTTTGGCAGTACTCAAGGAGTTTTAAAAACAAAAAAAAAAATACAAAATTCTCTATTCGACACGGTCTGGTCTTATATATTCAAAAACGGTATTTTTTAGTTGAGAAAAAACTGGTTTGGTCAGGTCCGGTCCCATAGTTTATTTCGTCAGTAAGGATCTGTCCTGGTCTTAATTTCACTTTATTCGTCTGGTTCACTCTTTGAAAACCCGGATTGTACAGGCGTAATTTTATTATTGTTGCAGATAATTCTATAATGGGAAGTGACGCAAAAAAGGATTCCTACGATGAATTGATCCGTTTCTTAAAAGACAGTCAAAAGTTAATGCAGTGAGTTACCTAAAACATACACAAATAATATATTACGAATATATCACTTTTCGTCAATTAAAAATTTATGGTAACATATTATAACTTATTAGTTAGACCAAAAAAGATTAAAGAAACATTCATCTTTTTTTTTCTTTCGCCACAAACTTAAAACTAGAGGAGTTACAACAACAGTGTTATTAAAAATCAGATTAATTATATCTTAATAAGAAAAAGATTTTGTAATGCTGTAAAATGCGTTAAAACGTCCTGGAGTTGTTATTTCATTAGATCATAACCCTGTAGTTGCCCGTGTTATAATAAGATAAAAAAAAAATCTGTCCTAGGATAATGAGAAAGGATGCAGCCATTGTTATAGATAATTTAATGTATACCTGTGAGAAAATATTAATCATTCCTAACGAAAAAACGATTCTGAGCGGAGTTTGGTTGATAGTGTTGCTTTATTAACAATATACATATAATATATATATTATATATGGTAAAATAATTACATACACATTATATTATGTTTTCTTTAATAATATTTGTTTAAAATTGTACCAATTTTTCTGTTACTCTTAGTTTTTTCTGGTTTTTCCAATTTATTACTCCTAAGAAAGTAAAAAAAAAATGACTTCTTTTAAAATATCATTCCAGTCATATTTCCTTTTAGAAAAAATGCTATCAGAACAAATCGGAGCAAAATTGCTGGTAGAAAAGTAGTTCACAGGAAAAAATGCCGTAATATTTTATTATACATTTGTGCATTTTCCCTTATTTCCTCTGTTTTTTTCCCCGATTTTTAGTTATATCTATTGAAACCAATATACCATAATAGGTTGCGAAAGTAAGTAAACAAAGAGGGGTAAAGTGCTAAGACTAAGTTTAGTTGAGGAGGCATAACATTTTGTGGAGAGATTGGTTATGACCATATGAGGTGAGATGAGTAGGAACAGAGAAAAGGGAATAGTGTCTCGTAGAGTACGTAAGAACACGAAGTGAAACAGTGGCTATTAAATCGGGAGAGTCAATAGCACAGTTGAAAAATTAAGCAATGAACATGAAGTCAGCGGCGTCACGCGTGAGGACAGAGTAGGGATATTGATAGTAGAGCGGATATGGAAGTAGTCATGAGGTGCGTGTTCAATTATTAATAGAAAAGTAATTAAAAATAGAAAGCGATTTTAAACTCGTTCAAGCAACAGTTGATCACAGAAAAGGAAATAATACCAAATGACCGACAAATAATCAAAGAACGTACAAGGCTGAACCTAAAGAAGGTTGTGTTGCGCTTGATGAAGCCAATGATCTTGAAGTGCCTCCCAACAGTAACATTGATGTGGTATTTGAAAGAAATGGTGGGTGAAAGATAAAATCTTAGGTCTTTGATATGCTTAACACGCAGGATAGAGTAGCTACCAAGAGAATATGAGTGTAGTATGGGGTTACGTTTCCTAGCGAAGATCATCGAGTGACATTTATCTAAGTTAAGGAGTAAGTTAAGTTGTTGAGTCCAAACGAAGAAGGCATTCAGTTCTGCTTGTAATAAGAGGCAGCCAGCGGGACATATGATTTTACAAAACAATTTAATGTCATCAGCAAATAAGAGAACATTGGCAAAAGAGAAACATTTATTTATTGAATTAATAAAAATGAGAAATTGGACTTAGGTGACCCCCCTGAGAAACACCAGAGGAAACAACTGATAACTTCGAAACGGCTCAGGGTAATAAATTGTCTACTTGATGTTAATTAGGACGATAGCCAGGAAATAAGCGGATGGCCGATACTGAGGGAGTCAAGTGTGGCAATGAGGAGACCATAATCGACTGAAACAAACACCCTTTTGAAGTCTTTAAAAATTGTGTCAACTTAACTATTAGCCTCAATACTGTTTATTATGTAGGTGGTGAAGAAAATGCTGCTAGTGATGGGAGACTTACTAGGGCGAAAACCATGATGAGAATCTATAATTATGTGGTTTAGATTTCTTTTGACACAAGAATAAACATTAAATTCAAAGAGCTAGGTGCTATTTTACCCCTAGGTGGGGTAAAGTAGATATAAGTCTGTAGTTTGAGATATCAGAGCGAATACCAGCCTTGGAGATAGGGATGATAAAACTGGTTTTCCTTACACAGGGAACAATGTCTTCATCCAAAGAACGCCTGAATAGAATGAAGACAGGAGCAGCAATTACATTCCGGCAATTGTAGAGTAGACGAGCAGAGATGCCGTCCAGGTCGTTAGATTTATTATTTTTCAAAAATACAATTGCAGAAAGGATATCCTCAATATTAAAGTGGCAGTTTTATGGTAGATTAAATGAGTTTAATGTAGGCCTTATAATATTATAATAATAATATACAAAATCAAATACTTACAGTAATTATCATTATCATTATTCATTATAGTACAAAGATTTATTGTTTTCATAGATAAGAATTTTAATTATTAGAGCTGGATAATCTGAATTTATATCAAAATTGAATTTTTGCGATTTTTCATTGTATTAAATTGTTTTAAATTAAGATAAGAAAACTTAGCTAACGCATCAGGTTCGATTTTAACAAAGTAAGAAACAACTTTACTTCATTGCTAATTAAAGACCTTAATAGCAGAAAAATGAATAAATAAATAATGTTATAATTTTATTATAACATTACTATATTAACATAACAAATTATTGATTATATTGGTATAATTTATATAAACATTTACTTTAACTAGAGTGAGGTGAAATACCTATACTCAGCACCAATTATAAATAAAGTAGACACAATCATTAGTTTTACAAATAATTGCTCGGTGTTTTTGTTAAGGATAGTTATTTGACTGTAATGATAATGATTTTTGATGGAAATTAGAATCTTATCTCCTATAATACTATTCTTGATGATACAGCATCTATCACAGAGAAAAATGGAATAATTTGGAAAGGAAACCAAGTTCATAGTTGTTGACGTCTTGACGTAACCAAGTTTCTGATAAAATACAATTATATCATAGTCCACCAAAGTAACATTATGGTCAAAATCATCTAGTTTAGTATTTTTACCACGGATATTCTGATAGTTTTATAAAAAAAATTATAATTGATTTGAAATAACATTGGATTTTATTAGTTTTTTGAGATGACGGGCAAATTATTAATATATTTGATGAAAAGATTAGTTTTTCCGGCAGATTTTCTGGTATTTACTCATCGATTATACTTTATGATGATTTTGTTGTAGTAATGTTCTATCAGTATACATAATAATGAGTTTAAAATCAACCAATTTATTAGGTTTACGTTTATTTTTTAGAACATCAAAAACATCATGTTATATTCAATGAGTGCATCAATAATTGATTTATTCATTGAACTATTTTCATAAATATATTATTTTAAGTATTCCTAATAAAACTTCTTTTGGTGACATGTTTTTTGTAGCATCTTTGATTATTAGTTTATTTTAGGGAGGATTGTATTGGTTTTACTATGATATGTTTTTTCTTTTTTATCTGTAAACAACTTTTCTACCAGAAATCTTGATCTGATTTATCAAGTGTAAAATTTTTTCTGAAAAAGGTTTTTTTTATTTTCCATGCAGTTTTCATAATAATTGGGAAAAACGTAGGAAAATGGGAAAATGTACGAAATTTATTATTTCCAATTATAATTTTAGTTTTAATTCAATTATAATTATTTGTAGAAACATGAAATTTGGACAGAAAAATTATATTTGATTACTTTATTTAAAATTGACCACAATGTACTACAAAAAATGTAGTTTTTTTTTTTTATAAGTAAAAATCAAATTTTGACGAAAATCGTAAATATTACGGCCTTTCAAAACATGTATACCAAACTTCGCTACAATTCGTTTTTTATTATCAATGGTTTATCGTTAGTTATAGGTATAAATTAAATAACTTTATGTATCCCACCTTCCCAAATAGCCACCTACAATAACGGCCGCAACCGTTCCAAGAATCAGCTCTTTTTATTTCTAAGTTAAATATACTAAGCATTTTAAAATACAAATAATGAAAACTAACGGTCGTGACATTGGCCGTATGCATTTCTACAATACTTTTCACCTTAATCGGCAGTCTATACATTACATCCATAATAATAATAATATTATGGTATACGAGTATAGAATAATGATGTTGGGAATTAGCGAATTTAGTATTAATTACCTTTTTTTCTCAAGGAATGTTCCTGAGAAATCGGGAAATAATTCCGGAATATTCTTTGTTTCTGGGAATTATTTTTAGTAATACAGCAACATTAAAGCTATATTAAAAATTACCTAGTTAAATATGATCATAATCTTATATTTGATTTATGTACGTAGGTACATACTTAAATAATTTACACTTCAATTATCCCTTCACTAAGTATCTTTAGGTATGATTCTTACTTATAAGCTCACATGCTATAATCAATATTTTAATAAATTAAATTGTATTTTTATTTACATTATATAATGCACGTTTGTTTATGTGTAATTAGGAAACTAGATGATTTTATGATAACCGTACGACCTGTGGTTTTAGTTCAAATAGCCAATGGTTCATGTTCAGTTATCATATTGTTATTTCTCACTTCATTGGTAAGTTTTTTTTAATAATATTTGTTCGTAATTCGTAAAATGTATTTTAGATTGTTTAGATCAAATGATATAGTATAGGTATTAATTTTAAGAAGGAATTTATATTTTATTTTTTTTTTGTATTTACTATCAAGATGTACCTTACGGGTGTACCCATTATATCTACACCATTTTTTAAATTTTTCTCCGGTTTCATATCACTTAACATTCAACTTTACATTTATTGCTACGTATTCACCTACATAGAAACAAAGGTAAAAAACTATACACAATAATATTTTAAAGTTTGAAATATCTTTAATGTTGTCAATGATTTTATTTTATTAGAAAGATACATTAAATTTTGGATTATACTGTAGTAATTGGACTGAAATGGATAAACAATTTAAAAAGACTTTGTTGGTGGCTATGAACTTGAATTCTGCTCATAAGCGACAAATGAAAACGAGTCCAGAGTCAGTTATAAATTTGGAAATGTTTAGTAAGGTAAATACTAAATAATTTTTATTTTTTTTTTTTATAAAAAATAAAGTATTAATTGAACGAGGTATTTAATAACAATATAATAAAATTTAAGGATAATAATTTTATTAGAATATTATACATTGTATTGTTCAATACAAATATGTTTTAATTTCATTAACTACTTAATTTAGAATTTGCATTTAATATTATTTAAAATGTAACAATGTTTAACTTGTAAACGACTAAACTTTAAATTGAAACATGTTTTTAAAATATAATGAAAAAAATATGAATTGCTTATAGGTTAATACTTTGAGCTTTTCTTTCATAATATAAAAGTTAGGAACAAAGAAAATCAGGAAAATTGAAACTGCTAACTATAATATTTTCAACAGCATACACAAATTTAAACGTATACGTTTTTTGGTGAAAATTTCTAAGGTATAGTTCTTAAACAAAGGTTACAAAAAAAAAACGTGGATTAACATAAATAGATATTATATTTAAAAGAGATAACGTTAAAATTGTTCTGAACTTTCTTAATAATTCATTTAAGACTAATATGATAAGGTGGCCATATAATAATAACTACTTAGCGTTAGGTGAATTGTGTCCCATTTTCATAAAACTAGGTGAATTACACATTATTCACTGATTTCGGCCCATTAGCATTACCCAAAATACACCAAGGGGAGATTCCAAATATTTGGTTTTATTTAAAATTTGTAGGTTTTATTAATCCGTATAATAGTATAAGTATATAATAGGTAATTTGTGGGTCAATTTATATAAAATAAAAATAAAAATTATAAAAGTATATTATATATTTTAGACAGATAAAAATTTAAATTAAACGGCTAAATTATTATTTATTTCCTAGGTATTCCCAGAAGGCATTCTATTTCAGTGTTTTTGAATTGTTTAGAACGAATTTTTTTGTGTATACCTAATATTTTAAACATCATAAATATCCAGGCAGCAATTCACCAAGCTATGTATTAACATTTTATTTTTGGGACGCAATTTACTTAACTTGTAATAACTAGAGCATGGATTTGTATGTATTTACATATTTATTCTGGTTGATCGTATGATATGCTAAGTGAGCACAAAATGTGTTTTTTAGTACATATTTATATAACGACATAACAATTAAAACAATGAAACTTTTTTTGGTGCATATTTTTACATATTTCGACATTTACCCATTTTTTTTTTGTATTATAAGAGCTATAATATTTCGATTGTTTTTATTTGTTTTTTTTAGATGTTATTGAAATATACTTTATTGTAATATAAGAAAAAAAATATTAAATTTTTATAGTTTCAATTAATATTAAAATAAATTAATATGTATAATTGTAGGTATAAACGGTTTTTCCAAATATTACTTTAGATCAATATCGATGAAGTATAAAATACGTATACCAAGATAAGAAAATATAGATTAGGACCATTGACCATTGACATAATTTCAGTCGCGTTAAAATATTTACTGTGCGTTCGTGTGTGCTTTCTGTTGTAATTCGCGTTTTTATTACTTTAATTTTATCAAAATGCTGAAAGATAAATTATTGTTATCGAAAGTCTTATATATTAAAACTACCTACTAAATGATGAAAGTAAAGAAAAAAAAATGAAGAAAATATACCCTATTTACAGTAGGGTTCCCATTTTAAATTTATTGTTTTAATTAAATATTAAAAAAAACAAATATTTTTGCTAATTTTTTTTTGCATATTTTATATTTTAACATTTTAGTACATATATTCATGCATATTTAAGATTTTTTTAGCGCATATTTTGTTGGTTTTTAATGTATATAAATCCGCGCTCTAGTAATAACTAACCCATATTCTTATTTGGATTATACTGCAGGGTCGAAAAATGAAGCTCAATATTTACTAAGCCTTATTTGTGATTTTGTCTGTGTATGTAATAAAATAACCTACAGTTGTTAATGGTTTTATAAATTAAATTAATGCAATGTGTTAATTTTCAGGTGATGAATTTATCGTATTCGATCGTGTCTGTATTATTAAACTCTAGTCAAGAAAAAAACTAATACAATGTAAATTTGTTATTTAACAAATTAGCAATAGTCAACATAGATCGACAATTGTATGTAGATGACATTATTTTACTTTAAAGAAGTTTTGAATTTAAGTGTTGATCAAATTTATTTAAGAAGACACATAATGCAAAACAATATTTCTTTCTTGTTAATTATTATTTATCATATACATAATATCGATTTGTGTAGTGACGTGCCTTATAGGTAAAATCTAAATTACCCATAAGGTAGAAAAATATTTTGGATATTTATAAGTATATTTGCGCACCAAAAATGTTGGTGAATGTTGTTTTTTCTGTTTGTTCATTTATCATGTTCCTGGGTAGCAATTTGATATATGGTTATAAGTAGAACAACAATTTTTCATTAACTTGATAAGTTGAAATATTTAGATAAAAAAGTAAAGGATGATTGGTTTGTTTCAATTTTAGAGTTTTATATGAGACTGTTAATAATTATTTGTGAATTAATGAAAACTGATAATTAAGTTCATTTATCTACATAAAAAATAGTATCATTGGTTTTATAAATACATTATATTATTATTATTATTATTATCATCAATTCAATATAATATGGCAAAATAAACAATAAACCATTGTTTACAAAAAAACTATTCTGAGCGGAGTTCAGTTGATAGTGATGCTTTTTCAACAATATATTTATCATTTTATAGTAAAATAATTAAATAGGCTTTCTATATTTTCTTTAATAATATTTGTTTAATGTTGTACCGATTTTCCTATATTTTATCCAAGTTTTGTCTGGAAAACTCTTTGGAAAATCGAAAAATGACCTCCCTAAAATACCACTTCAGTTAAGATTTCCTTTTAGAAACATTGATATCATTATAAGTCGGAGAAAAATTGTTGGTAGAAGAGAAAAAAAAGCCATAACATTTTTAGCTAATACCTACATTTCTTACATTTTCTGGTTTTCCAACTTTTTTTTCGGTTTTTCACATTTGTTGAGAAAATCGAAAAACAAATTTTTCAAAGTACCTCCTCATATCGATTTCCTCTCAGGAAAGGTACTGTAAATACAAATTGGAGTAAGACCTCTGGTAGATAAGTTGTCCACAGAACAAAAAATAAAAAATAAATAACACATTTGTAAAACCGTTAACTTCTTCGCTTCAATCAGGATCTAAAATAAGTTTTCATATAAAATATATTACTGAGTGCGTGTATTACATTTGCCTAGAAAACTTATGAAAATCGAAAAATGTCCTCTTTTAAGTACCTCTCTAGTGAAATTTCCTTTTAGAAACATTGCTATCATTAAAAGTTAAAGCAAAATTGCTGGTAGAAAAGTTATGTACAGGAAAAGAAATAGTCATATTTTAGTAATATATTTCGATTTTTTTCGGTTTTTCACATTTGTTAAGAAAACTCTGGAGAAAAACGAAAAACGATTATGCTTTATTCAAATCTGTAGGTGCTGTTATAGGCAATACAAATGATGATTTAAATGAAATGTGGGTTAATGTACAATGCATATATATATTGTATAAATATAACAAAATTGTTCACTGAAAAAAATGATTACGTAATTCTGAATTACAGTTGTTTTAGAGTCAAACAAAATATTAATAAATGTATACACTTATAAATAATATAACCTATTTATTCATGATAATAAATCATATGATGAAAATTCTAAAGCCAAGACAAATAAACATTATCTGAAATAATTAAAGTGTGATGTGTAGTCGAATTTATAATACATAGAAATCTGAAATATTGACAAATTGACAGTGTGATCAGATAGACCTCAAAGCCAGAATTTTAAATTTATTTTCAGGAGCTCATATTTAAGTATTTGTTATTCAAACAAGAATACTGATTTTTTATTAATTTTTGGTTTTCTTTGGTTATACGTTTTTACTACATATTATATTGATTAAAGTAAAAATAAATAAATTTAATTATTATTTTACTAGGGGTCTCTATACTCTCCAGAAGGCAACAATACTCACCGATGTGAAAATAAAAAATACGATCCATACTACAACCACAAATTAAATTATACTAAGTATACATCTTAATTCGTAACTACAGCGAACATATTACGAGCTACTCCAAATTTGAATTGTTCCGAATAAAACTTTAAGGAACGTTTATTTATTTAAAATTTGTTGAACTTAAAAATAACTGCTACGAAAGACAATAACTTCATAGGTATTAAATTAGTAGGTATCTACTAACTTTACTTCAATATCTATGAGTAACTCCAAAATAATTTCTGTTTAGTTATGACGAAATAGTATGATTTTTAACAGTTAGCATGAATGCATAATTATTTTTATAAGTACAGACCTAGGTTAATGAAGCAAATATGCTAGACTACAATATTTTTTATTTCAACTTCTGTTTGCTATCTACAATATGTACACAATTTTTACCATAAGTATTTATTATATAACTACTAATTGTATATATTAGATATTAAAATCTGAAAAAAATTACCCATTTGAATAATAACGAAAATAATTTATAGATATTTTTTTAAATAAATCTATTTTTATTCGTTTTTAATAAAATTATGTAAGGTTTCTTCAGTTTCTTGTCATTTTTACATTAGAACACTATTTCTGGTAGAAAACGTCGTCCATATTTATTTAAATTAAATAAATAGGTCTTTTAAATTGAGTTGTACCTAAAAAATGTCTAGTGTTTAAAACATAAAAAATATTATTTATATTTTGACGAAATTCAAAAGTAGCATTAGAATTTTCAAAATCAGCAATCTTCTGTTCTGTACAATAAGTCAAAGCCTTAGCCACACTTTCACTCAATGTTTGAGCTACAAACTTCATTTTCATTTTTTCCTTGTAGTAGTTTATATGCTGGCTTATATATTAGCCTATTATATATTACACCTTATATATTACACCTATATTGGTGGCTAAGTATAATTGAGCATATTTTTATAAATTTACTATCTGTTTTAATAATTCCCATTTTATTTCTTGTCTATCTTTGTTGTATAATGTTTTCCAATCACCAAGTTTATTTCTACAAAGCTTAAGCATATGTTTCAATTTTCTTTAATATCGAGTTTCTATTTGTAATTATGTATATTTTCTCACATGTATAAATGCTTTAAAACGTTATTAGTGTGTTTTAATTTTAAATCTATTTTTAATTTCAACTGTAGTAAGTAACCTGATGATGGCATAAATGACATTGAAACAAAGTAGTTATAAAATATAAATACCTATATTTAACACTTTTATTATTAATATTCTTGAAAAATATCATTTTAATAATATCATTCATATCATAATTATGATATCATTTTATTTATTATCCAGGATATATTTCGCATGTGATATACAGAAAGCCTCAAGAGAAAAAATAAAAACCAAGACAATTTAAATTGTAATAGGCATAGCTAAATATTATATTTTACTAATACAATATATGTAATATAGGAACCTATATTTTTAAAATAATGTAATAACATTTTGTTAATTATAATTTTTTTACTATATACCTACCTAATTGACCAATGAATTTAAACTATATTAATACATGTAATTTTGTTATAAGAGAAGATTTTCTTGGTTTTGTCAAATTTCAATTCCTATCTTTTCTTCAATTCCTAAAAACATTGGAATTTCAATAAAAGAAACGCTGAAGAATGAACTGAAAAAAATTTGGTTTGTAAATATAATATCTTAGACTTCAAGGATATGACTGAAGATCCAACATGTCTGGCAAATATAATGGAGTTCAAACAACCTCTGGTGTTCTATACACCATTTCAGTTATCCTATAAACCTTTGTCTATCTAAAGCATAAGAGGTTTCTTCAATTAAAATTATTTATGGTATAGTTGGTGCATTTTTTTCTCATTCAGCTAAGCGTATGAAAAAAATTAAAAAAATTAATTGATGTAGGTATATCTAAATTAAATAAAAGTAGTAATTTTGATTAAAAATAGTAATTCTAATAAGTGGTACAAACAAAAAAAAAAAAAAAAAATTAGAAAAAACTTTGTGAAACATGCTGGGTAGATCTAAATGATTCACTAATTACTTTCAAAGTTCTTTATATTTATATAATTGGTACTCTTGAATGTCTAAAAAAATTTGATACAAATACAGAAAATCTACCAAAGAATTGTTATATGTGAGTGCTATAATCAAGAGTGATTTTCTTGTTGTTATTGAAGTAACTGTTACTTGCTTCTCATATAATATAATTAAGTCAAGTACTTCAAAGCAAATAGCAAGATTTATCTAATGCTTTAAACAATGGATTGATTGTCAGAGAAGTTGACTTAAATGTTATCACAATGACTTCTGAAATAGTAGTAGAATTATGTATACCTAAAACTTGTAAGAGACAAACTACACAAAACAAAAGACAATTTACCAGAACTGCTGTAGAAGCAATTCAATACTATACAGAGTTTTTTCAATTATAAAGAAGATTCTTCAGTTATTTGCTTGTGATATCCGCTACTCCGAAACTTACATTTTCTATTTTAAAAAGAATAAAAACATATTTAAGAACTACAATGAATGAAGAAAGATTGAATAGTTTGGCCCTAGCTACTATAAATAAAGACAATTTAGAATATAAATGTGTAGAAAAAGAAATATTGACTGATTTTATTTAAAAATCTCCCAGGAAAATGAAATTTATTAATTGGATTAATGATAATAAAAAATTATAACTTATTAGTACCAGGTTAGGTTCATTAGGAATATTTATAATGTAAGTTGTATGCAATAAATTATTATCAATAAAAAGTTATTAAAAATTGTATTTATTTATATTTATATTTAGTCATATAATAATAGATTATTTATTTTAATATTTAATAAATAAATATATATATTTTTTTTATTGTCTGCCCCTCCTTCTTGAAACCTGGTTACACAAGTGTGATTAAGGATTTTACTAATCACGTCTTTAGATTTTCTAATTTAAGTAAATTTATCTATCTTGCACATACTCATATCATTACTTCAACAAAATCGACTAGATTAGATTTTCAAATGTTTAATTTATTTTACAAATATCTAAAGAAGAATATTACTAATTACATAATTATTATTTTTGTATAAATAAAATAACTAAATTACCTTATAGGTTGTATAAAATGCAATTTTATTAAATGATTACTGAATAGTAAAATAAGATGCCAAGTATAAATCAGTAATCATTATTAATTACAATTAATGACAACTTTATCACTTACAATCCCTCCCCCATAATTCATTCATGACAATCTTCCTTTTTTTCTGGAGCCCATTTCTTTAAAAACCGTTCCTGTCTTTTAACTTTTCTTAATAATCTCCTCCATAATATCCTGCCATCATATAAACAACTGTCCGGTCTTAAATTGCATTGATCACCTTCAGGCAGTTCCGGTACCTTAGACTGTTTAGAGCCCTTTGATTTCCTAGAAAATGTTTATTTGATAAACTTTGTGTTTTACAGTAAGATTTTACATTAAAGTCTCTTAAAGTAATTAATGAGATACAGTGGCATATTTATGAAAATAAATTAGGGAAATAAATTGAGACAGTATTTCACTAGAAAAAATTGTATAGGAAATTAGACAACGGCAACAACAAATTTTCTCAGTACGGAACTAGTAGAGAATAGTATATTTTGTAACGTTTATTTTTCATCTGTATATTTTAAATATAATTATGGGATGAATCGTGATATGATAATAGTTTATTTTGAATCATCCATAGTTATGATCATATTTTTGTTATTATGCTATAAGTTTCTATATTTTTCAATGAAATGTCAGTCCTGACCAAAAAGTAATGTTCCCAAAATATAATTCCTATGTTATATTATTTCTGAAAATTATTGTCCAATCAAATCATCATTCCATGTAAATAATATTTCCAAATATTATTTTCCTGATGAAGATTTTCCCAATTTATATAAGCTCCTATATGGTGGATGTTAGATTAGTACTTAATACAGTAAAACTTCCATTAAGTCACCTCTATGTAATGGTCATTTTTTTTGGTCCTGTCAAGTGTTATGTCTCTATAAGAAATCTCTAAAGGACAGTCACCTCTAAATAGCGGTCATTATTTCCGATCCCTTCAGTGACCGTTATATGACAGTTTTACTGTAATTAAATTAACTCATAATTTACTATTAAATAGACCAAATATTTGATTTAAACATTAGTTTAAGGAAAAATTAAATTATAAATTAATTATTAAAATATATACCTAGAATTGATATTATTATTTATTTATTTTTTGGCTCTGTAACACAATTTCTAATTTAATATTTTCGCCTTGACAAAATCTTAAATACGCCATTGTATGATATACGATTTTCAACTCATTACATCAAATTATTAATAATTTAGATACTTACTGAACTATATCCATTATAATTATTAATAATTATAAAATTAAATACAATTAGTAGATAATTTAGATCTTGCAAGTTATAAACTTTTAATAAGAAAAAAACACAAATAGTAATAGTACAAGTATAATACAAATAGTACCACAAAATAAATTACATATGTTTAATAGGTATAAGCAAAATAATTTAATGATTTTACACCATAGATCCATAAATAATAAAGAATAAATAAGCCATATGGCCTTATCACTCGCTGTCTTGAGGTGCCTATTTTTTTATTCCATGATATTTACAAACGGAATGATAAATCATGTCACCCATTCTGGCTTGCAAATTACTCAACGATGAGCCATTGTAATATTAAAAAGAAATTAATTTTTGAAAACAAAACAACATATAAATAAAATAATAATATTATCACATTAGTGATGATACAAATTATTAACCAAACAATAAACTGCAATAACCATTGTTATGTAAGTCAGCTATGTGAAACAGAGATATATCTGCTCTCTAGGAGCTCGGCAGCTTAGGTTGGTAAGGTCTATGGTTATAGACCAATAAACTAAGTTTATTATTATTATTATTTTTTTTAATAAAAATAACCATTTATAATTACTATAATTATGATTTTTATCAGTCTTTAGTTGAAACTATAGAAATGGACATAGAGACTAGTATACGAGGTGTGGCTATAAAAAACGAGACTGCTCGCCTAGAGGGCGCCCTAGATAGGTAGTGAAAAAAACGAGTAATGCGTTGGGTATCTAGATATCTTATCTATGCACGTACCAAAACACGTTTTCGTCACTATTATAGTATTTGTGCAGTAGTGGTTTGAAACGAACGTGTTTTTTTCTTGTGCCGAAAACCATGTGTGACGAAAAATATGAGGAACGGATAAACTTAACATTTTCTCGTTAAACTAAAAAAAACTCCAACTGAGTGCTATAAATTGTTAAAAGAGGCCTATAGTGAGGATTTCCTATCTCGGGCACGTGTTTCTGAGTGGCATAAATTATTTTCTGAAGGTTAATTATGAAGCTTAATCCAAATTCAAAACCGTTTTCTTCGATATAAACGGCATCTTGATGACTGAATGGGTTCCAGAGAGTCAAACTGTGAACCAACATTACTATTTGACAGTTTTGACAACATTGTGCGAATGAGTTCGTAAGAAACGGTTGATATTGTGCACCAGGATAACGCACCTGCCCATAACGCGCTGTCTGTGAAGCGTTATTTGGCCGCTTTAGGTACTCCAGTACTCGAACACGCGTCTTACTCACCCGACTTGGCACCCTGCGACTTTTACTTGTTTCTGAAGATAAAGTCTGCCTTAAAACAAATCCGATTTGAGTCGATGGAAGAGGTGAAATAAAAATCGGCGGAACTCCTGAATGGTCTTACGAAAACAGACTTCCAGCACTGCCTCGAGCAATGGAAGAAACGAATGAAACGATGTCTGGCGAGGGGAGGGAAGTATATTGAAGGGGAGCATTTGAATGTAGAATAACTTTTATAATAAAACACTTTTTCGTAACCAGTCTTGTTATTTAATAGCCACACCTCGTATATAGGGCACTATGATTATAAATTCATAAATTCAGATATAAAAAATTGTGCTAGTATTTTAGGCAAACAATGTAAAGGGAGTTAAATTTGTTGATACAAAAAATAAATTAAAAGAATACTTTACGTCTCACGCCATGTCCAAAATATTAAAATCTAAATTACGAAATCAAAGATTGATGTCCTTGGAAACAATAGCCGAATTCTGTTTCGATATGTTATTCTTGATCCAACAATTTGTGAATTTGACAAGATTGAAATAATATTAGAGTCATTATCACCAGATTATTATAATGTAATTTCATATATGAATAACCAAACTTTAGAAGATTTAGAGAAAAATTTAAAAAAGTAGAATATTCAAAAGCAATTAGTAAAAGTATGGAGGTGAAGTCAATTTTTGAACGCAATAATAATTTTAGAAATATTTTTCAAATTAATAATATGAGGCAGGGAAGTAATGATTATAACACTAATAACAATTTTAATCAGTTTAATAATAATAACTATTCAAGAAATCAAAATATTAGAAATTTTAGTGAAGAAAATAACTTAATAATACGTTTTATTACTAATAATCCAAAATTTAATAACAATTTTAATAATAATAAACATTTTAATGGTTCCCAAAGATTTGAGTGTAATTATAATTATAAAGACCAACATTTTCACAGTAATTATAATTATTATAATACAAATAATAATAATTGTAATAGATGTGGAAACAATTTTAACAATGATCAAAACAGTAATAGGTATAATACGGTTTAAAACGGATCAAATAATAATAATTCAGATCGCAATAATGATTTTTCGGGAAGAAATAATAGGCCAAGCTTAACCATCAAGACGTTAAAGTAGAGAGAATTAATATAAATTATATTGGGGAAAATTGAAGACGTGAATTTACTGACGAATAAATTTGGCTCAAACCAAAAAAATAACTGGGCAGAAGGAAAAAGTTAGGTATTTTTCAAACCAAGTGAAAAATCCTGACTATAAAATAACAGAATACAATCAAAACATTGCTTTATTACAAAACATTATAAATGAGACATAAAAAACAATGAGTTAATTTCGAAGTGTAACGTTAACCAAAGTGATTGGGACTTTGACCCAGATAAATTTTTTGATGAACAAGTCTTTCTTGAACGTTATTAAAATATTAATACATATAAAGTTACTATTAAAGATTTAAGTTACAATATTAACAATGCAAACGGATTCACAGTGAGCAACGATCATTTTGATGATAGTAGGAAAATTATAATTACAACATATAACCCTACCTCATTACCGACGACATTTAAGCCTCCACAGGTTGTGGTCACTTTAATCATAGTTTTTAATAATATACAATTTCCTCTACAATTTTTGGCGGTAAATAATTGAATAGGTCCTACTTTATTAGGCACGGATTTTTTAAAATTATATAAAGCAAATTTAGATTTTGGTAATAATCAATAAGTATTAACGAAAAATAATGGTTTAACAATTTTGAAGTTCAACGAAAAATCAAACAAGTTAAATAATAATGATACAAATATTGATAATAGAACTTTAAATAATTATTATAATTCTAATATAGACGCTAATAATAAAAATAATGTAGAACAAATAATAGAATCTAAATAATTTCTTATAGCCAGAGAAAGTTGTAAATTGAGGGAAGTACCTAGCTATGGGTTTTGTGGTATATACACGCTGTCAGCTAGCAATGCTATCATATGAAGTAATTTATATCACAACACATATAATAGTAAAGTTACTAAATATAAGTTTGAATAATAAACCAATTTGGTTAGAAGGTTAGAAGACATTTCAACAGTTGTCAATTATTTTAATTTCAAATTATTAATTATATGTCTCAATGTCGAAAATTCAAACAAAAGTGCAGGCAGAGCATTTTATAAACCTAACAAAAAAATTCTTTGTCATTTTTTTCGAAAATAATCACTGGACACCAGGGTGTTATGGTCCAAAATGGGTGTAATCCAAAAAAAAATATTAAAAATAGAACCTATACATATTTGATTTTCTCTACAGACATCTAGTTCGTTGTTAGAGGAAAGAGTAAAACTAGAAAACTTAAACCAGGAACATGATGAGTTACCACAAGTTAAGCAAGTGTTTTCAGAAAAACAAAAATTTTAATGATTTTTCAAAACCACATACTAAATTCGATAAAATAATAAATAATCTGCCAGATAATAACATAGTAAACAATGAATTAAATTTTGATATTAATCAGAATCTAACACCTACAGAAAAACATAAATTATTATTAATTTTAAATAAATATAAATCGGTATTTTTAAAATCAAAATGGGATTTAGGAGAGTTTCACACTGATCTAGTAGATATTTAATTAATTAATTGTATTTTTATTAAATTACCTAACTTTAAGATCATTAAATTTGAACGAGATGAAATAAAAAGTCAAACACAAGAAATGTTACTGGCTGATATTTTTGAACCCCCTAATTCACAATATTCTTTTCCAAATTGTTTAGTAGCGAAAGGGTTACCCCAAAGTACGCATAAGATTGATACATCAACTCAATATAGGTGGGTTTTAGATTATAGAAAACTAAACAATATTACTATTAAGTAATCATTTCCATTAACAGTTATTCTCATTATTTACGACTGTTTAGTTGGAAATAAATATTTTAAATGCTTGGATGGTATGCCAGATTTCCATCAACCTAAACTTTGCGAAAAGGCTAGGGAACTAATAGCATTTTGTACAATTACAGGAAAATATCAATTTAAACGACTACCTATGGGAATTTGTAATAGTCCAAGTAAATATCAAGAAGCTATGAATAAAATTATGACATATTTAAGTTATAAAATGAATGTAAATTATATAGATGACTGTACATGTTTTGGGAAACCCTTTGATGATCATTTAAGTTCACTGGAGTTAATTTTAGAAAGGTCTAAACAATATAATTTGAAACTAAAATATCCAAATGTAAATTTAGGTATACAGAACTAAAAATGTTAGGTAAAATTATATAAAAACCGACGAACGACCAGCAGTAGGAAAGTTATAACCTAATAAGGTTATCAATGGTATTTCCTTTTAAGACTTTAACATCGATTACGTAGGTGTACATGTAACGATTGTTGGTTATCAATATGACAACATCGTACATTACTCATTATATAGGACACGGCTAATATGTTGAATGTGCGAAACGCCATATGAATGACAAATGAATGTCAACTAGGTGTTTTTCATATTTTTTGCGATTTTTGGAAAACATATGCATTCTTTCGAACCAAAATCCGTTATAAATTGTATAGATCGTAAAATTACACATTCATACATGTCCATAATATGTATATACTTCATAAATATTTTTTTTATAATAGAATAAACTAGTCTCCATGGTTTTGCTATATTTAGCACAATATCTATGTTAAACTTATGCTAATAACTAATAAGTATGATATGATATGATAATAAGTCAAAATATTATTTTATTAATAACCTATTATAATATATTAATATGTATATAAAGTCCAGCATATGGAAACCAATGTGATAATTGTGGTATATTAAATAATTTTAAAATTATTTGTAAGAAAGTAAAAAAAGATATTCGTGATAAAAAACGAGTTAGCTGTATAGAAAATGTTGATATTGCTGAAAATTATGTGTCTTTAGATGTGCTTGAAATTATGAATACTAGTGAAGAGAATAAAACTAATGTAGATCATGAATTAGGGAAATAGTAATTAATGATTTTAAAACTTCAATAAAACTTGATACTTATACAGAGCTAAATGATATGTCTGTTTAATTAAAAATTTAAAATGTGATTCTAAACAATAATAATGTTGTTATTAAATCATTTGTAGGATATTTGATGAGATCTAAAGAAAATATTTTGATTAAGCTGAGGAATAGCAATTATAAGTGTAATAAAGTATTTGAAGTTGTAGATTATAATGGCTTACCATTATTAAGTTATGAAGCTTGTATTGCTTTAAATTACATTGAAAAAGAAAAAAGTGCTAATGAGATTGAAGCTATAGAATTGTGTGCAGAAAAAGAAAACATTATTTAGAAAAAAATAGAAATCTATTCGAGGGATAAGAAAATTTCCTGATATAATTAGTATTAAACTGGTAGAGAATGGGATTTCTAAGTGTAATCCTTCTAGTAGAGTTTATTAAATTAATGGACAAATTAAAAGAACAATTTGATAGGATGGTAAAATTAAATATAAATGAAAAAAACAGTGAACCAAGTAAATTGCAATGTAATTTTGTTATAATAGAAAAGCCAGACAAATTTCTTCGATCATGTTTAGATCCAAGAAAGATTAATAAGTACATAGTGCAAGAGATATATTAAATATCAGTTTTGGATGATATGAGATTTATTCTTAGTAATAAAAGTTTATTTATAGTTTATTCAACTTAAAAAATGGTTTTTAATATTGTGAATTAGATTTGGAATCTGTAAAATTATATACTTATAGTAATCTCTATGGATCTTACAGGTTTAAATGTTTAACATTTGGTTTTTCAATGGCGCTTGAAATTTTTCAAAAATTAACAATAAAGTATTTTAGAGATATTACAGGTGTATTAAAATATTTTGTTGACCTGTTAGTGTATGCTAGTTCTAGAGAGAAATATAATAAAATTTTATGCAAAGTACTAGAGAGAGTTCAAAAATGTAATATTACAATTACAATTTGCAACTAATAAAGTCAAATTTTTAGGATTTATAATTGATAAGGAAAGTGTTAAGCTTGATGTTGATAGAATTAATTGTATACAAGAGTTTAGTATATTATTATTAGGTAGTATAACTAGTTTCTAGGTATAATAAATTATTTAAGAGCATTTTTGTCAAACTTATCTGAATAAATAGCATCATTTAGAGAGCTTCTTAAAAAAAAATATAGTATTTTGGAATTTAAGTCTGGACTATGAAAACACATTTTGTTATTTGAAAGAGAGTCTTTATAATATCATATTGCTGGCTAATTTTAATAATGAACAACTATGAAATACTACAGTATGACACTTCAGAGAGTACTTTGGGATGATGTATTTTCCAAAATAAACATCCTATATACTTTGCATCAAGGTGTATTAATGAAAGTGAAAAAGTGTTTACCCAAATAGAAAATTAAATGCATGCTATTTCCTTTGCTTGTACTAAATTTTTTATTCATTGATTTATGGAAAAAGAGTGTTTTTATATACCACTTATATATAAATTATATTACAACTTATATACACTTAAATTTATATACAACCACTTGTTTCAATCATGTTAAAAGAACTTAACAAAATTCCAAATAATTGGTTAAGGACATTATGTTTGAAATGCATGTTTTATGATATAGGAGAAAAATATATACCTGGGTGTGGAAATGTAAGTAGCCAATTTATTATACAGAAATTATGTTAAAAGATAAGAAATTGGTGAAATTATAGTAACTGAGGTAATTCATTCAATTAATGATATAAAAATTAATTTTTCAAACAATAGAGAGGATGAATTTAAGAAAAAAAAACTGAAAAATGATTAAGTAATAAAACAAATAATAGAATATTGTAAAAAAGGGTGGCCGAAAGTTAAGTGTGAAGGAAAGCTTAAGTAATGTTTTATTACCCTGGTATTAATAGTGAAATTGAAAATTGTATTGGTTCATATCCTGTTTGTTTGAATTTAGTTCTAGTAAAGTAAAACAATTATTAAAAAATCACACAATATTATCAGATGTACCATTTAAAAATATTGCACTTGATATTGTTGAATTCAATGAACTACATAATAAAAAAGAATAAAAAAGAGGATAATAAACAGTGAACACATATCCAATTGTAAGATCATCATATTATTACTTATTAGTATACTTTAAATATTTGCAATTGTTGACATTGTACAAAGGTGGGCAAGTTAATGAAAATAACTAACTATTTTAAGTTAAGTTTAATACACAAAAATACCTTCAATTAAAAGTAAATAGTTAACAAAATATACATTTTACTAATTATTTTCAATGTTAAAATACAAACAAATATTAACTTTACTCAGTTAAAAATTTTTTTGGTATATTTTGAGGGCCATACAATTATCCAAGGTGGACTGCATGCAACCTGTGGGCCATGGGTTGGCCATTCCTGATCTAGATAATAATACAATAAAACAATATTACTAATATTCCATGATTTATTAATACCCAAGTTCTATTCGGTTTTATTGAACTTTTTAATAAATACATGTTTTCAGCTAACTGATCTGTTAAAGATCAGTACTGTCTTCAATAGGTCTCTCTATCACCCTCTGTTATAAGTAGATTTATATTCTGGTCTATTGTTTTCAGATTTTTGACAACTACATTAATCCACCTGGTCTCGGGTATTTTCTGTTTATAAAATAACATAGAATGATCAATATTTTAATATGCAGATGAAGTATACATTCATATATTTTTGTACATCTATAATCTAATAATTTTTCAGAGTTAAATATTTGTTGAAATTAAATAATTCTGTAGTATATTATTATCGTTTATTTTTTTGAAGATATAATGGGCCCCACTGAACTGGTTCATCTGGGGGCCCATGAGTTCACAATTTATAATTATGAAAATAATACACTTAAATAATAATTTACATTTATTTTTTTTTTATATAATTTTAGACTTATTAGATAAAACTAACTTTAACATATAGGTACAATGTAGGTAACAATGTTTATTACACAGAGACTTAATGTATAATAAAATTTGATGAAATACAAATGCAAGCAACTAGATTAAAGATACACAAATATTTAAAGTTAAAAATTTGGGTGATTCCGCAACCAGTTCATCTTTTATTTTTTAAGTATTAAATGATACAGTTGTCTTGAAATCTAATGGTAACATATTATATATTTTTGGTCTTAAATATAAGAGAAGTAGATTGAATTAGTTTTTTGTGCATTAAAGGAACAGTAATATTTGATAATTTTCTTGTGTCATTATTCTGTTATTAGGTTATTTTTAATTATATAAATTACTTGATGCCATTTAAAACAATTTTTTAATAGAAGAACATTTAATTCTTTATACAGATATTTGTGTTTGATACAAATGATTCATTATTAAAATAATTTGTATTATTCTATTTTGTATTGTTTTAAATGGATTTAGTATTGTATCATAGGTGCCTTTTAAAACAGTAGTACCATAGTTAACTATAGATTCTATTAGAGCTTGGTATATAATTATAATAATTCTAATTTTCTTAATTTCACGTAAATTAACTAATTTTGAAAGCATAGATTATTTTTCTTAGTTTTTAACGGTGTATCAATATGGCCATGTCATTTGAGGTTATGGCACATTTTAATGCCTAAGTATTTACACAATTTTTGTATTTTAATTATTTAATTTTAATATTTTTAATGAAGTTTTACATGTACAAAATTTTGGATTTGAGCATTCGGGTTCGTAAATATAGTGGCTGGTTACATCTAGTTGGTTAGGTATATATATAGCTATCAACATTTGGACCACGGATGCTTAATTGGTATATTACCAGAAGATTTAGTTAAATTAGAAGCCAATCCTTTATTAACAGCAAGTAAAGGAAATTGTTGAATAAATATATTTTTATGTACAAATATGTATTGGTAAATTTCATTATTGGGCATTTGAAGATTACCATAAGTTGTATGTGCAGTATTGGTACATGCTTTAAAATAGTTTAATACAAACTTTTGGTCTAAATGTTTTTGATATCTATCATACTCTGTAAATAAATCACAAATATATTGACCTAAGCACTTGCTGTACACATAACCACAAATATATGAAAGGCATTTTTTCTAGTAAATTTAAAAACCTATATTTGACCATACCGATTTTGAAATTAAAATATGTACCTTTTGATGGTAGATTTGGCAATGTAACACTGGAAGTTCTGATTTGTTGAGGGTTTATATAACACAAAATGTCATCAAGATCTTTTATACAATTAGCAATAGGTGAATGTTGAAAGTAGTTTAAACAAAACAAATTTCGAAAAGTTATATAAAGTTTTACAGGAATGGGATTATGATTCACTGGAATATCTGGTTGGTTCAAGTAATGAAACCCATAATTTTAATAATCTATTATTGGATAGAGCCAATTGTTTATGAAATTTATCCTGTTAGTCACATCTACACAATATAGCTTAGAGATTACTTTTAAGTTTTTAAAAAATGAGTACATTATAGAAAGTTATTCTATTTAGTTAGATGTATTTTTAAATGGTCTTCTATAATATTTGCTATGTGACACTTTACATAAATTAAATAAGTTAAATTGTTTATCCATTTTATCTATAAAACCAATTATACATTTTGACTCAAATAGTAATTTACACAATGCTAAGTGGGCATTAATTTCAGAAGCCACAGATTCACTAAAAACTTAAGCTGAAATAGACTCTCAATATCTCAAACGGTCCTGAATATATGTGAGTATATGTAAGCTTAGGTGCTAATCTTAAACTAAGTTTACTATCCTCATTATAAAATTGTGTAAGATATTTGCTATTAATGATTTCATTATAAATATTAAAACGGTGTTTAAAAAACATGTAACACATTAACTTTAACAAATCTTGCGGATCAAATAAATATACTATTTCCTTATAATTAACCTTAAAATAAAGATGCTATGGACTAACATAAACACTTTTCACTTTTTACTAAAATTAACAAAATTTGAACTTGGTTACAAATGCTTTTACATTTAAAGAAATATTGCACAGTTTTTTATGGTAAATATTACAATATCATTTAAATCTAAACTATAGGAGCTTCCAGATAAAAAAAAATAATACATTACAGGCTGTTTTTATGATATATTAACTCCCCTTATCATTAAAACAATGCATACTTAACTACATCTTAGGTTTTATTGAGATTTGTTTGATGAAATTCTATAATTTCATTTTTAGGAAGTGAATAAAACAAATAAGTTTTTAATGAAATTTCATCAGCACATAAAATACAACCACTTTGAAAACTAAAAATTTTAAACTTAATAAATTAAAATAAACTAGGAAT